TTGTGGTGTTTACCGTCCAGCTGCTGTCGTTTGGTCTAGTTGTGGTGTTTACCGTCCAGCTGCTGTCGTTTGGTCTAGTTGTGGTGTTTACCGTCCAGCTGCTGTCGTTTGGTCTAGTTGTGGTGTTTACCGTCCAGCTGTTGTCGTTTGGTCTAGTTGTGGTGTTTACCGTCCAGCTGCTGTCGTTTGGTCTAGTTGTGGTGTTTACCGTCCAGCTGCTGTCGTTTGGTCTAGTTGTGGTGTTTACCGTCGGGCTGGTCAAGAAACTTGTCCAGACAACAAAATGGCGGGAAAAGTTGAGTTCTGTGTCCAAACACGAGCAGATTTCCAAACGAGACAAGGGCACGGGTAGGATGATCATCCTGATTTCATCCATCTATATCGTCTGCTACATCCCTGTCTGCGTCTGCTCCCTAGCTATGGTCATCTTCAAAGACTTCGGCGTCAACGGAAAATACCGGAACCTGTTCAACATTGCGTCATCAGTCATGTTCACGCTTGACTGCATCAACTCCTCCGTCAGTATCTTTGTCTACCTCAACATGAGCACACGATATCGGGAAAAGTTCAGCCAAATTTTTAACGTTTCACTAAATATGCGAGTTAAAACATGACAAGATATCGAGAATAGTTCAACCAAATTCGTAACGAAACATGCGAGTTAAAACACGACTTCAATAATTAATTTATCAACCCCAGCTTATCCAGTGACAATAGGTTGATCCTAATTCTCCTTGTTCTACCAGATCTAACGCTAGTGGGGGATACAAAATGCACACTGACAAAGAAGACTTTGGAATACCATTATAAAACACTTTGTTCAACTCACCACATTAAGCTCCTGTCACATAATGTGTTATAAAAAATTGGATGTTAAGATTAAAACTCATTAAAAAATAAATAATGTTGAGTTAATGAAAATATAAATTCCTAAAACAATGAACATAGCATATTCAAATTTGAAAGTAACATTCAAGGGGCCATAATTTGTTGACACGTAATAGCTGAGCTGGAGGATATCATTTCAATAACACACTAGAGAACGAAGAAGAAGAAGAAGAAGAAAGTCTCCTGAAAGTGTTGTACATGACTGACCTGTGTCGACAACGTCAAGTCCGCAGCGATTCAGCTGTAATCAGACACGCGAATCTATAGGTGATCTCAGACCACATAGGCAACTTATGTCAATTTTTACAAACTACCTACGAAGGCTATAGCATATCTGGATAGACATGACAATAACCAGATAATAAAATCCACGTCTGGATAGGAAATTTGTGTCCAAATAGGCAAGCTTATATCTAGCAAGGCAAACCTAAGGCTAGCTAGGCAAGCGTCTAGTTAGGAATAACAAAGTCTAGCTAGACACGCATATGTCTAACTAGACCAGCCTATGTCCAAATATGTTAACATATAACAGATGCCGGTCCTCTACAAGAGAACCTTACACAGATCAGAGAACAATGCCAGACAAAACGTCACCAAACACATTTTTTGTTAAAGCCACGACAACGCCACACGACGATAACTGCCGCATGTAGCTTCACTCATCAACACAATCGTCTATTTGATGTTTTAGTTTTTATAGACCCTCACACTTCTCATCGCTGCTCTCATTTCACCCTTGTCATTCCATAACAAAACGACTCGTTCAAACTTTATTTCAATCTTCCTTATAATTATACACACAAATTACAAACATAACATTATTACAAATAATTAATTCACTAGTGAAGTTGATTCTGTTAAAACTTGTGGTTGATAGTTATTTTTCACCCCTAGATCTCGGCAACAAAGCTTTGTAGGCGTTAAATGATTAGCCTTAAACAAATACCCCCCGTATTGATTCCCTCTTTTGTTTATTTTTTAAATTTAATTGGTGACTGTATTCAAACAAGTTCAATACAAAGCTAGCGGTTTTATTTGTCTTGTTATTAGTTCAAACTCAAAGGGAAGAATCAAATATTTTTAAGCACGTTTTAAATTCAATTAAAAGTCCTAGCGTGAATAAGAAACGAAGCTAAAAACAGAATCACTAAGAGGAATAGTTTTTATTATATAAATGTGAGATAAAGCGTGCGTTTAGCTTCTAGTGAGGTGGTTAGTGAGGTGTTTAGTGAGGTGTTTAGTGTTGCTTAAAACTCTTCAGTTTCTGGAACCAGAAATGGTTGCCACGGTAACTAGTTCAGACTTCCCGTCGAGCAGACCATCCGTTGGAAGCCTCCTGGAGCAGGGCAGGACGTCCATTGAGAGCCTCCTGGAGCAGGGCAGGCTGTCCATTGAGAGTCTCCTGGAGCAGGTGAGCCCGGAAACTGTGCGCATCGTTTACCTGGTCAACTACGGCGTCCTGCTAGAGATGATCTGCATCTTTGGCGTCATTTCCAACGTCATCAACGCGGTGGTGTTCGTCAAACAAGGGTTCAAGGACACGGTCAACATCAGCCTGCTCGGGCTGGCGCTGGCTGACGGTCTGGCCTTGACCGTGCTGTTCTGGCTGAGCCTGAACTTTAACCCCCTGGTCCCCAGCCTCCTGCTGCAGTGGCAGGGTGTGTTGTACCTGTCCTCCAGTCTCCCTAACGTCATCGCCATTCGCGTCACCTGTCTCATCACCGTCTTCATCACCTTCGAGAGGTTTCTCTGCGTATCGATACCGTTGAAAATAAAAAGCATCATCACACACAGGAGAACCGTTTTCGTTGTAGTCTTTCTTTTTTTATTTTCGATACTCACCGCGATACCCGTTTACATTGCATGTTACATTGGCCCGATATTCGATTACAGCAAAAACGTGAGTACTCTAGGGTTACATTACATCCAAGGCGGACAGTCAGTTGAAAACGCGACGATATCTTTTGGACTCGGGCTACAGTTCCTGGCTTTTGGACTGACCGTTCTCTTCACCATTTTGTTGGTTAGGGCCCTGCGATCTCAGTCCAGATGGCGTGACGTCACGACGTCCGTCCCTAAAGCCAACCAGCTGACCCACCGCGACAAGGCGATTGGGAAAATGATCATTTTCATGTCAACCGTCTTCATCGTCTGCTACACGCCCTTCGTGGTTGGCTCCGTCGCCATGGTGTGTTTTCAGGAGTTCAAGGTCACCGGAAGGTTCAGGAACGTGTACAACATCGTTTGGTCCGTCATCTTCACCGTGGACTCGCTGCACTCAGCCCTCAGCATCTTGGTCTACCTCACCGTGGACTCGCTGCACTCAGCCCTCAGCATCTTGGTCTACCTCACCGTGGACTCGCTGCACTCAGCCCTCAGTATCTTGGTCTACCTCACCGTGGACTCGCTGCACTCAGCCCTCAGTATCTTGGTCTACCTCACCGTGGACTCGCTGCACTCAGCCCTCAGCATCTTGGTCTACCTCACCGTGGACTCGCTGCACTCAGCCCTCAGTATCTTGGTCTACCTCACCGTGGACTCGCTGCACTCAGCCCTCAGTATCTTGGTCTACCTCACCGTGGACTCTCTGCACTCAGCCCTCAGTATCTTGGTCTACCTCACCGTGGACTCGCTGCACTCAGCCCTCAGTATCTTGGTCTACCTCACCGTGGACTCGCTGCACTCAGCACTCAGTATCTTGGTCTACCTCACCGTGGACTCGCTGCACTCAGCCCTCAGTATCTTGGTCTACCTCACCGTGGACTCTCTGCACTCAGCCCTCAGTATCTTGGTCTACCTCACCGTGGACTCGCTGCACTCAGCCCTCAGTATCTTGGTCTACCTCACCGTGGACTCGCTGCACTCAGCCCTCAGCATCTTTGTCTACCTCACCGTGGACTCGCTGCACTCAGCCCTCAGTATCTTGGTCTACCTCACCGTGGACTCGCTGCACTCAGCCCTCAGCATCTTTGTCTACCTCACCGTGGACTCGCTGCACTCAGCCCTCAGTATCCTGGTCTACCTCACCGTGGACTCGCTGCACTCAGCCCTCAGCATCTTTGTCTACCTCACCGTGGACTCGCTGCACTCAGCCCTCAGTATCTTGGTCTACCTCAAGACGAGCACCAAGTACCACACGACATTTCGCAGCGTCTTCAGGTGGCAGGTGGTGGTCGCAGAGAAGTAACGACATTTTGTCTTTTCATTGTGTTCACAGACAAATGACGACATTTTGTCTATTCATTGTGTTCACAGAGGAATAGAGACATTTTGTCTATTCATTGTGTTCACAGAGAAATAACGACATTTTGTCTATTCATTGTGTTCACAGAGATATAGAGACATTTTGTCTATTCATTGTGTTCACAGAGAAATAATGACATTTTGTCACAGAGAAATGACATTCCAAACCTTAGCTCCGTGGTAGTTGTTGACGTGACAGGACCATTTATCGCAACAGGTTGTCTGAACTTTGATGTTAGTCTTCATGGGCCTGGCTATATTACCTTTAGATAATATTTGTGTCATATATTTCGTGTTTGTGTCATATCAGATTAAAGTCAGCAATATTTCGTGTTTGTGTCGTATCAGATTAAAGTCAGCAATATTTCGAGTTTGTGTCGTATCAGATTAAAGTCAGCAATATTTCGTGTTTGTGTCGTATCAGATTAAAGTCAGCAATATTTCGTGTTTGTGTCGTATCAGATTAAAGTCAGCAATATTTCGAGTTTGTGTCGTATCAAATTAGAGTCAGCAATATTTCGTGTTTGTGTCGTATCAGATTAAAGTCAGCAATATTTCGAGCCTCAAGGTTTTGTAAGCAAATATGGTCAAATATGATCTCAGTTAAGTAGGCTAAACCTGCAGGTCAGGGATTTAATACAAATTCACGTGCGAAGCTATTAAAAAAAAACATAATTACCCTGTGTTATTGATTTTATTGTGGGGTCAAAATTATAAAGGGAAATTATAGTTATTTCTGCGGTGGTCTTTAGCCTTTTAAAATTACTACACAATATTTGTTTAGGTATGTATAACTTTTCGAATGCTGTATTTGCTTTTTTTTAATATTTAAATAACACAATGGACATATTTAATCAAACACACAATCTAGATGGAAAAATTGATATTTATTTTCCTAAAAGCATCAGTTCAAAATCGTCTGTCAGAAAAAATTTAAATATATTTAAAAAGGTTCTGTCAATAAATATTATATATATATATATATATATATATATATATATATATATATATATATATATATATATATCAAGGAAAGATACTAAGATATTAATGTTTAATTGTAAAATAATTCAAAACAAAATTACAAATACATCCACTAAAACATGAATGTATCAATTAAAATCATCAAATGAAAACATGTCTATCCATTCAACTGTTGTAAACATTTCTGATCTACAAAAATGTCGCCATGTAGGCCCCTACATTTGCGTCATAATTTGGATATTTTTGTAATAGCAATATAAACATAAAGTGATATTTCAACGCCAAGGGTAGACAAAGGTACAGAATATAGTCCAAGTAAAGGCAGAACAGACAGACCCGACGGGTTCCGAACCTACCATTCCACACGGCACCAAATCGCCTCGCCTTCCATGCCTCAAGTCAGACGTGTAACCGATTCTACCAATCAGCAATATTCTGTACCTTTGTCTACCCTTGGCGTTGAAATATCACTTTATGTTTATATTGCTATTTCAGTTACAACGCCTGCTTCCACCCCTTACGATATTTTTGTAATGGTATTGTTTTTTAACAAATTCAGATAAAGTGGGTGGTCTGTTGAAAGGTGGGTATCATTTGGTTTGGTTTGTTTGATTACCTGCTGAGATCCAAGACAACATAAGGGTTGGCTTCTTACTTCCATTTGCAGCTGCCAGATTTTCTGATAAAAAAAATATCAGCTCTAAATTAAAATTGATTATATCTACAGTAAAATTGTAAAATTGTAACGTTTAACTCTAATGTCCTCTAGCTATAAGGTTTGAGACCATGTCCTGTTATTGATTGTTTATTTTATTTAGGACCTCGGCAAATGAAGGGAGGGTGTGGTCGTTGTCCACTCCCTGCCGTCTTTGCCTTGCCTCACCTGAGAGATGGACCGGTTCGAGTTGGTTGGACTCGGAACCTTCGGGTTACGAGTCGTACGCGCTACCCTTTTGCCACCTCGTCCCATCTATGTTGTATAGTATTGTATAGTGATATGGTTATTAAAATCCCAATAAACGACATTACGGAATGTGTTTACCCCGAGATGGAGCAGTAGTACATCATGCAACAATCGTCAGTACTGCTGCACGATTCATCGTAGTGTTTACACACACAGCTGTTGAATGGAAACATTAAGGGCTCGTTATATCATCAAATATATTAAAAATGTATTTTGTTATATTGATGTAAAGATAACATAGAGTATCAGATAGTTTTGTTATATGATAAAATGTCAAATGTGTATTTGGATACATTTATGATTGTTTATACAATAAAGAAAAAACAGCTACAATTTTATTGTCGAAATAGAGTTGTTAACAAACGATTTGGAATTCTTGAACGCAAAATTCCATTACTGAGGATTTGCTTATAATGAAAATTAACGTTTTATTCGTATTGTCGTCATTAAAGGAACACTTCTTAACTGTAATGTTGAGAGGTATTTTCTTCAACAAAGTATTAAGTGTCAATTTGTTATGGATTTGCTTCTATAATCTTTGTCCATCCCAGCACAAACTACAAGGCAGGAGTTGTTTGATTTAGGAGTTGTCTGCCCGGGGGATTCGAACTCGAGACTTACATTTAATGAACTCACCTTTCAGTGAACTAACTCACCTGTCTGATACAAGCACGAGAAGTGACAGACACACCAGGAGAAGGAGTACTGCGAGCTTCATCTTAATCTGCCGAGGAAAACTACAACAAAATCATTTCTCATTTATTTCTCAGACCTAATATCTCAAGTCCAGAGTTTCGTGATTTCACTTTACAATTAACGTTTTAAAAAACATTCAAATCAAATAAATAATCAATTTAAAATTTAAAAAATTATCCATACAAAAAATGTTAAATTAACAGTTAATTAATTGAATATTACTCATAAAAACCTATATGAGAGAATAAAGCAAAGAATATGTGTCGTAATATTCGTTTAACCTTAAGTTAGCCGAGGTGGAAAATTTCTGTTGGTGGTTCTTAGAAATGAGCTGTCCTTAAACCGATCATAAATCCAGCTCTAAGTGATGAACACATTGTGTTGTTGTGTTGTTGTGTTGTGTGGACGGAATAAGGATTAATTTAATCTTACAGCAAGCTGTCACAGACATACACATTTTAGATCTACTCTCTGGGAGTGTAGGTGATGGTAGCGTACATGGAGTGTAGGTGATGGTAGCATAAGGGAGTGTAGGTGATGGTAGCGTACAGGGAGTCTAGGGGATGGTAGCGTACATGGAGTATAGGGGACGGTAGCGTACATGGAGTTTAGGTGATGGTAGCATACAGGGAGTGTAGGTGATGGTAGCATACAGGGAGTGTAGGTGATGGTAGGCTACAGGGAGTGAAGGTGATGGTAGCATACAGGGAGTGTAGGGGATGGTAGCATACAGGGAGTGTAGGGGATGGTAGCATACATGGAGTGTAGGGGATGGTAGCATACAGGGAGTGTATGTGATGGTAGCATACAAGGAGTGTAGGTGAGGGTAGCATACATGTATTGTAGGTGATGGTAGCATAAGGGAGTGTAGGTGATGGTAGAGTACAGGGAGTGTAGGTGATGGTAGGCTACATGGAATTAAGGTGCTGGTAGCATACAAGGAGTGTAGGTGATGGTAGCATACATGGAGTGTAGGTGATGGTAGCATACAGGGAGTGTAGGTGATGGTAGGCTACAGGGAGTGAAGGTGATGGTAGCATACAGGGAGTGTAGGGGATGGTAGCATACAGGGAGTGTAGGGGATGGTAGCATACATGGAGTGTAGGGGATGGTAGCATACATGGAGTGTATGTGATGGTAGCATACAAGGAGTGTAGGTGAGGGTAGCATACATGTATTGTAGGTGATGGTAGCATAAGGGAGTGTAGGTGATGGTAGAGTACAGGGAGTGTAGGTGATGGTAGGCTACATGGAATTAAGGTGCTGGTAGCATACAAGGAGTGTAGGTGATGGTAGCATACATGGAGTGTAGGTGCTGGTAGTATTCAAGGAGTGTATGTGATGGTAGCATACAGAGAGTGTAGGTGATGGTAGCATACATGGAATGTTGGTGCTGGTAGCATTCAAGGAGTGTAGGTGATGGTAGCATACATGGAGTGTAGGTGATGGTAGCATACATGGAGTGTAGGTGATGGTAGCATACATGGAGTGTAGGTGATGGTAGCATACAGGGAGTGTAGGTGATGGTAGCATACAGAGAGTGTAGGTGATGGTAGCATACATGGAGTGCAGGTGATGGTAGCATACATGGAGTGTAGGTGATGGTAGCATACATGGAGTGTAGGTGATGGTAGCATACAGAGAGTGTAGGTGCTGGTAGCATACAGAGAGTGTAGGTGATGGTAGCATACAGAGAGTGTAGGTGATGGTAGCATACATGGAGTGTAGGTGATGGTAGCATACATGGAGTGCAGGTGATGGTAGCATTCAAGGAGTGTAGGTGATGGTAGCATACCGGGAGTGTAGGTGATGGTAGCATACATGGAGTGTAGGTGATGGTAGCGTACAGTGAGTGTAGGTGATGGTAGCGTACAGTGAGTGTAGGTGATGGTAGCATACAGGGAGTGTAGGTTACGGTAGGACACAAAGCACTACAGTCATGAAAACATACATACCTGATGTCTTTTGTTAGCTGAACAAGATGGCTTAAACACCTGAACATTTGTGTTGATTTTTTCCCTCACAATTTCACATCCTACCCACCACCCACACATAGCTTGTGATTCATTTCAACTGAGATTTCCCTTTTATGAGGGGATATAACTAGGCTAGACTGATTTTTGGCGAGAATATAAAGAGTTACTTCGCTTTAATTTTAAAAAAAGGTTAAAGCATTTGTTGTTTTGGCGCGGTGGAAGGGGGAGACGGGGTGTTTACAAATGACGTAATTTAGTTTAATTTTTTAAAAGATTTTTTTCTGTTATTTCGCATAATATGTAGGACTACATATAAATACTTGTTTGTTATATGACACATTTTTATGTTTGTGTTTTTTTTGTTTTTTTTTGCTGTATTTTATTAATAAAGATTTTTTTTCTAATCAGCTACTACTTAATCCCGTCATATTGCTTTATAGCAATATATTTTCATGAATAATGTTAGATCTTATTTAAAACTAGATATTCTTGTGTTGTCATCGGAAAAGAATTCACTAGTAAAGTTAGCTTTAGAAGAAGTCAGGACAGTGTGGGCGGGAGGTAGAGCATACAAATGGTAACCTGAAAATCTCGAGTTCTTTTCCTGAGCTTGTCAGATCTGATGGGTGGTTCAATGACCTTGAGGGAATGTAAAGCCGGCTGGTCAAAGTGCTGACCACATTCATCCTTTAGATGTCTAGTTCATAGAAACAAGCCTTGAACTCTACTTCACCTGTCCTTTAGATCGCAGGGTTCGAAATGGTAACTACCAGCATTAGAAGTGGGTCTAAGTAGAGATGCAAAACTTGAAAAGAAACTTTCTGGCATTTTGGTAAGTAAAAGTTTGTAAAACAATATTTTACAACTTCAGAGTGAAATTTTTAAAAATACCAACAAAGAACGGCTGGAGAGTAGACTATTTAAATGTTTATTTCTTTCTTTTAAAATCTCGCTTACCAAAACTACACTAGACATCTCATACTATTTCGTGTGCTTTCTTTTCTTAGAGCTTACAAGCCCTATTTTTATAAGAAAAAGCATAAGATGAAGAAGTAGAACCAGAAGAAACAGCAAAAGTAGAAGCAGAAGTAAAAGAACACCAGTTATACTTAAAATATCGCTTAGGAACTGTTGGATTAACATTGATCTTTTTCACAAAGTCAATCACAAAATTGAAAGTCCTCCAAAATTTATCTTTTGAAATTTGAGTCCTCGGCAAATAAACTCTTAGGCTGAATGCTTCACACATCTAAATCAGCAAATTATTTCTCCACATTGAATTTTTTTTTTTAAAGTAAGTCCTCTACAAATTAAATTTAGATTCCTGCGTTTATAAATCTGAGGATTTTAAGTGCTTCACAATTAAATAATTTGTTAGCATTTAACCCATTTAATCTTTAAAAAATGTGAACGTTGAGTCGTCAAGAAATTATCGAAACATATTTCCTCTACATTTTAACCATACATCAACATTCAGCTCAACGTTTTCGTTAAAATTGTATTTCGTGATTAAAATCAAGGAAATAATTCATATTTAAATATCAGAATTTCAAGTCGTCAAGCAAACTCATCAAAATATATGATCTTGATATTTATGTCCTTTTTAAACAAAAATTTATTTGATCATTTTCACTATATTAAATTAGAAACAAATTAAATAACACTAAACTACAGAAAACTTTTCACGTTGGCCTACTGGGTTCAGAATTAACATCAGGAAGTGTTACTAAATGGTGACACGATCATAGTAACTGTGGCTGTCTTTTTTCTTCAAATTTCATCTGAAACATTACACGTGACCAAAATCATGTGATGTTTACATGCAACGCCATGATAGTCAACACAGAAGGAACACAATTATATACAATGTTTCTGTTTGATTGCGCTATTCATATATATTCATATATATATATATATATATATATATATATATATATATATATATATATATATATATATATATATATATATATATATATATATATATATATATATATATATATATATATATATATATATATATATATATCAACGTTCGGCAAGGCTCTACTTGTTATGCCAACCACGATACCGCAAATGACTTATTGTTTTTGATTTACACGTTTAAATTTTTAATTAATTTAATAACGCTCGAAGTAAACTTTTTAATTATCTGAATTTCTCCACCGCGCGAAACGTTAGCGGCGAAATTTTAATCACCGATAACGCGATTATAATTGTGTTTCCTCTAATTAGACTAACGACAGCAGGTCAATAACGAGTTTAATTGCACGTGAAATTTACCCGCAGGCAAAAATTTTAACGTACGTTTCACACAAATTACGGATGGGCATTAATTTGAAGAAGACATGATAATTAAAACAGCTTTTGAGAAATTTTAGAACAAAGAAGATAATTATTGGTTATTAACGATTAGAACTGCCAGATTTGGTTCTAATTGCAATGTTTTGGGTATTGGGTCTTGTTTAGAATGTACTTAGTTGACCTTACCGGTATTTCATGGGACGTTACGGCTAGCAGTTTGAAATCTTTTAAAAGCCTGACTAGGTTTGTAGAAGAATCATTCGAAAAATTCTGTCGCTATAGTCACGAATGACTAGTTCTTCGAACTGTTCAGTTCATCCATCCATCAGTTAGAGAGTTTGGCCGGATCAAAGCCCACAGATAAGCGATGTCAGAGTATGCTAAAGATGGCTTTGAGAACACAACATCTGAGCTGTATGAGACATTTGATGACGTGTCCAGCATTGAGTACGCCTTGACCCACATCACCCAGCTGACCCTGGACACCTTTCTCAACGTCAACTACGGCGTCCTCTGTGAGGCCATCTGTATCTTCGGCATCTTCTTCAACATCATCAACATCATCGTCTTCGTGAAGCAGGGTTTCGAGGAGTCGGTGAACATCTCCCTGCTGGGTCTGGCTGTGGCCGACACGGCTGCCCTGACCAGTCAGGTGTGGATGAACATGATGTTCAGCCCCGTCGTTCCCTACGTGCCGTACGCCTGGTACACCACGCTCTACCTGACGGGCAGCTGGCCCCACGTCACCTCCACCAGGGCCGTCAGCCTGCTGACCGTCTTCATCACGTTAGAGCGTTACCTTTGTGTCGCCCTGCCCCTAAAGATCAAGCGCATCATCACCCACAAAACCACAGCCATTATTGTTACTTTTATTTTCTTGTTTACAATTTCAACGGCTATTCCCGTTTACGCCGCCTGTTACGTTGGCGACTATTTTGACCCAGCCACCAACTCCAACACCATCACTTTGTTTTACATCCCTAATGGCCTTGAAATAGAAAGTATCGGCGTCTCGTTTGGGGCGGGTGTCCACATTGTGTCCTTCACCTTGGTTGTAGCCTTCACGGCCGCTTTAATCAAACAGCTTCACAGCAAATCAAAATGGAGAAAATCTTCATCGTCTGCCTCAAAGAACAAGAATATTTCAAACCGAGACAAGGTTGTCGTCAAGATGATTATCTTTATATCCGGCACCTTCATAGCGTGCTACTCCCCATCATTTTTCGGCACCATCGCCATCATGTGTGTCCCGGAGTTTGGCGTGGCGGGCAAATACCAAAACATCTTCAACATTTACTACTCCTTCGTCTTCACCATCGACTCCTTCAACTCGGCCATCAACATTTTCGTTTATCTAAAAATGAGCTCGAAATATCGTCAAGTTTTTCTGCGTATGTTTAGTGGCGTACTTTGCTTTGACTACAAAAAGGTTTAAGAAATCTGTTTCTTTACTAACAGTAGTCATTTAGTATTCTAGATCTTTAGATGGCCATGCATTAGAAAACTCTAAAATCCGTGTAAAGAGTATCAGTTTCTATGTAATTACTTAAAGCCAATGTTAAATAACATAATCTTAGAACCCAATCAAGGTATGCTTTAATATAGATCAAAGTGTAGCGTCTGCTTTGGACAATTTGTGAGAAATGTAATTAAAATTGTTTAGGCAAATGAAATTATACTTTGTTAACTCAGTTTGTGAACATTTCTGGTCTTAGCTATAATTAAAGAGTAATTTTCTTAAACTTGTTTGGGATGTTTTAGCTGTTAGATATAACGGTGTTTTTTGTTATTATTTTGTATTAGGCCATAACATACAGCTTCTTGTGAGTTGTTTTTTTTTTTTTTTGCATATTTTAAAAATACTTTCAGATACTTTTTTTAAAGACCTCAGGTCAACAACAGTTACCAAGTTATGGTTGAAATAAAAAATTAATCAATGTATTTTGCATGAAACAAAAAAGGGCTTTAATTCTAATAGATTTGTACGCTTTCTCCTAATGATAAATTTTTTTTTTAACCAAACAAGATTTTTTTTAACGACATCCCGTGTATGCATGTCTTTGTAGGAAGTAGATCTACACGATATGTACATGTGCTATTGATATAATTTAGTTGTAGTTAGTTACTAGTTAGTTTGTCCATATTTGTCCATTTTATACTTTGGTCAAATGTTTGTTAGTTACTATGTAATGCGAAATAAACAAACAACACTGGTGTATTCTAGTAGGTCTGGTGGCTGTTACACTGGTATCAGTGGTGTAACTAAATTGTTGTTTTGTGGTTGAACTGTGGGTTTTGCTAGTGTGGTGGGCTTATCGGCTAGTTTGGTCTGTAGAAGTTTCCAGTCCTCAATTAAATTAGCGCATGTTAGATTGATTCTTCGCATTTTTAAGTAACTTATAGACATAATTTTTGATTAGATAAAAATTAAAAGACATACGAAAAGGAAATATCCTGGATTTAATTATCCTCGAATAAATTCCACTATCTAATTTTTTTCTTCTTATGTTGTCGGTGAGAATTAAACGCTGTGTTACTTCAAATAATGGCTGGAATCGTTCGATTTAACCAAACAAAATAATAGAAACGGTCAGCAAATACAGAGGCGTAGCTACCCTTACCGGCGCCCGGGGACAAACTTTCGATTTGCACCACCCCCCCCTCGAACTTTTCATATGCACCCTCCCCCCCTCAAACTTTCAATTTACCCCCCCCCCCCGCTACGCCTCTGGCAGCTTAGGAATTTCTAGCTGTTTCGGAATGTGTGTAGTAGAAATATTGACATGTCTTTTGTACTAACAACCAGTAGCGTAGCGAGGGGGGGGGGCATATGTCCCCGGGCGCCGACCTTAGGGGGCGCCAAAATGGGTTGGAAAAATAAATTGGAAGGTTGAGGGGGTGCAAATCGAAAGTTTGAGGGGGTGGGGGTGCAAATGGAAATCTCAAGGGGGGGTGCAAATCGAAAGTCTGAGGGGGGGGTGCAAATGGAAATCTCAAGAGGGGGGGGGGGTGCAAATCGAAAGTTTGAGGGGGAGTGCAAATCAAAATCTTGAGGGGGGGGGGGGGTTTGTCCCCGGGCGCCGGGAAGGGTCGCTACGCATCTGCTAACAACAGAAATGCTCAAAGCTTCAAAACTTACAGACTTCCTTTGTTGACTTGTTAGATAATCCTACAAAAATGGCGGAACTATCAGAGGTCAATTAAACAATTATCTGACCCATTTGACCGCCTTCTTAGACCACCGGTCTGACCCGTTAAAATTGCCATCTTTGTTTTCGGTAGTTGTATAGCTACTCACTCCTTGTGTCTTTGAAATGTACACAAGGGGATCTTGGACATTTACCTGACTACTTATACATCATTTCCTATACACTCGTCTTCACCGTTCATTCTTTCATCTCAACCATCAACATTTTTGTTTACATAAAAATGAGCTCAGAATTATGTCAAGTGTGTCAGTGCTTATTGTGTCACATTATTCTATTCGGGTTTTTTGGGGTTTTTTTTTTATTATTATTATTTTTTTTTTTTTTTTGCTAAACGATTTTAGCTATTTATTAGTTTACAAAATAAACCCCATTTTATTTAAGCTTAATCATATCTAAAGTAAGAATCTGACATAATCCTAGATTTAGTTCACAATTTATAATGTTTACACATTCATGACTAAAAATATGACGGAAGTTTTATCTTTTAAAGCTTTAAGCTATCAAGCTGAGACCCGCTTAGGACTCCTCTCATGGTTTATCATTGTGTTTACAACAGGCAAGTAGTCGACATGCAGACAAATGTTTTATTTATTACTTGTTTACTCACATATCTTTTGCTAGTATTTCTTCAAGCAAATATCTGTTTGACTTATTAAATAAACCAATTTAATTCTTGTAAGAAAAATTGTTTGAAAATTAACCAATAACACAACAAATTTTAACTATTTTTTTATGTTTGTTTGTTGTTGTTTTTTTTTTTTTACAAATGTACTTTTCAATGGTTTCTGGTAGAAGCAGATCACTTGACGAGATAGTAATTTTATCCAATGACGGAAGAGACAGGACAGATGGTAAGGCTGCTGGTCAAGGACGGGCGGTCAGCCGTAAACACGTGACTCAGTGCCGCGTACAACAAGCTGTCCCCTGACTGAAGGTGGGCCCGGGCCTGGGTCTCCGATACACAGTACCCCGACCCACAGATGTTCATCCCCCCGGAGTTTTCGCGGCCATTTTTGTTGACCCCGAAGAAGACGGACGCGCCCACGGCGAAGTACTCCTTCTCGTCTGCCATGGCGTAGGAATGTAGATCCCACCTTTGGGCTTGTCGGGCGGAGTTGTAGGCGGTGGTGATCTGGTGTTTGCTGGCGGCGTCCAGGCTGTACTGGTGGATGGTGTGTGTGTACTCGTGGGACAGCACGTTCAGGTTGTGGTGGTACGGGTCCAGGGCCGTGCACAGGACGTTGTCGTCTAGAATGACGGCCCGGCGACCCCCGACCCCGGCAATGTCCTCGTACTTCCGGCCGTCAAACGTGCAGGTGTGAGAGCAGGTCCCTGGGGACATAGAACAAGAACAGGGTGTCAATACAGATTATTTATTAACAATATCGATCTTCATTTACCAATATCGATCATCAATTGCTAATAATGATAAATAATTAAGAATATCTCTCAGCAATAAGGCTGGTAAGTAGGTCACCAACCAGTTCTATGGCTCATGCAGGTTTTATTGAGCCGTAGAACTTGTTGGTGACCTACTTACCAGCGCTATTACCGATATCTATATTCATTTACCTATATCGTGCATTATTTACCAATATCGATCATCAATTACAGGCCATTTTAGTTGCCATCAAATCAATACAAAATTATCATTGATGATAATAATGTATTTATCATCTCTCTATTTTCACTAATAAAGATAGAGAATAGAAAACAATCCGTTTTTTCAGTTGGATCAGTTTAAAAACGACTCACCTTCGCACGAGGTGCCACAATTGCCGTTAGCCAGATGCTTGTACTCAGGGAACACGATGATCTAACTAAAGCACTCACCTACTCAGGGAACACGATGATCTAACTAAAGCACTCACCTTCACACGAGGTGCCACAATTGCCGTTAGCCAGATGCTTGTACTCAGGGAACACGATCAGCTTCTCACGCGCGGAGAAGATGCCGAGGCTTGACTGTGTGGCCACGCTCTGGAACAAGGTGCCGGACATGTGTTTGGTCATCTTGATGACAAAGTCGGCCGCGGCGTTGATGGCGTTGTATGTGGTGCCGGGGGAGCCGGCAATCTCCAGCTGGTACCGGCTGTGGTCCAGCACGTTGGTCTTCTGACCTCCGGCTTCCACGTAGATGTACTTGAAGCCGGGGAGCTGGGCTCCGGCCCGGCTCTGAGGGAGCGTGGATAGGAAGTCGTAGTCCTGCTTGGCTAAGGGAGCCGTAGAGAATTTCCAGCTTTCGTTTACAGCCGGGGCTGCTGCTACAGCTAAAGAATGTAAGGGGGGGGGGGGGGGGGAGATTTCCCGTTACACTTACATATTTTATATTTAAAAGGTAGGTCTAACGTTACTCTTACATATTTTATACTTAAAAGGTGGGTTTTACATTACACTTAGCCTACATAAAATAATTAATAGGTAGGTTTTCCATTATACTAACAAGTTTTACACGTAAAAAGTAGGTGTTCCATTACGCTTAGATATTTAATAACTAAAAGATAGGTCCTTCAATACGCTTAATTATTTTAAATTGTAAAAGTTTCTTTTTCCTTTCATCAACAAAAGTTAAATTTCTAAAAGTAAATGTTCTATTATATTTACAAAATAAACATTTCTAAGTGACCTTTTAATGACAATTCTAAAATTTGGAAGGTTTCTTTTTAATTTGCTGAAAAAAAATTGAATAATGTTTTGGTTACAATGTTAGATACTTTTTTTTGTAACCCCATTATAGAAACGGACACATACGTTGGAAAAACAGGCCTAGTCTTCTACTCGCCTACAGCGCAATACTAATTCAGCCTAATTTGCACCGTGTCTTTTTACCAGTCAACTAGCTAGGGATACGTTAAGCTTTAACTCTACTATTAACTTGTAGCTATCGTCCTTGAAACCGCTTGACAAAAAATTTAAGATCTTACAGTAAGCCGATATTATGGCTTTCATGAAAACTTGTAATGACTAAACACTACCGAATTTGTGTTTATATAACTTCAATAACCACAATAATAGCTTATAAAACATATACACCAGCAATTTAAAAAAAAAAACCCTACCCCAACATTAAAGATGTAATACCAACTGTGAGAGCCATATAAGCTTACCAGCATACACTAAAGACAGCACCAATAGTGAGAGCCATATAAACTTACCCCAACACACACTAAAGACAGCACCAATAGTGAGAGCCATATAAACTTACCCCAACACTAAAGACAGCACCAACTGTAAGAGCCATATAAACTTACCCCAACACTAAAGACAGCACCAACAGTAACAGCCATATAAACTTACCAGCACACACTAAAGACAGCACCAACAGTGAGAGCCATATAAACTTACCCCAACACTAAAGACAGCACCAACAGTAAGAGCCATATAAACTTACCAGCACACACTAAAGACAGCACCAACAGTAAGAGCCATATAAGCTTACCAGCACACACTAAAGACAGCACCAACAGTAAGAGCCATATAAACTTACCAGCACACACTAAAGACAGCACCAACAGTGAGAGCCATATAAACTTACCCCAACACTAAAGACAGCACCAACAGTAAGAGCCATATAAACTTACCAGCACACACTAAAGACAGCACCAACAGTAAGAGCCATATAAACTTACCCCAACACTAAAGACAGCACCAACAGTAAGAGCCATATAAACTTACCAGCACACACTAAAGACAGCACCAACAGTGAGAGCCATATAAACTTACCCCAACACTAAAGACAGCACCAACAGTAAGAGCCATATAAACTTACCCCAACACTAAAGACAGCACCAACAGTAAGAGCCATATAAACTTACCAGCACACACTAAAGACAGCACCAACAGTAAGAGCCATATAAACTTACCAGCACACACTAAAGACAGCACCAACAGTGAGAGCCATATAAGCTTACCCCAACACTAAAGACAGCACCAACAGTAAGAGCCATATAAACTTACCAGCACACACTAAAGACCCAGCACCAACAGTAAGAGCCATATAAACTTATCCCAACACTAAAGACAGCACCAACAGTAAGAGCCATATAAACTTACCCCAACTCTAAAGACAGCACCAACAGTAAGAGCCATATAAACTTACCCCAACTCTAAAGACAGCACCAACAGTAAGAGCCATATAAACTTACCAGCACACACTAAAGACAGCACCAACAGTAACAGCCATATAAACTTACCAGCACACAAGATGGAGACAGCCAGAGAAATCATGACGAAGATTCCTAGGACCAGCACTGTCTAGGATTCAAGTTTTAAATGGCATCATATTTCGGTTCTAAAACAGGCTGAAAGCACTTTTCTTTTTAAAATCAAGATAGTTTTCATTTTTTTTTAAAGATAAAGAATTTGGTCTAAGAATTATTTTTTTCTTTTTTAAATCGACGCAATCTTTGTCTGTCTACATTGACCGTGTTTGATGTCACGATAGAGATAGGACCAAGATGACCTTTTATACCTGACATGACACCTGATGTCATGTGTTCGACCTGTTCTAAGACCAGACGTGTGCCACAACTACAGATAAGAAACTTTGTTTGTGTAACATCTTAACCTAGATCTACCAGTCACAGAGCACCATCTTGACCCAAATCAAGTGGACGTTTTCCTGCCTTTAGATCAGTTTTTCATCACGCGATAGATTAGCCTGGTTTGTGTACGTCATGCTAGTACCAGCTTGTCCAAATGTACATAGTGTTTCCATTTGTACATGTACACACAGTGTTTCCATATGGTACAACACGGCTGTAGATAGATCGAGGCTTCAAACTTCCACTCTAGTTAGAGCCATGCATTAGGTAGCGACTTGATCACACAGCATAATTGGGAGGGACATTCAGTATTTAATCCAACACATCTGGCAACTGTGTCTTTGTTTTTTGTCAATAGTAAAAATTTTCTGGCCAATCATACATTTAAGCGTCTATTAATTTTAACATAAATCGAAAAAAAAATTATTTGAAATTCTTTTTATTACATCTCATTAATAATGCATTATTACATAAATATAAATCACAAACACATCAATACAAATACTGATAAGTCCAACTTTTCAAACAACCAATTTATATAAAATTGTACAAAAATAATATCCAGAGCAAACATGTTGTGCGTAGTTATCTAAATAAGTACACAGTAATAGGTCATGTACATGGTACACAGTAATGCTTCATGATGTACAGGGTACACAGTATTGCTTCATGGTACACAATATACTTTCACACAGTATGGAACAACTTGACATTCAAAACAAACTGTAAACATATTCAACCAAATAAACATGCACCAAACAATTCATTCTGACGTGTTATTGCACAAAATATGTCACTGTTCCTATGTCTGACCTAACATAACCTGACATGTGACGTGTCTGTCAAATCTCTATCTAATGATGGCATATGTCATAAAACTTTTGACAGAATCTTCAAAGCCTGCCCAGAATTGTGTCTGTCAAATCTCTATCTGACGATGGCATATGTCATAAAACTTTTGACAGAATCTTCAAAGCCCGCCCAGAATTGTGCCTGTCAAACCTCTACCTGACGATGGCATATGTCATAAAACTTTTGACAGAATCTTCAAAGCCCGCCCAGAATTGTGCCTGTCAAACCTCTACCTGACGATGGCATATGTCATAAAACTTTTGACAGAATCTTCAAAGCCCGCCCAGAATTGTGTCTGTCAAACCTCTACCTGACGATGGCATATGTCATAAAACTTTTGACAGAATCTTCAAAGCCCGCCCAGAATTGTGCCAGCCTGTCCTCGTCATTGGAGCAGAACTTCCTGAAATCCGCCAGCATCCTGTCCTGGAACGCCTCGTCCCCCGTGTAGACGGAGCGCCAACGCTTGGAGGACATGTAGTTCCAGGACCAGAGGAACCCCACCTCGTTGGGCACGGACTCGGGGCGGCCCTGCCTGGCGATGTACAACTTGTGCAGCTCTGAGGCGCACTTCTTCAGCAGGCTGTGGGACTGATCCCCGCTCGACTTGGGGTCCTTGGACTGATCCCCACTGGGGTCCCTGAGATCTGGGGTCTTGCCTGTGATGCTCTCCGGGATGAATATGAACATGCCTGCCGTGCAGTGGACGTACTGGTGGTTGGTGGTCGAGGTGTCGCTCTCACAGCTGGCCGGGACCTTGACACTGGCGGGTAGGAAGCCAAACCTGAGGACAGGACAACAAACTATCAGGGGATATGCTCATAATTTATCTGAACTCAACTCAAATATAACCTTCAGTCAATCTCCCAAAACGTGTAGCAAAAATCAAATCAGAACTCAGGTTACTTAAACTTCGCTGATTTCTATTGTGATGCTGCTGCCTTGGGTCAATAGAGAGATGAGCTCACTTACCTTTTAATAATGGCATCTTGAATAAAGTAGAGAATCTGTTGTCTGTCTGAATCTGGGAGGTCTGTGGAGAGATAAGACCAGACTCTAGAACCAGCATGTTTATCTGGCCAATGTTTATTTCTATTGTCTGTTACTATGGCAACCAGTTCCTATCAGGGACAAAGATTTTAACTGACCCTTGGAATAAAAAGAAAACTCTTCTCCCCACCACAATGGGGAAACTATAGTGGGAAGGTGGTGTCAAACTTGTGTAACAATTTGTGATTAGCATGGGTAAACCTGACTTACCTTGAAGAAATTCAGCATTTAATGCCTGCATGTTTAGTGGTACAAAAATTGGTCCTCTGAGAGGGTCAGAGTTCTCAGTGTAGGGGAGGGCGAAGGGGTCACATGGTACAGGGATCAGGTGAAACCCACATGATGTTGCCCTCCTGGCAAAGGCGTACACCTGTGGATAGAACCAGGGACTAACTTTTGGTTTCAGAACACAATTGGCTTGACACAAAGACCATTCTATTTTAGTCAGGTAAAGCCTGTTTGACTATGTTACAGCCTCCACTCAGAGACTCACCAGCCCCCCCCCCCCCCCACCCCCATAGACACACCATGATAGGCCCCCCCCCCCATAGACTCACCAGGTCCCCCATAATACAGCCTGTAGCCACCATCCACTGAAGCTGAAGTTCAAAGGCTGACTTAGGGCTGTAGTAGGCGTGGTACCTGGCTATAGCGTACTCGTTCCTGTCACTCTTCTTCTGTGGGTCCATGATACAGCCCCCCCCCCCCCCCCCATAGACTCACCAGCTCCCCCCCCCCCCCCCCCATAGACTCACCAGGTCCCCCATAATACAGCCTGTAGCCACCATCCACTGAAGCTGAAGTTCAAAGGCTGACTTAGGGCTGTAGTAGGCGTGGTACCTGGCTATAGCGTACTCGTTCCTGTCACTCTTCTTCTGTGGGTCCATGATACAGCCCCCCCCCCCCCACCCACCCATAGACTCACCAGCTCCCCCCCCCCATAGACTCACCAGATCCCCCATGATACAGCCTGTAGCCACCATCCACTGAAGCTGAAGTTCAAAGGCTGACTTAGGGCTGTAGTAGGCGTGGTACCTGGCTATAGCGTACTCGTTCCTGTCACTCTTCCTCTGTGGGTCCATGATACAGCCCCCCCCCCACCCACCCACAGACTCACCAGATCCCCCATGATACAGCCTGTAGCCACCATCCACTGAAGCTGAAGTTCAAAGGCTGACTTAGGGCTGTAGTAGGCGTGGTACCTGGCTATAGCGTACTCGTTCCTGTCACTCTTCCTCTGTGGGTCCATGATACAGCCCCCCCCCCACCCACCCACAGACTCACCAGATCCCCCATGATACAGCCTGTAGCCACCATCCACTGAAGCTGAAGTTCAAAGGCTGACTTAGGGCTGTAGTAGGCGTGGTACCTGGCTATAGCGTACTCGTTCCTGTCACTCTTCCTCTGTGGGTCCATGATACAGCCCCCCCCCACCCACCCACAGACTCACCAGATCCCCCATGATACAGCCTGTAGCCACCATCCACTGAAGCTGAAGTTCAAAGGCTGACTTAGGGCTGTAGTAGGCGTGGTACCTGGCTATAGCGTACTCGTTCCTGTCACTCTTCCTCTGTGGGTCCATGATACACCCCCCCACCCCACCATAGACTCACCAGATCCCCCATGATACAGCCTGTAGCCACCATCCACTGAAGCTGAAGTTCAAAGGCTGACTTAGGGCTGTAGTAGGCGTGGTACCTGGCTATAGCGTACTCGTTCCTGTCACTCTTCCTCTGTGGGTCCACCTCCACATTGGTGTACTTGTGTAGCAGGGTTGCTAGGGTAACAAGGGAGGTAAATGTGTACAACTTTCCTTGAAATCACATTAAATAGTTTTTACTTTAAAATTTGGTAGTTTCCACTGAAGATAGCCTTAGATTTAAACAAACTGGTATTTGTGTTTAAGACTTCTGTCTTGTGAAATAAACAAGTTTCAGAAATAGTTTTGATTGTAAACAAGGCAACATGATTTAATTAACAAGATTAAAAATAACCAGTAAATTATATGAAGATTGCAGTGCACTCAAAACCATTTTTTAATGATCATATAATTATAGAAAAAGCTGACTATTATTTCAGAGGAAAAATTATCTTTAACAATCCAACTATTGGTCAGCAAATTTGGAATATTTTTTAAATATCATAATCTATAATGTTAAATTACTTTCATGATGCTATTATTTTTTAAACACCATCAAACAACTCTCCAGGAATAATAAATGACTAGCTAGAGGCAACTGTAAGCAAACTACAAGACATAATAATAACTTCAGTTAGGTCACATTAAGTAGTAACAGCTACACCTTCTAACAAAGCATTTCTAGATGGACATAATCAAAAATTTTCACAGACATGACATCTTCCAGGTGGAGCAGAGTTCATGTCAAAAATGTCATTTGCTTGATGAAGTCTTAACTATATTCTTCATCTCAATGTTCACATTTTCAAATTAAATACATTCAGAGGTCATACATCTTTAAAGTTATTTAATTTAGGTTTAAATTTTAAATGACCCATTAAATTCAAGTTTTTGTATAGCAATAACTTAAACCTCAACCAAAATTCAAACCTTAATTTGAAAACAAAAATCTAACAAGCTTAATTTTAATCTTAAGGCTACTAAACTAATGTACATCTACACACTGCCACCATTTAATTGAGTTTAGTTTCCATAAGCAAGCATACACAAGGTTATAGATGTTTATAATAGCAACAGTAGGTCACATAACATTTAACTATATTGATAGAGCTATTCAAGACTTGCTACAATTGGAGATAAATACATATTCATGCAATGGTTATATAGATCAGTTAGCAACAGGAGTAGAATTGCTAATCTAGGTGACTTTTGCAACAACAGCTGGAATCCTACAAACAACAGCTACAGCCATGCAGCTACAGCCATAATGACTACAGCCAAATTGGCTACAGCCATGCAGCTATAGCTATACAGTCATAAAACAGCCAGAGAGATAAACTGCCATTAGAAAGCCACAACATCTAGACAGCTACAACATTGAGAAGCTACAGCAACAGCTGCAATAGTATCAAAACTTTAATAGTTCTCAACAACATCTTTATAATTTATATTCTCTAAATGGGAGGGCACAGGTGCACTACACAGGTGCACTACACATGGTGTAATGATGGACATGGTGACACAATGCCTTAGATCCCTCTGGAGTAGCTTCATGCGCTTGTAAATGTAAATGTATCTTAATGGTCTCACAATGCATCATGTTATAAACTCTATGCATGCAAACAAACAGCTTTAGTATATTGATAGGGTTTGGAATGGGGCATGGGATCTGTTATGCAGATTAAAAATCAGTGCTTTAAACAATTCAAACTGAATGATTACAAACAACATAAAATATTGCAACACACCCATACACAAAGCATTACAATATAAATAGTCAAAATTATATATTAAAATTAAAGGAACATTAATTAAAAACATGAAAAATATGCATTAAATACTCTGAAGGGTTATAATGTCTAAGATCATAAACAATGTTATGAATACAAGCAATGTATTAAGAAAAAAAAACTAACAAAACACAAGAAACAATAAATGGAACATGCCAAGCAACCAACTAGTGAATGTGTTAAAAACTCAGCCTCTCTGTTACCTTTGTAGTAATCATTTATTCTGACACCTCCATAATAACTCTGGTCACAGTCATCTGCATTGCGAGATGAGAGTTATGTCCCTTATATTAGTACACATGAGATGAGAGTTACGTCCCTTACATTAGTGCAAATCAGCCCAGTAGGGTCACAATCAAAATGCTCACAATTTCCCATCTTATAATGCATTCAGTAGAAAAATGGAATTTGATATAAGTACTTAAAAGCCATTCTTGATCATTCAAAAAACAAATATTATAGGCCTAACTGGGTTTTTTTTTTAAATAAAGTTAAGTTTTCTGAATAATCTTTGAAAATAGAACTATTCAAGAAATCTTTTTAAGCATTATTGTTTTTAATTTGTGTCAAATAGCAAGCTCATACCAAACTGGTTAATTATTTTCTCAATATGCATATATTAAGCATTAATTGTGCTTAAATTGTAGGGTTCTAGCAGAAAATTGCAAGGAATAGTTTTAGGTTCACATTGGGTCACACCTTTACCACACACCCTATACAGGACACCTTTACCCCACACCCTCCACTAAACCAACACTGGACGGGTGGACACTTATGACTCCCCCCCCCACCCCCAATTCTGGACACAACATTAGCACCCCCCCCCCCCCCACACACACACAACAGCTAATACTGGATAGCTTAAATCCCCCACCCAAACTAATAATTCTCCCCCCCTCCCCTAAAATAAATCATCCAATACTAGTGAAATTCTCACCTGGTAGATTGCCCACACCTAGTCGCTGGCCCGTCAACACCCTCCAATCATCCTGCTCAGGTAACAACATGGAGTCAGACCTCTGTCTCTGGGGCTCATGGGGCACGTAAAATTTGGATTTTGTGTCACTCTCTGATGACCCTGAACCTGCAACAAAAAATTTGGATTTTGTGTCGCTCTCTGATGACCCTGAACCTGCAACAAAAAATTTGGATTTTGTGTCACTCTCTGATGACCCTGAACCTGCAACAAAAAATTTGGATTTTGTGTCGCTCTCTGATGACCCTGAACCTACAACAAAAAATTTGGATTTTGTGTCACTCTCTGATGACCCTGAACCTGCAACAAAAAATTTGGATTTTGTGTCACTCTCTGATGACCCTGAACCTGCAACAAAAAATTTGGATTTTGTGTCACTCTCTGATGACCCTGAACCTGCAACAAAAAATTTGGATTTTGTGTCGCTCTCTGATGACCCTGAACCTGCAACAAAAAATTTGGATTTTGTGTCGCTCTCTGATGACCCTGAACCTGCAACAAAAAATTTGGATTTTGTGTCCACATCAGATAACCAAATTTGTAAAACTTTGAACACCAATATTATCTCTAAAGTTGTTTAGATTTTGTGGAGGCACTTGTCCCTGAGGCAGATGCATACAGAAAGGGGTTTATGAAACATTTTGCTGGCACAATTTGTTCTTTGAGTTTGACAGACTAAATTGATACAATTATGCAAATTTTGTTTAGCGATAAATGTTCAAAACTATAACTGGAGTAATAGCTTGAAACAAATTAAGGCGTTTTACTATTTAAAGAACTTAAAACACAAGATCTTACTATCTTCTTCTTCAGCCTCCTGTACTGGCAGGACAGACACCTCAGACTACACATAACACCACACATAACACCACACATAACACCACACACAACACCACACACAACACCACACACAACACCACACACAACACCACGCACAACACCACACATAACACCACGCATAACACCACGCATAACACCACACATAACACCACACATAACACCACACATAACACCACACATAACACCACACATAACACCACACATAACACCACAAGATCTTACTATCTTCTTCTTCTTCAGCCTCCTGTACTGGCAGAACAGACACCTCACACCACTCGTTCTGGAAGAGGAAGTTGAAATTGGCGCCAGGTGTGTTGAAATGTGTGCTGGGGTGGCCACCACTGATGTCTGCTGTCTGACCTGGAACATCATCACCTTTATAAGTTCTACAGTAGTAGCTTACACCTGCTAGGTAGGGCAAGGGAGGGTTTTAACCTTCTAATAGACACAATACAGTGAAAACATTACAGCCAGGAATTTTTTTTTTATCAGGAATGCTAGAAAGCTATTCACAGTTACTAACAATAATATAGAAATGTTCTAGTGTAAATCTTTTTCTATGCTACGCAAGACAAATGAAGCCTAACAAAAGAGTCCGTGCAGAAAAATCTAAAAAGGAGAATAATAATTTTTAAATAGTGTGCAGTGTTATTGAAAAGCAAGTAATTATAAAAGTTGATTATTTGGATTAGAGCATCTATATACATAATTCTCTTCTGGGAGATGGGGGGGGGGTGTAGGGTAGGGGTTGGGGAAATGATGGTAGGGGTAGGGGTTGGGGGAAAGGAGGGTGGGAGTAGTATCGCTCTTAACGACCTACTGATAGTGTTTTAAAGCAAATATTTTCAGTGGCAGCATTGGTACTGTCGAATTCACAAATTATGAATTACTGAAAAGTAGAAAATAAAACAACTAAATAGTGGCATATAATATGCCGCGGGTCGGTTCGTTCATTTTATTCGGGTTATTTGTAAATATTTTCAGTAGCTAAAATTTTAGTAAAAGCCAAGTTTTTTTTCTTGTGCCCACATCGTAGTGTAAACAAACAAGGCTTAACTAGGTCATACTATTGTTCTATGGTATAAATAGCTTGGAATTGCCAAAATGGAGACAAAGAATTTTATTTTAATTTTTCACGCATTAAAAAACTTTTCCTAATTCCATTGAAAAAATTAATTACTGGAAGAGAGGGGGCAAAAACTAAAGGTGTTCTCTAGCCAATCAAAGTTTACAAAAGAGAAATGTTAAGTTGAAACATGGGTGCATGGAAATAAAAATATAAAGAGAAATAATATTTTCATGCTCTCTGCAGTTGCAAATTTAATACAACACTGATTCTTACATTTTTCAGCTCATTTCAATATTTAACTTTATATGCTAATGCCAGAAGTATTATAAGTAATGCAGCAACTTTTGAAAAACAAACTGATTGAGAACTGTTTTTAAAAAATATTTAAAAGCTTTGATTGGCTAAATTAAAAAACTATTAAAATGTATTGGTTAAAGAAAAAACAATGAAAGCCTATTGACTGAGAGCAGCGTCTAACCTGCTTTAACCAGCTTCTGTGGGATGTAGTACAGGTAGAAGCCGTAGATGAACTTGTGTTTACTGTGGCCGGAGCAGTGGAGGATCAGCTGGTCATCCATCAGTCTCTGAGGGGGAAAACACAGATAACAACTACAGCAGCAGTTCAGTAATGCTGACCAGAGGGCAAACTACAACTCACTGTCATGACTTAAGTCATCTAAGGGTCAAGTCTGGACACAGCTAGAACAGATACAAACAAAACTCCACAAAGAACCCAGCCTCACCTGAAACAGAGCCACAGCCTGGGCAATGGTCTCCGCGCCCTGGATGCTGCGTCTGCACCACTCGACAGCCTCGGCTGAGATGAAAGTGTTGACAGGAAGTCCAGCTTGTGTCTGGATCAAACTCAGGCCATGCCTGCAGGGAGCAGACGCACACAGAAATTGGTTTAGGAAACATTGTTACTCGCACTTTGTTCATTAACAGACTATATTACTTCAATTATCAAAAAAATGTATTTGTTTCAAAAGTTCAAAACTGTAACTAGAGTAAAAGCTTGTAACAAATTAATGTGCTTTAAATATTTTTTAAAGAGCATAAAAACAAATATTTTTAACTAACAAGCCAAGCTTTTAAAGCGTATTTAGCTGGCTCTATCTATAAATCTGAATGAATAATTTTCCTATCATGTTCCCTATTCAGTGTAAACAAATTTGTGAATTTACTCACACAGGATCCACCAGAGCTTCAATGATCTTCATGGCTGGGGATGCAACATTCAACTTCTCTTCCTTCTCCTTGCTTCTGGCAACATACAACAACAGTGATAGAAACATGTACATTCTCATACAACAAACATGGTAGAAACATGTACATTCTCATACAACAAACATGGTAGAAACATGTACATTCTCATACAACAAACATGGTAGAAACATGTACATTCTCATACAACAAACATGGTAGAAACATGTACATTCTCATACAACAAACATGGTAGAAACATGTACATTCTCATACAACAAACATGGTAGATATATATAAATTTTCATACAACAAACAGCCTCTTTCTGATTAAACATTTAATCTGATCCTTCACTTAACCTCTCATACAGTAGTTGACCCAACCAACACAACTTGACCACAAGAATGGACCTACCCCTCGTGCTCAGACTTTCTGGGGCTGGAGTCCCCAGCAGCTGTGGGTGAGTTGGATGCCTCAGCTTTTGACTTCCTCTGTGTCCTCTTGAGCTTGTTCATGGTCTCCAGGAATTTGATGAACCCATTGATCAACAGCTTCAGCTCCTTGCTGCTCTTCTCTTCATAGATATCACACCTGGGGACAAATGTTTCAAACTAATGTACAGAACAGACAAACTGGACAAATGTACAGAACAAACTGGACAAATGTACAGAACAAACTGGACAAATGTACAGAACAAACTGGACAAATGTACAGAACAAACTGGACAAATGTACAGAACAAACTGGACAAATGTACAGAACAAACTTGACAAATGTACAGAACAGAATACTTGTGTGAATGAAAATAGGTTTTTTTTTTCTTTTCCTTTTTGGCACTGATTCTTGAACAAAAATTCACATCAAACTCTTTGAACACAGGTTAAAACAGATCAGACACACACGATAAGATAAACAGATGAGAAAACCATGATGACATACCTCTCTGTTTCTTTCTCACAAATCTTCTTGGTGGCCACGTTATTGGATGGCAGGAGGAAGAATCTTGACCGCCAGTATTTCAAGGGCTACAAATTAAACAAGGTGGGTAAAAGTGTCAAATTTAACAAATTCTTTCTTGTTGCGATGGCTGAAGCTCCAGTTTCAAAGCCTGGTCTAGCCTGGTCAAGTCAATTGGCAGATTTAAAAGTTTCTATCAATAATACCAAGGTCTCAGTCTCCAGTGTACCAATGTACAGGACACCTTTACTGATACAAGAACCTCAACCTTTACAGACACTAATGATCTCAACCCTTACATCAACAATACCAACCTTACACCAACGAGCCAAACTTGATCCTCATGAGCCCAAATCGGACACCCCATGAGCCTAAATATGACCCCCATGAGCCCAACCCTGACCACCAAAGACCCCAACCCTTGCACCAAAGACCCCAACCCTTGCACCAAAGACCCCATGCCACCCCTTACACACCAAAGAGCCCAACCCTATCCCCCCACCATGAACCTCACACCAAAGAGCCCAACCCTGCCCCCCATGCCCCAACCCTTACACACCAAAGAGCCCAACCCCCCCCCCCCCCACCATGAGCCTTACATCAATGAGCCCGTGCTCCCAGTCCCCCTGGGTACAGATGTACTGGTCCAGATGGTTCCAGTTGTAGTTCTCCAGCTGTTCACTGGAGAAGTTGGTCCAGGACACGTCATAGCTGTACGAGTCTGGGGCCTGGAACCTGTACTTGTAGTTGTAGCTCAGCTGGGGCTGGGGGTGCCTGCAAGTAGTAGGGTCATGGGGTCAAGGACAGTCACATGGTCCAGGACACGTCATAGCTGTACGAGTCTGGGGCCTGGAACCTGTACTTGTAGTTGTAGCTCAGCTGGGGCTGGGGGTGCCTGCAAGTAGTAGGGTCATGGGGTCAAGGACAGTCACATGGTCCAGGACACGTCATAGCTGTACGAGTCTGGGGCCTGGAACCTGTACTTGTAGTTGTAGCTCAGCTGGGGCTGGGGGTGCCTGCAAGTAGTAGGGTCATGGGGTCAAGGGCAACCATGGGGTCAAGGACAGGCATGGGGTCAAGGACTGTCAAGGGCGGTCATTGTGTCAAGGACGGTCATGGGTCAAGGATGGTCATGGGGTCAAGGACAGTCATCGGGTCAAGGGCAGTCATGGGGTCAAGGACAGTCACTGGATCAAAGATAGTTTAGAGCATTAGCTAAAAAAAATTTAACTTGTTACAGAATTTTTTTTAAATCAATGATCACCTGGGCCAGTAACGAGTGACACTGATGGTCTGCCCCTGCATGGTCAGCTTGTGGTAGATCCTCCCTATACTCATGTAATATTCCTCCTGGTCAAGGGGGGGGGGGGGGGAGGGCAGAAGGTAGCGTTAATAAGCATCAGTTTTTAAATTTTGTTTAAGATGTTTAGCTAAACCTCTCTTTATATTACAAAAACATTCAAACAAAAGTAAACAGAAATGATGTATCTAAAACATTTGAAACAAAAGTGAACAGAAATGATGTCTCTAATACATTCCTACAGATGTAAACAAAATGATGTATCAGCCTAATTGAATGTGTATCCTTACATCAGGTTCCTTCTTGATTGCCCTCATGAACTGGGTAGAGCCTGCAGCTATAGCAGAAGTCTCCGACTGCTGGACAGATTTTTTCTTTTTGATCAGTTGAAAACCCTAACAGTTGAAGAAAACTTTCAATTAAATTTTGTGTCACAGAAACAAGGATAAACTGTTGGCCTAATTAGTTTAATTAGCTGTTCAGTTTCTTGTAACATTTCTTCCACTACATAAACTAATGTACATAGTTAATTGACTATAAGATACTAAATTCTATGGCACATTCAATCAAATAAAATGAACAACAGCAGATGAAGATAAATTGTATTTAGAATAGCTAGATGAGCTCCATAAAGACCTACCTGGCCAAGACGCTGTGAGATTAGCTCCATGAAGACCTGATGGTTAGTCAAAGGTTGCCGCCTGTACACAAAGAGCGTCTTGTCTTCACACGTGGGGGACCTGTCATCAACAGAGCTGACATTTACCACAGTGACAACACTGCTACACACTTCACACACCCACACCTCCCCAGGGTGGCCAAGGGAAAAGGTCAATATCCTTCTCCCTTGGTCACTCGGAGAGGACGTGCCAGATTTTTACCTGGTTTTCATAGGACAACCAGAATTTCCTTAACTATGATGAAAACTGGATTCATGGACACAGTTAAATTATGTTAGCAATTGATAATCAATACTTAATTTGTAATTTCAGTGGTTCTAAAAAAATTACTAAAATATTTAATAACTAGTACCTAGGCCATAAAGCCCAAATAATTATAACATCACCAGTACCTAGGCCCAAATCTCAGTTATAAAATCACCAGTACCTCGGCCATGAAGCCCAAATCTCAATTATAAAATCACCAGTACCTCGGCCATGACGCCCAAATCTCAGCATTGACATACTCTGGCAGCAAGGCGTACTCAGAGACAAAGTAATCAAACTGGATGCTCCTGCGATCAGGGAAATAATCTGTTGTGACAGGCAGGGAGGCGGGGATGGTCAGGGACTTCCAGTCAACAGCTGAAAGAGAAGGTCAAAGTTCACATCAATATAGATTTAAAAGCTGGGCTTGAGAAAAACAACTACTGCCACCTCAAAACAAAATTAGGTATAGTTACTACAAATTTTACAATCTTCTGTACAAATTGTAAGTAGTGTCATGCACTTTCCCTCCTAAAGTGGAAATAATGGCTATATGCTTAAAACAGATCCTAGATATGTTCTTAGCATTATGATATCATTCAGGCAAATTTAAAATCAATCAAAGATTAAAAGCTGGTATAAATCAAATTATAATATATTAGGACACTAATCATCTGAAAAAATGAACTCTGTAATCAAATTATCAGCTGTTGATAAACCATTTCTTCCACTACTAATGAATGCTGCTAAAGTTATCAGGAAACTAAAGTATTTAACAACTGCTCAGTTATTTTAAGGAACCTAAATCAATAATACAAAAATATAAGATGCATCCTTAAGTTTTCTTCCAAAACAAAAAAATTAATCTTTGACATAAATGAAAGCTAATTTTTGGAACTCCTGTAATTAAGATTTAATTAAGTTTTGTTTTTGTTTTTCAATTTTATTTTATTTTGAAGAAAACCTAAGGCCAAACCGTTTTAAACGGCCATCATAAAAAAAAGTGCGGAAAATATTTAAACAGTGTAATGAATAATATGTAACCATAACAAATCATGTGAATGTCCAAATCATAGGGGTAACCCAACAAAGTTACAATTCCACCAACAAAAACTACACACTACAGCAGCAAACTACACACTACACACTAAATACATAGGTACCACTGTGTTAGCTTATTATTTTTATATTTCTAACTAATGACAAGCACTAAAAAAATCTGGCATGACTCTTGTTCAGGTAGTTTGAGGATGCAATGTATTTGGGGCCAGTTCTAGACTAACAATAGGGAATTTAAAGTGGTTAACTTGATTCAGTGGCGCTTATTGTGGGAATATCATTGCTCTTAGACTGCTTCTCATTTTTCCAACTTCAATTTGCATTTCAATAGTAGTTAATATTAAAAATATTACTTTAATAACAATATAAACAAAAGTCACATAAGAATCAATTTACAAGTACAAAATCTTTAATGTCAAAAGATGAGTTAAATGCCAATCATAGCTTAAAAGTCTCAAAGAAGTAACTTGGTCTACCTATGAATACTTTATACAAGGGGTTGATTTTCTCTGATCAATTTGATACTTATACAATGTTTTACTGTAAAGAATATCTTGATATTAAATAGCCTGAGATGGCATGGGTGAATTTATGTTACCACAACAACTAGTGTTGTTAGTCACACCAAACTACAACAACATACACATTTCTCAGTGCTTAGCACATTAGTCACACCAAACTACAGCAACATACACATTTCTCAGTGCTGAGCACATAGTCACACCAAACTACAACAACATACACATTTCTCAGTGTTTCAACAGACACTAGTCCTTACACTGGAGTTGTATCAGTAGGACTAAAAGTTAGTCAAAGCTCATTCAATAGGCCACTACAACTCACACAAAACACAAAATTGATTCTAAATACAACCAGCAGCTACCTTGCCTGTGCCATTACTTACCAAAACAGCTGTAGCAAGACTAATTAATTGATACATAGTGACAAGCTACTAACATGGAATCTATCAGAGTAAGGTCTGACTTCTACCATCACTGTCCAACTACATACATGATAAAATGGGCTAACTTTAGTGCAAATAAAAATCTAAATAACGACCATACCCCATGTTAAAACTAAATAATGACAAAACCCCATGTTAAATCTAAATAATGACCATACCCCATGTTAAAACTAAATAATGACCATACCCCATGTTAAAAATTAACATGTATTCATACCAAAAAAAAATAGTATGCAGTCCCCTCCCCATGCCAACCAGGTTAAATCCCTTAACACAATGTGCGCAGATTACAACACCAGTTCATCAAAGTCATTTTTGTTTCAAGTGGTGTGCACACTGAACATAATCATATGGTATATTGGATGTTTGTTTTTATATACAATGATGGAGGTGTCACTACACATAGTTTGTTTACGGCATGCCCACAATATTTCCTTAACTGTACTCTGAATTCATGCCCTTGTGAACACCAACAGATCTAAAGGAAACATTTTCATGAAAGCTTCAACACTGTTACCAGCAATCATGGAAAAATTTCACCTCTCACAAACATGTATAAAATCTACAGTCTTTACTAGTAACAAAAATGAAAGAGCTTATGTATTAATAGTCAAATTACCTAGAAAATAATATTTCAACCAAATTATGTAGGAAAAGTTCTAGTTCTACATAACTAGGCTCAACTTGAAATACAACTATATCTAAAAAATCAAATAATGATTTCTCTATTTTTGAAAGGTGATGAATAAAACATTCTGGTGCTGAATACAAGGAAATGAAAGTAAGGGCAGCAACTAACATGAAAAACAATACAACTCAAATCTCTAACACCAGTACAAGAACTTAAAAACTACTGGGTTAATATCCCATATCACTTGATGAGTAAATAAAATAGGAGCAATGTTTATATACTTTGTGTAAGTTTCAATATTAGTCACTGTGAACTTAAAATCTTGGATATATTGTTATACACTAGTAACACAGAAATAACCAACTAAAGATTGTAACTAAAAATACTTGGTTAGATGTGTATATATGGTGGTATGCATATAGCAAAGTACACTACTGACCCAAGCAAAGAAAACATTGAAAAGTGCAAAGAAAGTGATGTCTATGCAAGCAACAACTATTAGCCTACATCTTTGGTTTGGGTGGTAATTAATTATACTTTCTAATCAAAGTATATTTTTAGTTAACTTATAAAGTGCAAATAAGCAATGTATAGAACAGGCATCATCCAATTAAGTTTAAAAAATTTATTTTTAAATTTTTCTAAAGCTTAAAGTGCATAACTTATTAATTTTTTTGGATAATTTAAAAGCATAAAATATTGTGCTAATTTCATTATTCTGACAAACTGCACAAAATGTGAATAAAAATGGAAACCAAAGATGTGAAGGCCAGAGAGAGAGTGCCCAGCTACACAGGAGCGAACTAGAACACAGAACTACACGTGTAAGCCACATGGCCGGTGGAAACAAAGACTCTCTTACTCAGACCCTCCACAAACATATTGGATTGGATATCTCCACTAAATATAGATTTTGTCAGCCTTGACCCCTCCTTGTGCTGGAGGTCAGGGTCTAAAGGCCGCCAGTCATAGCCTGCAGAAGAGTTAAATATCCAAAAAGGTAAAAAAGACAGTGTTTGAAGTACAAAGTAGTGATAAATCAATTATGTTTATGAAATAATCTAAATTTTTTTTAATGAGAGAAGTACAAAGCAAAAATAAATAATTTCAGTATATCTATTAAATTATCTAAATTATTTAAAGGCTAAATTAAAAGTAGAGATAAATCATTTCAGTATGTTTATGAAACTATCGAAATCATTTGAAATTACAAAAAAATCTCAGCTACACCTGAATGAATATTACCATTACAAAATTTACAGATTTCTAAACACTGAAAATACTCGTATATTTTTTTAGCTGTACAAGCCTACCAATTCAAAAATCACAAATTAAAAAAGCAAATTCAAGGTTCTGTTAGTCAAACCAGAAAATTAATTTGTACTTCATTATGCGGGGGGGGGGGGGGGATATGTTACAAGCAAAACAAAAATTACTTCAGAGCTTGTTTTTTGAAAATCTCAAATCAAGTTAGTTCGTCAGGCTATTTTAACCTTTTTATTAGTGCATAATTTATTTCATTAGGTCCATTAGGCGTTGTTTTTATTGGGTTTTTTTTTACAATAAGTAAATTGTTATTTTGTAAAAAAAACTTCAGATACTTTTTAAAAGTTTCACAAAGAAAATTTTAAGTTTAAAAACACTAAAAAATCATTATTTTTAACATTCAATTAATTGAATGTAAGTACTTCACTTGCAAACATGTACTGTGCACTTATTTTAATCATCAGGCTGCATGTAACATTGTATCCTGCCTTAGAGCCCCAACTAGGATTGAATTAAACAATATGGCTGCCCAAACTGCAGGAGCCAAGATATTAGCATATCATGCACCTCAAGCTTGTTACACAGGCATTGTGGGAAGAAAGTGGGAGAAACTTCTGGATAATTAGTCCATCATCAAATTCACCAATGCCAGTGAAACACCTAACACTAAATGAAAGTCAGGACCTGTATTTATTTCTAAAAAAAATTAAATTGTAATTAATTAAGCATGTTTAAAAAAAATATTGCACTCAGAATTGTCCTCTTATGGTTTAACAGAAAGTAAAGAGTAGAATGAAACTAGTATAAGTTGGACTCAGAGGGTTAATTTTACATTTTAAATATGTGAAAATCTTTACCATAGCTTTTAATTAGATTGACTGAAAAGCTAAGTTCTATTTTAAAAAATTGTTTTTTTTTTCCTTTTATTCTGCAGGAATTTTATGGTTTCTTATTCCAGATACACTCCTGATTCAATTTTTTAAACTAAGTTCAACATTTACTTAACAGGGGAGACGATTTACAGTCAATCATTCCATTTAGTTAACATGGGAGATAATGCAAGAGATGGGAAGGTTTACAAGGGGATAACAAGGTTGAATGAAGCTGAGCAAGTAACATACAACAAAAAGTATTCTCTCTGATTATTTGAATCAAGGAAATTAGCATCAAGTAAACTAGCAGGTAGTGGTGTCTGGGTAATTTATTATCTATTTTTATCAGTGAATTAAAGCCATACAAATACTATTCAAAATTTCAATTGAGTTGATCTTCAAATCCTTGGGTATATTAGGAGTAGATAGTTTTTTTGAAAATATGCCATTTTACGTATTTTAAGTAGTTTCATTAAACTGTAATGCTACTTATTTAGATTAAAACTGATTGAAAGGGCTACAACCATGCATACAGCACAATCACCATCTACCATGCTATATGTATGTTCTACAACAACTTTGTGATATTAATACATGATCCTGTGTGAGAGAAGACGAACCTCTACATCACAAACTGCAGTGACATAATGTTTCAAGCTCATCCAGTTAGCACCATCCTTACTTTACATCTACATTTATACTGTTATTTACTTCATTTATCCAATTTTCTTTTATTCCAATTTTTTTTTTTATATAAATTAAGATTAACTGGTAGTGAATAAACTACATTTGGGCCTTCATATCCCAATATTTAAGTTGACTAAAGCTAGAGCCCCTAGCATTAAGATTAACTGGTAGTGAATAAACTACATTTGGGCCTTCATCTCCCAATATTTAAACTGTGTTAGGGATAGTTGATTAAAGCTAGAGCCCCTAGCATTAAGATTAACTGCTAGTTTATAAACTACATTTGGACTTTCCCAATATTTAAACTGTGTTAGGGATAGTTGATTAAAGCTAGAGCCCCTTCCATTAAGATTAACTGCTAGTTTATAAAGTACATTTGGACCTTCATATCCCAATATTAAGTTGACTAAAGCTAGAGCCCCTAGCATTATGATTAACTGCTAGTTTATAAACTACATTTGAACCTTCATATCCCAATATTTAAGTTGACTAAAGCTAGAGCCCCTAGCATTATGATTAACTGCTAGTTTATAAACTACATTTGGACCTTCATATCCCAATATTTAAGTTGACTAAAGCTAGAGCCCCTAGCATTATGATTAACTGCTAGTTACTACATTTGGACCTTCATATCCCAATATTTAAGTTGACTAAAGCTAGAGCCCCTAGCATTAAGATTAACTGCTAATTTATAAAGTACATTTGGACCTTCATATCCCAATATTTAAGTTGACTAAAGCTAGAGCCCCTAGCATTAAGATTAACTGCTAGTTACTACATTTGGACCTTCATATCCCAATATTTAAGTTGACTAAAGCTAGAGCCCCTAGCATTAAGATTAGCTGCTAATTTATAAAGTACATTTGGACCTTCATATCCCAATATTTAAGTTAACTAAAGCTAGAGCCCCTAGCATTAAGATTAAAATAGTAAACTGACCTGTGGTCATATCTGGAGACCAGCACTGGTCACTGTCAGCCTTTACAGATCCAAACAGGTTGGACTTGGAGGTAAAGGAAGACCTGGAGCTTTGCTGGCGTCTTAAGGATCCTGGGTTGTAAACACATTTAAAATAAAAAGATAAAAATATATATAGATATATGGCCATGCAAAGCAAGACAAAATGTTTGTAACAAGATAATGGCCCTATATAGCAAGATAATGTTCGTTTGGGAAAAGTCTGATTGTAACGAAATAATGTCCCTTTATAAAGAAGGAAATGTCCCCAAAATGCATCAGTTTGTACTTACCAGCAAATTCTATCTGACTTCTTCGGCCAGCTGGGGATTCAGCTAAGCTGGTGGCACTAGACAAATATTTATTTGTTACAGTTAGGAGTTAAACATTTGATGATAGGTGGCGCTAGACAAATATTTATTTGTTACAGTTAGTAGTCATGACAAGCATTTGATGATAGGTGGCGCTAGAGAAATATTTATTTGTTACAGTTAGGAGTCATGACAAGCATTTGATGATAGGTGGCGCTAGAGAAATATTTATTTGTTACAGTTAGGAGTCATGACAAGCATTTGATGATATTTAGGTAAAAAAATAATGAAGACAATCATCTGATGGTAATATGATACAACTTAACTTATTTTATAACTCAAGCTAATCCTTCATTAACCCATGAAAAAACAATGTAATGAGTGCTTCAATGTGTCAGTTACTTCCATATGTTACAGTAGCTGTTATGCCCCTTGAGTTAATGAGTAAAGAGTTATCCCCGTATTGTAGTGGAGTTATTACCCTTCAGTATCACTTCAGCTACTTACCACTGACTTAGTTGATCAATGTCCTGATTCCTTCTGTCTCGTCTCCCACTATAGGTGATACTTAACATAGGGCTCTGTCAGAGAAAGATAAATTAACATAGGGCTCTGTCAGATAAAGATAAATTAACATAGGGCTCTGTCAGAGAAAGATAAAAAAACATAGGGCTCTGTCAGATAAAGATAAATTAATATTGGGCTCTGTCAGATAAAGATAAATTAACAAAGGGCTCTGTCAGGAAAAGATAAATTAACATAGGGCTCTGTCAGATAAAGATAAAATAAAATAGGGCTCTGTCAGAGAAAGATAAATTAACAAAGGGCTCTGTCAGGAAAAGATAAATTAACATAGGGCTCTGTCAGATAAAGATAAAATAAAATAGGGCTCTGTCAGAGAAAGATAAAATAAAATAGGGCTCTGTCAGAGAAAGATAAATTAACATAGGGCTCTGTCAGGAAAAGATAAATTAACATAGGGCTCTGTCAGATAAAGATAAATTAATATTGGGCTCTGTCAGGAAAAGATAAATTAACATAGGGCTCTGTCAGATAAAGATAAATTAACATAGGGCTCTGTCAGATAAAGATAAATTAACATAGGACTCTGTCAGGAAAAGATAAATTAACATAGGGCTCTGTCAGATAAAGATAAAATAAAATAGGGCTCTGTCAGATAAAGATAAAATAACATAGGGCTCTGTCAGATAAAGATAAATTAACATAGGGCTCTGTCAGGAAAAGATAAATTAACATAGGGCTTTGTCAGATAAAGATAAAATAACGTAGGGCTCTGTCAGATAAAGATAAAATAACATAGGGCTCTGTCAGGAAAAGATAAAATAACATAGGGCTCTGTCAGATAAAGATAAAATAACAAAAGGCTCTGTCAGACAAAGATAAAATAACATAGGGCTCTGTCAGATAAAGATAAAATAACAAAAGGCTGCGTCAGACAAAGATAAAATAACATAGGGCTCTGTCAGATAAAGATAAAATAACAAAAGGCTCTGTCAGACAGATAAAAGATGTTAGTACAGCAATATGTTAGACAGACAAAAGATGGTACTTATCAGAATATGAATATTTAAAATGATAATGTCAGAAACACAACAACCTTTAAAATCAGCATAAAGAATTGTCTTACAACACCTCCACAGGTAGACATACATCAGACAGACATAGAACATATTCTCAGGTAGACACACATCCAACAGACATACAACAACTTTACAGGTAGACATCCATCAGACAGACATACAACATATTCTCAGGTAGACAAACATCCAACAGACATACAACTTTACAGGTAGATATACATCAGACAGACATAGAACATATTCTCAGGTAGACACACATCCAACAGACATACATCAACTTTACAGGTAGATATACATCAGACAGACATAGAACATATTCTCAGGTAGACACACATCCAACAGACATACATCAACTTTACAGGTAGATATACATCAGATAGACATACGACATATTCTCAGGTAGACACACATCCAACAGACATACAACAACTTTACAGGTAGACATGTATTTGAACCCACCTGCTGAGACTCCCTGTCTGACCAAGGGAAGTCATCATGTTCTGGGTGCTGGACGGAGTGGACATGTCGAGCTTGTATAGCCACACCTTTGTGGTCTAAAAATAAACAGTCACATCACTGTAATCTCATTGGTTCTACACATTTTCACACGACAACAAATTAAGAATTTAAAAAATAGTGGAGCTTGTTTAAAATAATAATCATTAAATTAAATTTATTTTATTTTAAAATATGGATAACACCTTTAAGACGATAACAATCTTAGTAAAAGTTAAAATGTCGAGAAAAAAACAGTTGAATTACCAACTGGGAAAGCATGAACCCATCTCCTGCGATTACTGGTCATTTTAAACTGAAGTCTGGACGGTGCAAATGGATTAATCAGTGCCCTGCGTGGTCTATAGTAGCGGAGATTCCTTGAGTGACCAACTGGTGACCCAGCGCTGCCCACCACTGGCCGTGGATGGACTAGCTCACCTTCTGACGAATCATAGGACACTCTGCTAATTGACCTCTCTGGGGTCAATGAAGAAAAATAAGTTACACAGCTTTATCAAATATATTGAGGTTAAAATTAAAATGTCAAGTTGAATGAGAGGTGGGAAAACAGATTTTGATTAATAGGAAATTGTAGCTATTGTGCTTCTATTATAATCTAAAAAGATTTCTCTGATCAACAACTAACACGTTATACACTTCCTTAAAATTAAGAAATTTAAGTAATGAATTTTCTCTATATTAAGGAAATCCAGTAAATGCTGGACTCTGCCATCATGAAAAAAGCTGAATGACTTAAACATTCCTGTTTGCTTGGGTTAGAGTTATGTGTTAAACTAAACCCAGCTAGTTGCTACCATCCACTCCTTACCTTGGATGGGGAAACAGCTGAATGACATGGACATGTCATCATGTGACTGCCAGGGATTGACATCCACTCCTTACCTTGGATGGGGAAACAGCTGAATGACATGGACATGTCATCGTGTGACTGCCAGGGATTGACATCCATTCCTTACCTTGGATGGGGAAACAGCTGAATGACATGGACATGTCATCATGAGCTGCCAGGGACTGACATCCACTCCTTACCTTGGATGGGGAAACAGCTGAATGACATGGACATGTCATCGTGTGACTGCCAGGGATTGACATCCACTCCTTACCTTGGATGGGGAAACAGCTGAATGACATGGACATGTCATCATGTGAGCTGCCAGGGATTGACATGCCATATGACGAATCTTTCTCTGGCCTGCCATTCCTGAACTGTGAGACCTCATCAGACTGGTGCCTCTGGCGTGGCTGCAGGTTCTGTTTGGCTTCAGCAAATGTTTTAGGCATCTCATACTGGGAGTTCCCTTTGGTGGAGCTAGGCAAAAAATTTTAGTGAATGTTTTAGGCATCTCATACTGGGAGTTCCCTTGGAGCTAGGCAAAAGATTTTAGTGAATGTTTTAGGCATTTCATACTGGGAGTTCCCTTTGGTGGAACTAGCAAAATAATGTAATCAATGATACATCTGTTACGTAATTTTTGCTTATCAAGGATTGAACACGAGTTAAATTTATTGACAAATTTTAAATGTACTTATTTTAAGGTTAAAAAATGTATCTTTAATACATCAACTTGCATGAAATAATATGGGTACGTTATGAGCAATTCCACACATCAAAGGAATGATCAGTTTTTAGGCACCATTTTTTTTTTAACTTACAATGTTCGAAGCAAAGTCCTAGAAGGTAATTTAAACACATTCAAGTCATATTCATCATAGTCCACAAATGGGATGTTGTCATCATTGGATGTGTTGTTTTTGGGGGGTAAAACATCTGCAACAAAAGTTTTCTCATGGCTAAAACATCTTACAAAATCTAAACTGATGATGATACTAAGGAGAAAGGAAAGAGAGTTATCAACACACAAAAATGTATTCTTACTTTTCTCCTGAACATGTGGCTTCTCTTCAATTTCCTTCAGTTCTTTCAGCTAAACAAAAAAACATTACCAACATCATTCCTTCAGAGGAGATTTATAAAACATTGGGTTTTGAAATTTGTATAAGAAATAAGGCACTGGTTCCAACCAAAGTTATGATGTTGAATGGTCTAACAAGAGATTTTTCTTACCAATGCTGGGTCCGGTTTGATTCTAGGAACAAAGGGTAAATTCATGTGGTCTTCTATCTGCTTCTTGGACATGTAAAAACTGAAACAAATTGAACACAACTTTATGTGAATCTCAATCTGGTTTTTGAGTGTGTAAAACCTTACATCAATAATTCACTAGCAGATCATATTCTCTAAATTTCCAGACATAAACTAGTTTCACTAACCTATGATTCATCCAATGTGGTATGTTATAATCATCACCAACTTCTATAGACTTGTAAGTACTTTTACTGCGGAACTAAAGAAAAAATGTGTTCACATAAGCTTTATCAAAATGAGCTTTTAATTTTATATTTATGTATAAGATAGCTCTTACTAAATCAATTGCGCTACAGCCCTAACATTTTTTACCATCATAAACAACAGTTTGCTTAAAGGAAAGACAAATTTGTGCAACTCGTTCTGTCAAGATTTAAACTGCAACTAGTAGAAAGCAAAATTTTTTTTTAAAAAAACATTGGTGCGACATATTTTAAACCTTGAAAGGCACAACTTTTTCCCATGTTAACATCTCAGGACAACCTGACTTAAGTTAATGACAGCCACACCAGTGGAACATTGTCCCAACAATATAAAGCAACATAGAAACAGATTCCTACCTTAAAGAGAGGGGCAGCATGTAAAGGTTGTTCCCCCATACAGACCAGATCACTGCCCACACCTGAAACACAACAAGGTATGATGAGTGGTAGGGTTAGGGTTACAGACCAGATCACTACCCACACCTGAAACACAACAACTTCAGGTCTTGATTTCAGCTTACAGAGTCATAATGACATGCCTAAGTCTACCCAGTTCAGATAATTGCATGACTCACATTAGGGTAAGTAACAGTGGTTGGGCATAGAACTGAACACACATGGTGAAACACAGAGAGAGGTGCACCCTACTTTATCTGCCCACTGATAGCCAGGTAAAAATGTCACCTTGACTAACTTAAACTATTGGACGGTAGAATAAACTCACCGCAGTCTATTGTCCTCTGCTTGGTGATGTTGGCCAGCTGCCTGTCCACTTCAAAGACACCTGGGCCAGGAGTGATGACAACTGATACTTTACCTGTTCTGTCAAAGTTGCGATCCAGGTAGTAATTCTCAAACACTGACCAGACAAAGTAAAGATGGTCATAAAATTTCAGACAAGATGTGGTCGAGGTAACTATAAAACAGGTTAGTTTACATTTTAAATATCAGTATTGGGTACCATCATAGCTGGGTGGATTTAGAAAAAAATTATCAGTGTTAAAAACTATACCCTCTGTAATTCTGGAGTATGGGTTCAGAAGCAAATGTGGAGAAAAATAATGGAGCCAGAGATATAAAGCTAAAAAAAAGACTCTGCCACTTTAAGCTTACAGTTTTATGGCTTTTTAAGTCTCCAGAAAACTTAGTTTATTGGATTTTACAGTGTCCATAAAACTAACAATTTAATGGTTCCAGGAAACTTACAATTGAGCGACATGTTTAAAGTTTCCAGAAAATTTAGTTTATTGGATTCCATAAAACTAACAATTTAATGGTTCCAGGAAACTTACAATTGAGCGACATGTTTAAAGTTTCCAGAAAATTCCCCTGCTGAGCATTTGACAACCTGGCCTTAGGCATCTTCCAGCCAAGTTGTTCGTTGCTGTGGAAGTTTGTGATGTACTCCTGGTACTCATTGAAGTGGATTCTCAGCTGTCGGAGGATGGAGTGCCACTCTTCGTACCGCTCATTCTGTACAATTACTCTAATAAACAATTTTAAATACGTTAAACAAAAAGCATACAAGTGCAAGACAGTAACACGTTCATCAAGTAAAACAAATCTGTGATATCAGCTTCAGATAAACATTTTAAACATACCTGTAGTAGTCTTCATAAATGTTGCCATTGGAGTCTACAATTAGACACTCCCTTATTGAAGGTGGGAACTCATCTGAAAGATTTACATGAAAACATGATCATAAACATTTCATGGTATGCTAATACTGGTTTATACATTGTCCATGATTAATATGCCACGCCCACATTGTCACCCCTAGAATGATGCCAGACCCCCCCCCCCCCCCCCCACAAATATTAGTTCAGCTGTTTCCTTTTCAGAAAGGGATTTAACTTATAATTTTAGCAAACCTGAGACAAGATTACAGACATGGATACATTTTTATTACCATTTTTTACAAAGTCGTTTTGCTTTACCTAAAGATTTAGCTTCATAAAATGTTCTAGAGAACAACACTATGGTTACATCATGTAAACAGTTTTGTTCCTGTTGAATAAAACGAAAATAACTGTTGTAAAGAACACTCCACATTACTTTAGATTAATATAAGAGGATTTTTTTAAGAAAACACTTTCCATCAGTGAGAAGAACACCTAGGGAATGCCTACCTTCCATTTGTCAAATAAATCAGTCAAAAAGCCATTGACAGCCTTCTCATAGTAGAGGTCACCATGGAGGTCAAACTCCCACATCTCAGTACTCATCTGGATAAAAATCTGGACAACAGCTGTTGGAGACCTGAAGACAATCTGAAACAAAAACATCTTCGTTAATTACCTTAATTAAAAATCAAACCCATTCTGTTAGGACATAATCAAATTATTATTTTTTTTACTGCTGAGTACTGTCTTACTCTAGTGTCCTCTGTTATAACACCACAAGTGACATTCTCTCCCTTGGCCCAGAGCTCATTTACTTGTGCTCTATGAAATCAAAAAGTCAATATATAAGACATAAACAAAAGTAAACTCTAAACTTTACACCTATCTACTGGTATAAGATTGTTTCATACATACTCAAGGTATAAATTAACAGGTTAAAAAGACATCCTTTAAATTAACAACTTCCAAAAATCAAGTTTTTTTCTAACCTCATTTCAGCATACTCAATAGTTTTCTTCAGATACACACATGTGTTAGTCTGCAAGTGCAAAATATCAGATCTGATTAACAGTGCATGATTGTAGGAACTAAACAACATTACATGTTGCAATTCAGTAATGTTATGGTCAAACTTAAAGGTAAAAAAATTCTGTTTTATGAATTCAAATAAACTTCTATCAATTTTTTTATAACCTTTTATGGCACTTATTACTAAGTTATCCTTCAAGAAAATAATTTAAATAAAATACTGCTTTACTTTTAAATAATTCAATTAGTTAAAATCAAACTAAAACTAATTATGTGCTAATTATTTTAATCCAAACTTACAATAGTTTTGCACATTCTCCACATATCACTCCGGCCAAAGTATTGTTCTTTAAACAACAGCTCTACAAGATCCAAGCCAACATTCTATAAATACAATTACCATTATCAAAAGACTTTTCAATAAAAATTATATAATTTCAAACTGTAGTGCTGATCGAATTTTTACACATTACACTGCAACAACTGAAAAAAATCAAGCATCATTATACAACAAGACCATATTAAAAATTCTACAAGTACCTTTTTATCAACTCTGTTGACAATGACAGAGTTGTAGGGTTTGAGGCTAAATGCATTGGCTATCCCTTGCTCAATACTGACACTCTCTGCAACATAGGTTAGATTTATTGACTCAAATTGTACATAAACATTGTTCAAATCAACAATACGATATTGTCAACTTAGTGCAAGGTTGGTAAACAAATGCACAAGATATTAAATTCAAAATATATTGTTTACAAGCTTTTCTTTTTAATGTACCTTTTAGCTGCGAGTCTTCAGGTATACTCTTCACTTGCAACAAGAGACGGCTGAAAAATACAAACCATCAAGTCTAACATACACAAATGCTTCTCTTACTTTAAAATAGTTTAAGGTTAATGAGTAGGCTAGATATTAATAAAGAAATTTAGAAAAATTTAGCAGGGTATAAGACAAGGATGTTGATTTAAAAAACCTCCTCCACTATCTTATATTAACATTTTTAACTGCTTGGAAACTGTACAGGATTTAAAAATCTGGACACAAAGACTTGGGTTAGCAGCCAGAACCTAAAAGCCTTCAAAACATTTACATTGAAGCTAATGATATTCTCCATTTGCAACTCATTTAGCCAATAGTGTTATGTTAACAACTCATCAAACCAAAAATACTTCCTATTTGCAACTCATTAAGCCAATAATACTTTCTTTTTATAACTTAATAAAATTCTCCATTAGCAATTCATCAAGTCAATAGTGTTCTGTTAGCAACTGATTTTAGTGATTAAGTCAATATAAAGCACTCACTTCCATTCATCATCTGCATGGTAAACTTCCAGAACATCTTTAGGCTTCACATCAGGGAAATCTTTACTAGATATCAAAATATCTTGGTCTTGGACTGATAGAAAAATTTCATCAAAACGATTTAGAATTAATTCTTAATTACAGGTCAATGTACATTAGTCAAAGCTCAGCAGGTAACTTAGATTATTTAGGCTACATATTATAGTCTCTTGTAAAAAAGGTAAAGATTCATCTTTTGACCAAGCGATCCTTTGGGCAGATGATGGTCAAGTTTCTTGACCTCAGCATATGAAGCTATGGTCTGGTCACCACTTATGCCCAGATGCCTTTACTTTCCCCAATGTAAGTCAGGTACCCATATGAGCTTGGTGGACTCTGGGACATCCTACAGTCACAACTCAAGACCTATCATGGGTTAGCCGCCAAATGCTTTACTATTTCACCACACCTTCCCACTATCACTAGTAAATTATACTTAGGCCTATAGGGTTACCACTTTTTTTTTAACTAGATCTAGTTGAGTTAGGCCTTCTCTTAATTTAATATTATTATAATAATATCTTCTTAGATCTAGAGTAAGTGAGTAAGTTAAGAGTTAGAAAATCTTTGAGTTAGGTTTTACTTAAGTTTTGAATTAGAGTCACTTTAGTAGTCTGAGACGAGTCTTTACTAAACTTTTAAGTAGGCTAACTTTAAGTTAAAGGGTAATCTATCGTTTTAGGTACGTAAAATCGCTCGCGACTAGTAATGTGAAAAACAGGTGACTCCTTACATTTTAATAATTATTTCACATTTTGAGGAGGATTTATGTTTTGAAAAATACAAAAATGTTTCCTTGTTTCATTTATGTACCTGTTTTTAAACAATTGAATTAAAACTTTTCAGTAATAAATGAGCACCAGCGATGTTTCCAACAGATGCAACCATGCTCATTTACTATAGCAGCCATCTTGTTAAAGTTTTATTTTTATAGACATATTGCGCGAGATTCAGGCCGAAGTCACTCTATTTTACAAATGGCTGCTGTTTATATAGCAAATCTTGCTTGGAGAGACTGCTGTTTAAAGTTAATTTCTGGCCTATATACTATATTGATATGATATATATAGGGATTTAGGTAAAAAAACACTAATCATCATATAAAAATAAAAATTACATATTCTTGTAGAGCTCAACTATATGAAAACAAAACAAAAAAGATTTTCTGTCTAGCTCAAATAGTTTTTTTTTTGGCGAATTTTTTTGTGAGGGGTGGAATCCCCTTGCTTTTGCATTGGCCAATTGTGACAAGTCATGGTATACCTGAATAAATTGAGCATAGTTATTTTACTTGCAGTTGTATTTTGTTCATATTTGCAGAGTTTAACTAGAATGATATATAGAACTTGTAAATGCTGTTGAAATTAATAAAAATAATACAGAACTTATATTTTTGTGTTGGCTTCCTCCCATAACCCTAAAAAACTGTGTGCTGCGCAAATATGAAAATGTTTCTAAAGCCATATTTTATATAAATACAGCAAATGAAAGAACTACAAAATTAGAAATCTAAAGTAAATGACTTGAACACTGTTATGTGCATATAATTGCCTCATTATTTTGGGCAGGTGAAGTAGAGTCCATCTTTAAGCCATTTTGTTATAAAACTGCTGCGCAAATATGAAAATGTTTCTAAAGCAATGTTTTATATAAATAAAGTGAATGAAAGAACTCCATAGTCAGAAATCTAAAATAAATGACATGAACACTGTAATGTGTCTATAACTGCCTTGTTATTTTGGGCAGGTGAAGTAGAGTCCATATAAAAGCCATTTTGTAATAAGTGAAAAGAAGTTATCAGATCAAAGTTTTTATGTGTGAATTGTGTATGGATTCTGATTTTCAGCATATAACTATTTCTAAGGGTAAGTAGAACTTGAATACTTAAAATTACAGTTAGCACAATGTTAGTGTATAGCAACAGACAGGTAACCTAGATCTAGGTCTGACTCTTGTCAGTCTAGAGTCTAGTTTGACAAAATTGGATTTTTAGGAAAAACATTTTCTAGAAAACTAGAACTAGAGCTGAAAAAATTAAAGACAAAGATGGGTATGTAAATATATTTTGAAATAAAAAATTAGATTTGTTTGCACATGCCATAAGATTGCTGTTATTAGTTGATCAAACTTAAAGGCAGGAAGATCGGGATGAAAAAATATAACAATGGTGGCAGCGTGACCTACATACAGTGACTACGTTCGGAGGGGTATAACTAATGTCGGAGTCAAAATATCCAAAAACAAATTTCATTTCCAATTACTTAAGATATGTCTGATCAGTAATCTACTCTCATCTAGAGGAATCTTTTAAAAAATCGAGATTCCAACGTATTTGAAACTAACCTTGATACAGGGGGAAGACCAAAGCAGAGACAGCATGCAATCAGGTCGCAAAGCCATTAAAACTAAGGGACAACCACTCTACTTTTTAATTAACCTTAGGAAATGACCTTTTAAACTTAATTAATTACCATAAATTAAAAACTTATTAGTATGCAAAACCAAATCTCGTGGGTCCGGTATCAAAAAGTAATGGGCGATTTCGGGTCATGTTTTTACCGCGAACTCGGCGGATGCCGACAACCCTAATATATATATTTAGCTATTGATTTAGGTTTATTATTCATTTAGCCCCCCTATCTATAATATTTGACACAAACATATCACAATATTCAATATACTTCTATTACAGCCTTGATAATGAGGTAACGTTTTCGTACATTAATAGACGCGGGCGATTTTACGTACCCAAAACGATAGATTACCAGTTAAAGTGTAAGACTAAGTTGTAGTAGTAGGCCTAGATCTCTAGTCTTATATTATTTATTTAATATTTAATAAATTTATTACCCTAGGGCCTAGGCCTAGGTAATAAATTTAAATGCAAAAGGATGCATATGAAATGCAATTTTAAATCATACTTTTTGAAGTTTTATTGTTGTGAACAACAAGTTTTAGCGTCTTCATTGTTGCAGCATAATTGCCAGGATGTGATTTTATTGTTCACTGAAGTTAGCCTACTGTCCGTCCTCACTGGCTTCGACAGGCTCAGCTGACGGATTGAACATTGAATGAAACTCCTGGCCTAAATAAGAATACGAGTATCAATAGTATTAGTATCAGCAGTTTAAAAAAAAAAACTCTATTTACCAGATGTTCGGGTTTTTACAAAAAGAATTCAATAAACGACAAGACCTTATAAAAAAAAATTATAACAAGCAATTTAAAAGAAGAAATTAAAATTATTTTCTTTAAATAAATAAATACAGCACTGTGTATATACTAAGAAAGAAAAGCGTCGATATCGCAAGGCACAACTCCAATATATAGTTAGATTGCTGAGGAAATTTTAGAAAGAGAATTCAATTGCAAATAATTATTAGTATGGCTTTTTCTATGTAGGCTATGTGTAGATAGAGTATTGCATTTACATATTTGCATTCCTTTGGGCCATTAATGCTGCAAGTTCGAGATAAAGAAAGGTCATTAGTCATTAAGGCTGGGCTACAACCCTATCCCGGGCACGCGCCCCGGAGGGGGAACTCTAGTGTTGCTTGAAATCAGCTAATGCAATACGGGAATGTGGGAGTAGTTGGGCCAAGACAGAAACTATTTGAGTCCAGGTTGTTCGGACTGGCAACCTTATAGCCGAAGGCAAAAGAACCGAGATATCCCTGGAGCCCTGGTGACTCCAGAAATGGCATGATCAGCCGCAACAGAATCGTCTTCAACAAAAGAAATAACATCCGTTTTTACAAATTATTTCCTTTTATCTTATTTTGCCTTTTTGCGAAAAATTTAAATTTACAATTATCTATATATATATATAATTCTCTTCTGGGAGCCCTAGAAAACAAGCTGCAAACGCGCTCCCTACCTCCCCACCCCTACATGGTTTTAGTGAGCTGTGTTCACTCTAAATGTTTACAAGCAGAGCCAACGATTTTAAACGTAGGGGTAGGGGGGGTTATGGTCCTTAACGAGCGCTACTTATAGTGTTTTAAAGAAATATTTTCAATGGCAGCGTTGGTACTGTCGAATTCATAAATTATGAATTACTGAAAAGTAGAAAAAACAACAACTAATTAGCGGCGTATGTTATGCCGCGGGCCGGCTCGTTTAAAATAATTTAATATTGCTACTTTTGAAATCAACCGGATTAGTGTTACGTTCCGTTATGTACTGTGCGGTAAAAGGCGGAACCTTTTCGTTTGTATACATGGGGGAAAAATGGCTAGCAACGACCAGTTAGATTACCACACAAGAAGTCTTTTGCAGCTCGCAAAGTCTCTGGGTTCTCTCCGTCCAACGCCATCAGACAAAGTAAATAATTACACTTTTAATACGCAACCGATCGAAAAACAAATCACATGATAAACGACAATAAACGTCATAAAATACAAGAATCTTTTTTTTTATGCCACGCTTAACTCAGACTTAACTGGTTTCATATTCATTTTTATTGTATAAGACATAAGAGCATAATGGGGTCATCAGTTGTGATACAGCTTCTAGGTACAAAAAATTCCAGCCCACTATGTCCCTTTCTGTTTACTGTCCAGGTAGAATACTTGAAGTCACTACGACTATGTCCCTTTCTGTTTGCTGTCCAGGTAGAATACTTGAAGTTTGAAGTCATTATGTCCCTTTCTGTTTGCTGTCCAGGTAGAATACTTGAAGTTTGAAGTCATTATGTCCCTTTCTGTTTACTGTCCAGGTAGAATACTTGAAGTCACTATGTCCCTTTCTGTTTACTGTACAGTTGTACAGGTAGTGTCAGGTAGAATACTTGAAGTAACTATGTACTATGTCCATTTCTGTTTGCTGTCCAGGTAGAATATTTGAAGTCACTATGTCCTGTCTATGGAAATCAAGGTGAAGCTGTAAACCTCAGCACCAGAGACCAGAGTGCTGTCATAGCTTTGGGGGTCTACCTGCTGGAGTCAGGCTTACAGGTAATCTACAGGTGTATATTGTTTGGGGGGGGGGGGGGGGGGGTAAGCTGCCTGAGACGACATTTACCAGGCGAGTTAAATAGTTTTTAGACTTAAAATTTTTGTTTAACCAAAATATGAATTACTACATATACTTTTGAAAAAAATGTGTATTAAAGGCATACACCATAGAAACTAAATTGAATGTTTCAATTATATAAATAACCATTATGTTTTCTGTACATTTCAAATAGTACTGCGCTGAAATCCTAGACATTTTGCTTGAAGTTCTTATCAGTTTGCCAACAGCAAAATTTTCTAACGGTTTTGCTGGAGCTAACAAATTTAGTAAGTTTTTTTTTTCAAATTTTTAAAACAACTTCTTGATATTTAATAGGTTAAAATTATTTTCTTTATACATTTTGTAGTAAAAGTTTGAAACAGGTATTTAAATTTCAGTACTCACGTTTTGATCATTGCAAGCTAAACATTTTATAGAATTCTACATCATCCTTTCCTTTTGGTGCCTTTCATCTCTTTAATTTTTCTACATACTTCAATTAGTCTGGAGTTATTTTAATACAGTTTAAATGAGTGTGTATTACCTGCAATATTTTATTATTTAAATGTCTACTATCTGGTTGTTATACATTATTTAAAGAAAAGACTTGTTGTTTTGTTCACCATGTCTCTATGACATATTTCACTTAACTAAAATGTTTTTATTTTAAAGATTTGCCTGGGATTGAATGTTTCAGCTTTTGTTTGAACACAATTTTAAGTGATGTGGCATTTAGAGCACCACATCACAAAGATTTGGTAAGTTTTTATGTTTTACTGAAATGCTGTTTTTTTGTAAAATAGTGTTAAATTACTCCATTTTTAAAAATTAATAGTCTCATTCCAGCCTTTAAAAAAGCAAATTGATCAGTAAAAATCCAAATATGTTCAATCCTTTTTTGTGTATTGTTTCTGTATTTCATTGAGTTTATCTAACACTCATTATTTATGTTTTTTAAAAACCATAAAGAATTTCACCAAACCATTATTTCAGATAATGGCCCAGTATTTTAATTAAGATGCTTGTGAATATCTCTTTGAGATTTGTCATTATTCAAGTCTGCCAGCTAACTAAAATTGTTCCAACTAATTTATTTATTTTTAATTCCTTGTAGATTGTAAATAAACAGATCCAGGTTCTAAAGCACTTGACCCAGACCTGTAGGAATCTAAACAATGCAGGTCAAATATTTAATTAACTACATAGCGTTTAACTTTTTTTTTAATTTAGAAAAATAGAACGGCTTGGTAAAACTGCTGAACTGATTTGATTTGATTTATTTTAAAGTTTAAGAGTACCAAAGTGTTTCTAGAATTACTTGTTGTTTGATGAGCTTTAGTTTGTGACATTTTTTCTGTTTCCACAGATCTTGTCACTAACCAGCAGGTTCCATTGCTGCTGGGAGTGGTCAGGTCCCTGGGTCGCTGCAGCAGTGAGGACTGTCCCCTCATCTCCCACCTGTTCTCCGTCAGACAGCCACCCATATCCCAGCGCTGCTCCCCTGGCCCAGAGACACCCCAGCCCCAACCTTTCAACACTTTTAGATCCATCCTCCCCAGCAGTCGCTCCACCATATTTATACATTTAGGTGCAGACAGTGGTGCAACAGTAGGGGCTGGGGATGGGAAGCTGAGTAGACGATCTACGTGCCTGAACATGTAAGATGAGCTAGGTTTTTTATAGTTAAGTGTCACAGACAATCATAATTTTGTGATACCAAGTAAAGTAATGAGTTATTTAAACCTAACAATTCACTTATCAAGTAAAGTAGCGAGTGGTTTAAAAATGTTTTGTCCTGCCTACTATAGGAGGCACCTAACACTTCACTTTTCACATCCACCACGACACTGACACAACACCTGACACATGACAAGTAAGACTTTACCCACCTCATTACCTTTACTCTTCCCCATCACAAACAACACACAGTATGTGTCTATTGCCCGGTGTGTAGCCACATCAAGTACATATCATTATGATGCTGGTATGTTGTTGGTGTACAGGAATGGGTTTTAGTGATGAATTACCTGAAATTTCTTTCACCCTAAATGCGGTTTAGACGATTTATGAGGGTTAGCTGTGTATGTTATTTGTTTAAAATTTCAAATTAGATATCATTGTAGTGTTTGTTAAACAGCAAGTATAAAGGAGTAGACAGTGGCTACAACATCTGATTCTGACTTACCTCAAGACACTTTCTTACACATATGCCTTCACACTAGGCCCTATATTTAAGTGAATTTAAGTTTGTATAATTTGACTTTTCCAAATATTTTAAGGCACTTACAGAGCTATTGTTTATGATTGCTAGGTCAAGTTCTTCTTTAGATACCATATTGTCAGACCACTCTACCAGAAAAACTTCTACAATCAGTGTTAGTAGCCTCCCTTGTAGTATATACTTCAATAAAGTAGCATCTAGTTTCACACAGACCAGACCACTGGCAGAGATCAACACAGATGAGGAATGTTTGAAGTTCAAAGAGGAAAAACTCAAACATATTTTACAATGTGTAACTGCTTTTCTTTCTTCAAAAAAGTTTTTTTTTATTAAAGTTATCAAAAAAGCTCTTGGTGTCTAGTAGTTATAAGAAAGGAAAAAAAAATATTTCATCAAATGCAAAAAATAAAATAATAAAAGCCTTATCAAATAGTAGCCCTACTAATTCGCTAATTAGTTTCTTCTAGTATTTATTAAAAAAATATTGACTGGATATTTTCTTTCAAACACCAGGTCATGGCGCTACTAAAAGAAAATGTGTTGACACATCTGGATAAGATCTTGAGGGGAAATTCTACAGTAATGTTTTTATTAGTGAAAATATTAGCTGAGATAGAGAGAGATACTTTGACTACTATGTTCACGATACTTGTTCTATTTATTCTCTCATTTACCAGACTTTCTGGTGTTTTATTTTACCACATACAATTTTAACAAAATCAATATCATGCATTGGCCATGGCAGACTGCCACTGCTTGAAACTATTGATCTGTTCTTCTGTTGATCTAAAATATCATTTTTTAATATACACCTCATGATCTATGCTTGCTTTCAACTTGTCCAACATTACTTTTTATTTGTGTTAGACTAGATCACCATATAGCTTGACCACAATATTTTCTTAGGTTGGTGATGTGTCCAGTGTCACATAGACTAGACCACCATAAAGCTTGACCACAATATTTATTTCTTTAGGTTGGTGATGTGTCCAGTGTCACATAGACTAGACCACCATAACTAAAGCTTGACCACAATATTTCCTTAGGTTGGTGATGTGTCCAGTGTCACATACTTGGCTGTGAAGGAGCCCCTAATTCTTGCTGCACTAACCATGTTAAGGGATGTCTTGCTAGGAGTCAAAGGTCAAGCTCAGGTTTTATTTAACATGAACAGCTTTTAAACATTTATTTTCACCTCATTGTTTATAGATTTGTTTTTATTAAAGAAGTCCTAGTTTTATCAAAAGATGGCTCTAAGTCGACTACAGAGATGACATTGTTAGGAGAGTAACCAAAGAGTCTTAATCTGATAAGATATGGGATTTCATTGACCCTGGGGGGTGGGGGGGATAACCACCAATGTTTGCATTAGTGAGCCGCTATTTTTGTAAGGGTTAGAGATTACCCTCTGAGTCCACACAGATAAGAGAACTAACCTGAATGGAAACTATCATTAACTGAATGGCTCTTTACATTTGTGTGTATATGTGTATATGTTATGTGTATATATATATATATATATATATATATATATATATATATATATATATATATATATATATATATATATATATATACATTTCATTTTTTTTATTTTTTTATTTATATTTATTTAAAAGTTGTATTACTAAATTTCCATCTAAAATCAGTTTTTTTCTAATTCCATTTTCAGTAGCCAGTGTTTCTCCTGAGTTAGTAGCAAAGATGAAGGGGTTTGTTCAAGGTATTTGTCAAAATGGTTTTCTAACCCCTACCAGTGGCAGCACCAGAGGGTCGGTGACCTATGACCCACAGCAGATTGCTGCAGTTGCCAAGGGAGTGTGCCTAGATCTGTTGCTGTGGGCAGCATCCCAAGAGACTGGTAAATCTTCACCAAGTACTTGGGGCAGGTGGGGGGGGGGGGGGGGGTATTTTTTATTCTCTGGGGTTAAATGGGTCTGTTTTCATATGGTAATACAGTGCTCTTATATGGGGGCACTGTGGGGGTTTGATTTTATAAGTTTTGTTAACGTGGAATACATCTAAAGCTATTTTTAAAACCCAATAATTTGACATAGTAAGTTTGATGGTAAAGGGAGTGAACTTGTGTCTGTACATAGTAAGTTTGATGGTAAAGGGAGTGAACTTGTGTCTGTACATAGTAAGTTTGATGGTAAAGGGAGTGAACTTGTGTCTGTACATAGTAAGTTTGATGGTAAAGGGAGTGAACTTGTGTCTGTACATAGTAAGTTTGATGGTAAAGGGAGTGAACTTGTGTCTGTACAGAGGCTGATGGACTGTGTCTGATGGCCAGTGACATTCTGTACAGGAATAGAGACAGACACTCTCTGCTTACAGATGTACTCTACATGTCTGCTGCCCTTGAGGTATAATACATTTATCTTTTTATTTTTTTAGTTAAATATTCCAATTCACAGTCCCCATAAATATATGTTTTAAAAGTGCTTCTTATTTTATAAAATCATCTGTCCTTTTTAGTTGTATTGCTCTACTTGATAATGATAAAACCCAGCATTGAATTTTGTCAGCTGGGGTCACTCAATTAAATAGGGGAGGGTACTCTATTCCTACACATCTTTAAAACCTGGTTGAATAGTTACCGAAAACAAGAGGACTTGTGATCTTTTTTGTCAGGTCCCCCCCCCCCTCCCTTATGATGACCTGACTGGCTCTACCCCCAGGTTTTAGGTAACATGGCGGTCAAGTTTCCTGGGTTGTCCACCTCAGTCATCTCTGTGCTAAAAGATTTTTTGGTCAGCCCCCCCCCCTCCCCCCTCATGATGACCTGACTGGCTCTACCCCCAGGTTTTAGGTAACATGGCGGTCAAGTTTCCTGGGTTGTCCACCTCAGTCATCTCTGTGCTAAAAGATTTTTTGGTCAGCCCCCTCCCCCCCCCCCCCACCCTCATGATGAACTGACTGGCTCTACCCCTAGGTTTTAGGTAACATGGCGGTCAAGTTTCCTGGGTTGTCCACCTCAGTCATCTCTGTGCTAAAAGATATTTTGGTCAGCCCCCTCCCCCCTCCCTCATGATGACCTGACTGGCTCTACCCCCAGGTTTTAGGTAACATGGCGGTCAAGTTTCCTGGGTTGTCCACCTCAGTCATCTCTGTGCTAAAAGATTTTTTGGTCACTCCCCCACCCCCCCACCCCCCCCACCCCCCATGATGACCTGACTGGCTCTACCCCCAGGTTTTAGGTAACATGGCGGTCAAGTTTCCTGGGTTGTCCACCTCAGTCATCTCTGTGCTAAAAGATATTTTGGTCAGCCCCCTCCCCCCTCCCTCATGATGACCTGACTGGCTCTACCCCCAGGTTTTAGGTAACATGGCGGTCAAGTTTCCTGGGTTGTCCACCTCAGTCATCTTTGTGCTAAAAGATATTTTGGTCAGCCCCCTCCCCCCTCCCTCATGATGACCTGACTGGCTCTACCCCCAGGTTTTAGGTAACATGGCGGTCAAGTTTCCTGGGTTGTCCACCTCAGTCATCTCTGTGCTAAAAGATTTTTTGGTCAGCCCCCCCCCCTCCCCCCTCATGATGACCTGACTGGCTCTACCCCCAGGTTTTAGGTAACATGGCGGTCAAGTTTCCTGGGTTGTCCACCTCAGTCATCTCTGTGCTAAAAGATTTTTTGGTCAGCCCCCTCCCCCCCCCCCCCCCCCACCCTCATGATGAACTGACTGGCTCTACCCCTAGGTTTTAGGTAACATGGCGGTCAAGTTTCCTGGGTTGTCCACCTCAGTCATCTCTGTGCTAAAAGATATTTTGGTCAGCCCCCTCCCCCCTCCCTCATGATGACCTGACTGGCTCTACCCCCAGGTTTTAGGTAACATGGCGGTCAAGTTTCCTGGGTTGTCCACCTCAGTCATCTCTGTGCTAAAAGATTTTTTGGTCACTCCCCCACCCCCCCACCCCCCATGATGACCTGACTGGCTCTACCCCCAGGTTTTAGGTAACATGGCGGTCAAGTTTCCTGGGTTGTCCACCTCAGTCATCTCTGTGCTAAAAGATATTTTGGTCAGCCCCCTCCCCCCTCCCTCATGATGACCTGACTGGCTCTACCCCCAGGTTTTAGGTAACATGGCGGTCAAGTTTCCTGGGTTGTCCACCTCAGTCATCTTTGTGCTAAAAGATATTTTGGTCAGCCCCCTCCCCCCTCCCTCATGATGACCTGACTGGCTCTACCCCCAGGTTTTAGGTAACATGGCGGTCAAGTTTCCTGGGTTGTCCACCTCAGTCATCTCTGTGCTAAAAGATTTTTTGGTCAGCCCCCCACCTGCCCTCAGTATGCTGAACAAACTGGCAAACACTGATGACAGTGAGAGACAAGCCAGGACACTGTCAGATGTTGATGGTATTGAACAAATTGAAAACAAAAACATTTTTCTCACGTCACTGGAGAATCTTAGAGACACAGCCATCAAAAGTGTTTGCAGGTAAGGGGAATGTAAGCAGTTACCTGTAAGTTAAAAAAAACTTTAGGAATTACATGGATACCATTTAGGGGCATTAATTTTGGAGAATAAAAATTAAAATAAAAAAAATAACTTAGCTTTTTGTGGCTTTTTAAAAAAAAATAAAACAATGTTGAATGAGACATTTGAGATGCTTGGATGAACTGAACCAAAGGAAACCAAGTGTTTACTGCAACCTGTGTCATGAAGGCTCATAAAATTGTTGAAATCATTTCCTGAATATCAGTTTATCACTTCTTTTTTTAGCGTTAAAAATGTATATCATACAGTTTTTACATCTAAAATGTGTATAATACTACTGTTACATCTAAAATGTAAAACATTTTTGTTGTTTTTTTGTAGAGCTACAATATTTATCTCTTTTTTTGTTAAATTCTAAAACATTTATCACTTTTCGTTTGGTCCAAATTAATAATTTATCATTTATTTTTTCTTTGAGCTTACATATTTATCACTTTAGATCTAAAATTGTGAACTTGCTGTTCTGTTCCCCAGGGCATTGAAGGCTGGTAGTGTGGTAAACAGAGACTGTCTGACAGCCTTTGTGGCTTCTATATCAAACTGTTTGTACCGACTGGGGACCTTTGAGAAGTAACTGCTTGGTTTAGTTTTATTCTCACATTTTATCTTAGAACAGAAGTAACTGCTTGATTTTATTCTCAGATTTTATTTTAGTACTGAAGTTACAGTTTGATTTACTTTTACACTCACCTTATCTGATTAATTTAAATTATTTTATTCTATTTAATGAGGGCAGAAAGTTTACCAAATGTTTTTCTTTATATCATATGTTTACCTTTTTTTTTAAATTGCCAAATAATTTGTGTATATATTGGAACTGTTAGGCCTGCTTTCACTATTGGATGCTTAAAACTATTTCCTGTTCAATGAACTATTAAAACTAGTGGTTTATTGTCAGTTAATTTACAAGACATTTATTTTTAAAACTGTTCTGTCTGTTGAAACTTTGAAACTTTTTTGCTAGAGAGTCCAACACCAAAACTTCATCAGCCAGATGGCAGCAGTTGAAAATTGTTGTTAAATTTGTCAACCCATCTGGCAATATGGAACCTGTTGATGTCAAAAGGTACGTGGAACTTGTTTCATTTGGTACATGGGTTAACATACTGTCAACATCACATAAATACATGTGTTAACATATTGACAACATCACATAAATACAGTACATGTGTTAACATATTGACAACATCACATAAATACATATTTCTAGGTAGACCAATATGTGGTGATACCTGATTTACACTAACCTGTTCCATTTCTTGTAAAATCTCATTTTTGTTGTAAAGGGTTCATCACCTTATTTGTGTACAGCACTTTTATTGTACACATCACTTTTGTCGTAAACATCACTTTTATTGTATACATCACTTTTGTCATAAACATCACTTTTATTCCTGTGTAAACACAAAAATTACATAATCCTTAATTACTGATTGCCAATCTCACTATTATTGTTTGCTTTTTTCTAAAAGTTTGTACACACAGGTATGTACGCATCATTCTTTGCTAGCACTGCATGAAGTCCAACATGTTTATCAATAGTTTGACATTATTATTTTCACTACCACTGCATGCATTTTAAATGTGTAATAATAATTTATGGGAAATGGGAAGTAATTATTAATGACATAATGGATACTTTGCTACATTATGCTGGTAAAAAAATACTTTTATTTCAGGAAAAAGATTATGATTCAGTTCTTTATCCACTTCAGCATAACATGTCAGTAAATGAATGTATTGATAGACATGCTAACTGTTCAATAACTTACATAAGTAGAGCAGCCAGTTTTCAATTGCTGGAATGGTATTTGTTTTTTCTGTTGATTCTTTGTACTTTTTAGAAATCAATGTCAAGAGTAATAATTAATATATTTAAAGTTCAGCATATTATTTATATTGTTCATAATAAACATGATAATTGCTTCACACAAATGAAACAAATGCCATTCTTTCTTGTTTACTTTTATCCAGCTTAAAATTTGAAGTTACTATTTAATGCAACATACTAAACAATCTATCACAATATTGAAAACACATTAAAAACAAGAAAAAATTATTTTCGTGTGCTGCCTAAGTCATGCTGTGGTGGCTTCAGGCATCAAATACATTCAGCCACTCCAGCTTTTACTGCTGTAGTTAAAGAGAATGTCTTAACTTTCTTATTTCTAAATGCCTGTAGCTATAAGGGTTTTGATATGAGTTTTTTTGTCTTTGTTCAAAACTCATTTTTTAAGTATTATAGTACATCAATATATCAGAACAAACAGCTGTTTATATCACTTTAATTCTTTCTGATAAGGTCACTAATATTACTTTATTCAGTTTATAGTTTTCCTTGTATGATTTCTTTATATTTCCTGATAATATTTCCTTATAATATTCCCTTATAATATTTCCTTTTAGTTTCCTTCATAATATTTCCTTATTATATTCCCTTATAATATTGCCTTATAGTTTCCTTCATAATATTCCCTTATTATATTCCCTCATAATATTCCCTTACAGTTTCCTTTATAATATTTCCTGCTAAAGCTCACCCTACACAAATGTTACCTATCTTTTTTTAGCATCCACCTTTGTTATCATAAAATTCAAGAACATCAGCTCACTTGACTGAACGCTACCACCTGTTTCCTTTCATTCATTGTTAATGAGACATTTAATACTTGATTAGAAATACTTACAGTCACATCCAAGACACGAATTGTACCTATAAACAAAGCAAAAAAATTAAGTAAAAAATAGTGGCTAATCAACCCGTTTAGGGTTAAAACAAAATAACTGCATGTAACTACTATATAGAGGTAAGGATCAGTTATTGACTGCATAAAGCCTAGCTTAATTGTTTAGATTAGTGCATGTATAGGAGTCAAGTTCTAACAAATAGCTGCCATATTGGATTGCCTTTATGTTGCATGCCTTGTAGAAACAGACAGACAGCTTTAAAGCTCTAGCCTCAATGCAATTTCATTAACCATTGTATGAGCATATAAGCAGCTAGTCAAAAAATTTATATAGAAACCTGTATCATAAAAATGGTTTTTAGTTTGTTTTTATCCAGTATAAAATGTGGGGAATTTTTTTTGTTGACATCTTGTAATATTAAAATTTCAACCTGATTCTAGTAAGATTCTAAGTACTGTACCATTGTTGATGCAGAATTTCTTTCATTTCAAACAGCACAACATACAATGTTAATAGTTTGTTTACTGCATATATTTTTTTATGTAGGCACTAATTATGTGTAATTTGATTTTTTTTTGTAGAGAATCCAACCTGATCTCCACTAACACCATACTGACCTTAGGTCATCTGGCCATAGAGTTCAAGGAACAGCCCCAGGATGTGAAGACCATCCTGCAGGTTTTTCAAGAGAGGCTTTGTTCCCCTCCATCTCCACTGGACACCCTGATAGTTGACCAGTTGGGCTGTATGGTCATTGCTGGTTGTGTAAGTTGTGGTCATTGCTGGTTGTGGTCATTGCTGGTTGTGTAAGTTGTGGTCATTGCTGGTTGTGGTCATTGCTGGTTGTGTAAGTTGTGGTCATTGCTGGTTGTGGTCATTGCTGGTTGTGTAAGTTGTGGTCATTGCTGGTTGTGGTCATTGCTGGTTGTGTAAGTTGTGGTCATTGCTGGTTGTGTAAGTTGTGGTCATTGCTGGTTGTGTAAGTTGTGGTCATTGCTGGTTGTGTAAGTTGTGGTCATTGCTGGTTGTGTAAGTTGTGGTCATTGCTGGTTGTGTAAGTTGTGGTCATTGCTGGTTGTGTAAGTTGTGGTCACTATTTGCTGTATAAGATGCTGTCTTCCAACTATTTTCATATTTTGCTAGTTTTTAAAAGTAATTTCCATTTTATTTTGTAATTGAATATAATTCTTTGATGTTTAAGATTTGTATATTTTTTTACTATATTATTTCTCAGTCAAGCATCAGCAATGATATTTTGAAATTGTTTACACAAATCAGCACTGAGAGTAACTCCCCTTATGACCAAAATGAAAATAAAAAATTGACAGGATACAGGTAAATAAAACAAACAATTGACTAGAGTCTGTTGTATAAAAAAAACTGAGATTTGAAGGAATTCTTTAAATTTTTTGTTTACAATTCCACTATTTATAACAGTGAAATGTTAGTGGATTGTATGTTGGGAGTGTGTGTGTTGAAAGGGGCGATCTTGCATCAGGGAGACAGTGACTGTGCGCATGCACGAAAGGAAGCGGGGGGTAGAAGGCGGCAGAGGAAGAAGAAAGATGACGAAACTGAGTGGAGTTTTTTGAGCAGTGTAGCTGCTGAATATCAGTCTGTATTTGTAGATCTAGTATTAATAAAATTGTGAAATCTCCAGTAATGTGGTTGGTATTTCCTTTTAGTTTATGTCGTGAACCCAGTCACACAAAAAGGTTGTGACACTATTGATTATCATTTTATCAAGAAATAGTTTTGGTTGATCCATTTCTATTTCAGATAAACGTTAGTGAAACAAAAATAGTCACAAAAAGAAAAGCACACTAAACTAATTATACTAGTCTTTAAACATTGCACTTTATAATTTCAGCTAATGTGATGGAATAGCAAACTACAATATTAAACTAAAAAACTTACAGCCATGTAAATAATAATAAAAAAATACTTTCCAAGAGAAATTAACCCCCTTGTTTATTATCTCCCTGTATTAGGCAAATCTCACAAGCAGTGAATAACGCCTTGGCCAATATTGCTGGCAGCATACAGGGTGAGGCTGAACAGATGGAGCTACTGTGTCGTCTGCTAGAGCTGTTTGTCCAGCTGGGGTTAGAGGCTAAAAGGATCAATGAGCAGTCATCCAACAGATATAAGGTACGGTGACCCGTCAAAAGAGCAGAGCGCACGACACAAGAGCGCCGACATAGAGTGCAGACAAAAGAGCGCCGACATAAGAGCGCCGACAAAAGAGCGCAGACAAAAGAGCGCCGACATAAGAGCGCAAACTAAAGATCGAAAAACCATATTTAATAAATAGGAACAAGACAATTAACTCAGATCAGACGTCATCGTTTGAAGCAAACTCTTTATTGTTTCATTAAAAAACTAATTGTTCAGTTTCTTTAACTAAAAAACTGATATAATCAACATGAAGTCGAATTGTTCAAAACGCAAACTAGTAACACATACAAAGATTTTAAAAGTTAGGCCTAAAGTGAGAATATAAACTGAAATGAAATGTAACAAAATGAAAATAAGTTCAGATTAATATAACGTTTCTTGATAGTTGCTTTTATAATGCTAAGTTGTGGGCTATACCTCGTAGGTAGTCCATCATTGAATCATTAGCATAGGTTGAAACAATCGCCTGCAATCTTCGGTTCAGCTAAACATATTTGTTCTTTGAAGCTTCTGGTTGATTAACTCCAGCTAGATGACCTTCCAGTTCGATTTCGATGTGATCTTGTTCCAGACGAAACTGGTTGATAAATTAAAAACGGAAGGATGATTGCAATCTACCGTTTGTTGGAATGCGCGATGCCATGCCTCGACTGAGTTGTTTGTACGGGGTAGATTTTCAGAGACACGATTATGGACATTCCAAATAGCAAGAGCGAAACGCGGGTCACCTCGACGGTTTCTCCTTCGCCTCCCTATGTAACTATCCTCCCAATAATCTACCAGTGGCATAATTTCTCAAAATCAGACATGATGCTCGCTGGATTCATGGTTGGTAGAAGTTCCACAATTTTCTCAACAACTCTGATATAGGTTGCTTCGGTCTTGTCTTGGATGAGGCAATAAATCAACGGCACTGCCTTGTTATCTATTAAAGCATGAATTGTAAATACCTGATAGAAGATGACTGGTGCAACTCTGAAAGTTCCATCCACAAACCAATGTTCATTTTGCTGTAGACGATTGATATTATCCATTGTTCGAACATCATCATTCTGTAAACGTCAGTCGGTCCGGAATCCCACAAGATGAAATTTTGCCCTCTTGTTGTCGTTTGAAGAGGTTCAGGGATTGTTATCTCTGCAACGTTCTGCGGATTTGGGTATGGCAGGTGCTTGCGTTTTCTCTGTCTTTCTATTGCACCTTGTGAAGCGACGTATGCCGGCAAATGAGGTGCTACTTCCATCGAAATTCCTTCTCTGGCTTGTTGAATAATCTGCCTTGGTTTTTCCACCTCTTCCACTGCCCGTTTTTGTATAGCCGAAACGACTTTCGCTGCTTTGTTTTTAGCCGGATCAGGAGCGTGATTGTGTTCCGATGATGACCAAACAACATCGTTCAGCATTTTCATCCGTCCTCGGCAGCCATCTTTCTTGCTGCATCTCCATTTGGTACTTCCATCAGCATTTGCTCTGTCCTTTCGATATTTGTAGCCTTCAACCAACATAATAACCTTCCCTTTCTGTGATTCGATCTTCTCCATGTTACTTGGGTTAGAAATATTTTCAAACTGCATTTATACCATATCAACCACAATATATAAATAAACACATGTTGTTTTATCGTACCGCAGATTGTTTAATGCCATATTTGTTTAGCTTACAACATGTGTTTTTATAATTGACTGCGCTCTTTTGTCTGCGCTCTTATGTCTGTGCTCTTTTGTCGGCGCTCTTATGTCGGCGCTCTTTTGTCGTGCACTCTTTTGACGGGGTGCCATAAGGTACATCTGTCATACAATCCAATAGATATAAGGTATATCTGTCTTAAAATCCAATCGATGTAAGGTAGATCTGTCATACAATCCAATTACCCATTGAATATGAGGTACAATGCCTGTCATAAAATTGCATTGTTCGTCTATTATCCTCTAGGCTGCACATTGTTATAGTTTTTAACCCATCTCTGCTTACTAAAATGTTTCAGGTTTCTTCAAGTGCTGGAAATCTGGGGCTGTTGATTCCCATCATAGCTGTAGTAAGTTGTTGTATTGTTACACAAATTTTGTTGATTCCCATCATTTCTGTAGTGAGTAGTTGTATTGTTACACAAATTTTGTTGGATGGTAAAATTTTGTTGATTCCCATCATTGCTGTAGTGAGTTGTTGTATTGTTACACAAATTTTGTTGGATGGTAAAATTTTGTTGATTCCCATCATTGCTGTAGTGAGTTGTTGTATTGTTACACAAATTTTGTTGAATGGTAAAATTTTGTTAAATCCCATCAATGCTGTAATAATTGTCTATGAACTAATATACTTGTACATTTTTATCAACTAATTAAGCTCATTTAATTATTTTTTTCCCAGCTACTTAAACGGATCCCACCATTAATGGAAGCCAACCGGCGCTTGTACAAGCTATTTTTAGATTTCTGGCAGTATTCTGTTGTGATGGGCTTTACTAATCATTCAAAAGGTACTCACATAGAAACTTATGTCAAAGTTCATTTATTTTTTATTGTCATCCTCACATAGAAACTATTGTCAAAGATTATTTATTTTTATTGTCATTGTCACATAGAAACTAACGTCAAAATTTATTTTTAATATCATCCTTAAATAGAAACTTATGTTAAGGTTCATTTATTTTTATTCTCATCCCTACTCTTATATGAAATCTATCCCTTAATGGTTAAGTTTCTTCATGTGTGCTTATAATGAAGAGTTCTTTACTCTGTTTGTGCCCTGGTTTTCCACTAAAACTGAGAAACATTTGTTAGCTTTGTGGCAGTCAGAATGGTATGATGGTGTGTGCCTTATATATCTGTTAGGTTTGTGGCCGTCAGGATGGTATGATGGTGTGTGCCTTATATACCTGTTAGGTTTGTGGCCGTCAGAATGGTATGATGGTGTGTGCCTTATATACCTGTTAGGTTTGTCAGGATGGTATGATGGTGTGTGCCTTATATATCTGTTAGGTTTGTGGTCGTCAGAATGGTATGATGGTGTGTGCCTTATATATCTGTTAGGTTTGTGGCCGTCAGAATGGTATGATGGTGTGTGCCTTATATACCTGTTAGGTTTGTGGCCGTCAGAATGGTATGATGGTGTGTGCCTTATATATCTGTTAGGTTTGTGGCCGTCAGGATGGTATGATGGTGTGTGCCTTATATTTCTGTTAGGTTTGTGGCCGTCAGGATGGTATGATGGTGTATGCCTTATATACCTGTTAGGTTTGTGGCCGTCAGAATGGTATGATGGTGTGTGCCTTATATATCTGTTAGGTTTGTGGCCGTCAGAATGGTATGATGGTGTGTGCCTTATATATCTGTTAGGTTTGTGGCCGTCAGGATGGTATGATGGTGTGTGCCTTATATACCTGTTAGGTTTGTGGCCGTCAGGATGGTATGATGGTGTGTGCCTTATATACCTGTTAGGTTTGTGGCCGTCAGGATGGTATGATGGTGTGTGCCTTATATACCTGTTAGGTTTGTGGCCGTCAGAATGGTATGATGGTGTATGCCTTATATACCTGTTAGGTTTGTCAGGATGGTATGATGGTGTGTGCCTTATATACCTGTTAGGTTTGTGGTCGTCAGAATGGTATGATGGTGTGTGCCTTATATATCTGTTAGGTTTGTGGCCGTCAGAATGGTATGATGGTGTGTGCCTTATATATCTGTTAGGTTTGTGGCCGTCAGGATGGTATGATGGTGTGTGCCTTATATACCTGTTAGGTTTGTCAGGATGGTATGATGGTGTGTGCCTTATATATCTGTTAGGTTTGTGGCCGTCAGAATGGTATGATGGTGTGTGCCTTATATACCTGTTAGGTTTGTCAGGATGGTATGATGGTGTGTGCCTTATATATCTGTTAGGTTTGTGGCCGTCAGAATGGTATGATGGTGTGTGCCTTATATATCTGTTAGGTTTGTGGCCGTCAGGATGGTATGATGGTGTATGCCTTATATACCTGTTAGGTTTGTGGCCGTCAGAATGGTATGATGGTGTATGCCTTATATACCTGTTAGGTTTGTCAGGATGGTATGATGGTGTGTGCCTTATATATCTGTTAGGTTTGTGGCCGTCAGAATGGTATGATGGTGTGTGCCTTATATACCTGTTAGGTTTGTGGCCGTCAGAATGGTATGATGGTGTGTGCCTTATCGCCACCAAGTCTCCTCTACTGATCTCTAAAGACCAATACATTAGTAAAGAATTGATCTACAACTCAGCCCTAACAGACGATTCAGTCAGCACGGTAGGTCTAATTATAATTAACAGATCATAATTGGCAATTATATTTAATAATAATTTTAGATTTAACACAATTTAAAAAAATTAAAATCCTGGATTGTGTTGTAAAACTTCCTCTAGCTTCTGGTCAATGTGGGGAAAATACTGTGCCTACTCCAGGAACAGGATTAGAAATTTTACTGGGTTTTTTTTGTGCTTTTTAGGGGTCATTTATTTATGATGTCCACCAAAAATATGAATTTTAGATCCCCCCTCCACTATTGTTTACTGTCATATTATGCAAACAAAATAAGTCGTAAGACTTTATTGATTTCATCAATTCTCATGGACTCCCAATAGAGATGTGTCCCCAAAAGTTAAAGTTTTCAGACCCCTTCCCTCCTTTTTTGACACTAACAAGTTTTATGTTTTATAACCATCATTTTAGTTTTGATTTCTCCAGATTGTTATATTTTTATTGCATTAGGTCATAATAAAAATTAAATCCATTTATTCTAGAAAGAATTGAATGACCTACGAGCAAATATCTCCAGTCTCCTCGACAGCATAGAGGTGGCGCCACTAGTCAACAAGCTAACATTTGCCCAGTGTACTTATCTACTTTCTATTTATAAGCTGGAAACCTTAAGGTAGATAACTCTCAGAGGATTTTAGTTATTTTACTTCATTATTTACAAGTTCTCTATTTTAATTGTCACTACTATTGTTTTTAAAAGCTTATCCTTCCCAGTATTAAAAGTCTTTTTGCCAAATACAATATGATTTTGTGTTTCTAATTTATCTGTAACACCCTATTACTAAACAACATGTTGGTAATTACTTGGGCATTATTTATTTAAGTCATTATTTTTTTACTGTAGAGTTTTGCACTCAGAAGACCTGCTGGCAATTTGTAGAGTGTTTGATTACCTGGAGGATCGTGTTTTGTACCTGGATAAATCAGGTCAGGGGTCATACTGAAGAAGTTCTTGGTTTTGTCAAATTACTTCTCTTTTAAAAATTAATAAGTGACCACAATTAAAATTATTATTAGAAAAGTAATTATGTCCTAAGTCATTCTAATACATTTTTATAGATTTGGAGACACCGGCCCTGATGAAATTAAGTGTCATGATAAGTTGACTTATTTTATTTTTCTCTATTTTGTGTCAACAAGTCAATAAATTTCAGGCATGTGGAGGTGTGTGGCCCGTGTGGCTGATAAAGTTTTTGATAAATATCTGGAAATGCTGGGGGAAAAGGTAGGAGCTTTACGTGAAACATCTCCAGATAATATTCAACTGTGTAATATGACCATCAACTGCCTTGTGTTGTCTACAGTTTCAAAATCATTGCTGATATTTTTCATTGAGTTTACTCTAGCAATGATTTCTAACCTCATCTTCATTACAAAATTTTTATCAGTATAAATATTTGTATCAATATAAAAAAATAATGTTATAATATCATTCAAATTGCTTTATTTTATTCAGCCTAATCTTGAGGATAAAGAAATTCAAATTGAAAACTTTGCTAAATTTCTATTGGTCAAATTTAACAACAAAGAAAACATCAAGCCGATTGCTGATCAGTATTTGTCAAAACTAGTTGACAGGTAACTAAAACTAATTTTAGTAGATCATGTTGTATTTTAATATGTACCTGTTGTGTGAAAATTAAAGTTTTTTTGTTTTCAAGTCCTATTTCCTGAGATGAATGTTGCTCATGTGTTGCTGTATCTGGTGATTTCATGCCAGATTTTGTATTGACCTTTGCACTTGTGTCCAGGTTCCCACAGGTCTTGTGGAGCAGTCAGGTGTTGAAGACCATGCTGGACATCCTGCAGGTCATCTGCTCAACCTTAGATATGGTCAGTTCATCAACAGTTGGCATTAGTTTATAAAACATTAACATCTTCAACAAAAGTAACTATTTGTCAGTTTGGTAAAAAGTTAACATCATTGAGAAGTTCTCATTAGTTGATAAAATGTTAACAATACTCAATAAAATGATTTCACTACTCATTAAAAATTTGTTATTAGTCGACGAAAGCCTGATTCAGCCCCTTAGATTTTTAACAAAATAAAATTTATTTTGTTTTTTTAGGATCTGAACTCGGTAGTTTCAGAAATTGATGTCCCAGAAAGTTTCCATAAAATTTGTGTGAAAGAAAATGTCGAATCCAGACAGGTAAGTCACAAACTTTTACCAATTTTTTTTGACATATGTAAATACCAGCAAAAAATATCACTAGCTATCTTGTGGTTTACTACTTTTAAAAAGTGGACGTTGACTACTAAATTAAAATATCCATGTTTACTACCTAACATAAAGTAATATAAATTAATTTGACTACAGATCAAAATCCATTTTTAAAAAATGTAAAAAATAAACAAATTTGCATATTAACTTTTTATTGAAAGTTAATATCCAGTTATGTTGTTTCTTTAACACTCATTACCTACTAGACTATTAAGGATTAGTTTGGATTAAATCACAATCTCTATCCGCAGCAAATGCTGGAAGACTATACGACAAGATGCTCTGCCATCCTACAAGAATCTTTGACCTGGGCCTACAACATTGTCGTCTCACATCTGTCTGTTCTTCCCCTGGACATGGAGGTCAAAGGTCAAATACTTCACAGTGGTGTGGCCATGGCAGTTCAAAACTTGCTTCACTTTTCCATCAACAAAAATGGTATTGCCCAAAAGGTGACTTTTTTTATTTATCTAACACAATATTACGCATTGGTACTGTTTTTTGAATATTATATTTTTCCTGCTGGATACTTCTGATATTATGTTTTATACAAATATTCTCATATGTTTATCCTTACAGGCAACTTTAACCAATGAAACACCAAAGATAGTCCAGTCAGAAGTGGCCAGATTTATTGCCAGTCTCACTGCCAGATCTGTTTATGTGGGAGAGGTAAAATTAAAATTAGATTTGACATCTATCATTTGCAGTTTATAACAATTTTACATCAATTAAAATTTTACAATTTATACTTGGTAAGTTATATTTATAACAGATTTCTTCTGATTTTTCATAAAAAAGCCGCAGTTTATTAAGAATTTTTTTTATGCAATTAGATCTAGTTGTTATTTAATTTCTTCATCTGATCCAGATATTTTTTCTTATTTAGATAAATGGAATGCTGGAAATATCAGACAGCCTGGCGTATGTTGAAAAAATTATTTGTCAAAAACTGGATAAAAGTCTGGCAACAGAAGGTGTCAAGATTTGTTTACATTTTAGTTCTTTACAAATAGTAGTGGATTTAGTGTAATTAGTGTAGTATTTGTTCTATACAAATAAAAATGGATCTATTTGTTCTATACAAATAGTAGTGTATTCTTTTTGTTTAATAAAAATAGTAGTGTATTCTTTTAGTTCTATACAAATAGTAGTGGATTCTTTTTGTTCCATACAAATAGTAGTGTATTCTTTTTGTTTAATACAAATAGTAGTGTATTCTTTTTGTTTAATACAAATAGTAGTGGATTATTTTTGTTCTATACAAATAGTAGTGTATTCTTTTTGTTTAATACAAACAGTAGTGTATTCTTTTTGTTCTATACAAATAGTAGTGGATTCTTTTTGTTTAATACAAATAGTAGTGTATTCTTTTTGTTCTATACAAATAGTAGTGTATTCTTTTTGTTCTATACAAATAGTAGTGTATTCTTTTTGTTTAATACAAATAGTAGTGTATTCTTTTTGTTCTATAAAAAGCAATGAGTACTGTATTTTTATGGTACATACTGATTTGAACACATTTGTTAACAGCACTCAAAACTTCACACTTATGTTTTATGAAATTTACTCTACTTATATTTAATCCAAGAAAATGTATTAAATTAAAAAATAATACTTACTTAGCAACTGTTTTTTTGTATACATTTAGATATGCATCAAATAAAACAGTCAATATTTCGCTTGACTGCACTACAAATTAAACAAACAGGTTGGTTGACTTTTGTTTTAACTTTCATCTTATTTAAGCATAATTATGTTGTAGGAATTGTTTCAAGTAATCTAAGATCTCTGCCCAATAGGCATATATTGTAGTAATATTGTAGTAATTGTTGGAAGCACAACAAAACTGCACTCTCAGTAGACGACTTTATCTGTTACTTCTATCCTTAAACCTGTTGTTTTGTGTAATTTAAATTGTAAAACACAAAAATCATGATAACTTTAATGGAACAATTATTTTTTCAGAGGCCAGCAGGTCTTTACTACAGTCTATCTGTTGGTGTCCTGTGAAGCTCTTCAGTGAAGAAGTTATGAAATATGTTGTAATGTGTTGGGAGTGGATCTTGTCTTCTAGGCCTGAGTTTACACTGGAGGTATGAGCCCACTCTGTTTTTCTAATCACATTTTTTGATAATCTCTTTTTTAACATGCATGGAAACTATGTACTTTTATAGTGTGATATGATGCTAATTATACTCATGCAGTAGATAAAAAGAAATTATTTAGTAATTTTGTGAACAGTGTTTATGTGTTTATTTTTAGCTTTTAACTTGGATATCATTAGCCTGGCAAGCCTGCGCTCATTTAAAACTTGGGATCTTCACACCTGACTCCCCTCAACCTGACCCTTTGGCCAAACCAGAGACTGGCAGACACGCCCCTCAACCTGACCCTTTAGCCAAACCTGAGACTGACAGACACGCCCCTCAACCTGACCCATTGGCCAAACCAGAGACTGACAGACACGCCCCTAGTACACCTGTTGTTGGGCCCCACAGGATCTGGACCAAGGTAGATAAGTACATTGTTCTACTTTATAAAGGAAGATAATTTCTTTACAATAGTTGATCATTCTTCTAACTAGAACTAGGGGTAGATCATTTATTTTTCCAAATAATACCATTAACATGTAAACTGAATGCCCTTACATTAAAAGACTGTTGAATTGTGGCTTTTTTTATTGGCTGTTATACTGGGTAATAAAAAACACAAGTTTAATCAAAATATCGTGATAGATTCTCATAACATAATAAAATGTCTAGTTAAATACTAGAAATACCAGTAATAGTTAACATGAAGCAAGAAATTAGTTTCTTTATGGGCAAAATTTTTTTAAACACATACCTATAAAATATTTTCACAAACATATTCTTAAAAAATAAAAAAATAAAAACCCGATCTAAACAGTATATTCTAAAACACATTCTTAAAAAAATATTTTCTAAACAATATTCTTAAATAAATATTTAAGCACAATGTTAAAAAAATATTTTCTAAAATATTTTCTTAAAAAAATACTTTCTAAAACACATTCTTATAAATATTTTCTAAAACAAATTCTTAAAAAAGAATTTTCCTAAACAAAATCTTCAAACAAATCTCCAACAGTTCATGCATGAATGGGTAAAGAGAATGGAATTCTCAAAGTATGGAGATACAGCACAGGTTCAGATATTTCTGAGTCTGCTCAACACATCTTTGTCAGCAGCCATTGGTCAGTGTCCAGCTGTCATTTCAAGACACATAGCAGCCATTGGGCCACGGGTTAGGTAACAATACCCTCATTTGTTTAGAAAGTTAAATTATTTTACACATTGCAGCCTTTGGGCCAAGGGTTAGGTAACAATACCCTCATTTGTTTATTACATGTAAAGTAATTAAACTAATTAGTAATAGGTACTTTTGAGACTTATCATTGTGATTCTATGCTTCTCAGTATGGGCTTGTGTTTGCAATGAGTAAACTGATTAGTTTTTAATTAATTATTCAGACTACTCAGCATGGGCCTGTGTTTGCTCCATGGGAACTTCATCACCAACCCTCTTGTGGAGACTGTACTCAGGGAGAGGGTGTATGCTGCCTCTGTTGATTTTTTCTGGTGAGTTGTATCACTGGGTGGGATGGCACAGTTAGACAGTAGATTGCATGACTGCTAACCTTAAAGTTTGAATCCTTTGCTTGAGTTTGTAAGAAGTCCCTGAGTCCGCCTAGCGTACATGACTCATTTTAGTGAAAGAAAAGGCTTAGTGCTAACTTCACTATATGCTGAAGTCACAGAAACAGATAAACTCTACTTCATCTATCCCATGGACTACCGGGGGTTAATGACTGAACCTTTTCTCATAGATTTTATATCTACAAATTCTGTGGTCACTTACACTTGAACTTTATTCATTTAGCAGCTGGTTGGTCTCTGGGTGTCCACTAAACTTGCCAAAAGGTTTTTTCTAAACACTAAGCATTGCATTTTCTACTACACTAATGCCATCTACAAGATAGAGAGTAAATTCTGTACCTTGATATTATATTCAGACAACCTGACAAATGTACCTGATAAAGCAAATGTTACCTTAGTACTGTAACTGTTACACTTCTTTAAAATATAACTGCTAAAGCAAATATTACCTTAGTACTGTAACTGTTACACTTCTTTAGAATATAACTGCTAAAGCAAATATTACCTTAGAACTGTAACTGTTACACTTCTTTAAAATATAACTGCTAAAGCAAATATTACCTTAGAACTGTAACTGTTACACTTCTTTAAAATATAACTGCTAAAGCAAATGTTACCTTAGTACTGTAACTGTTACACTTCTTTAGAATATAACTGCTAAAGCAAATGTTACCTTAGTACTGTAACTGTTAGACTTCTTTAAAACAAAAACCTGTTTTTTAGTGGGCCAGCGATGTACCCCTCGCAACAAGGGAGTGAACTTAGAGAAGATATTGAAGTTCTTTTGACTTTCTGGCTTAAACTGCATTCTGAAAAAAAATATTTGAATGCCTCTCCATTTGGTAAGTTTTCATCATCTTTTTTACACACACAACATTAACAATTTTAAGAAAGGATAAATTAGTCAAAAGTTCCATATGATTTTATCCACAGCTGATGTTTTAGCTCATCCGACATCCACATCACAGGCATCCATAAGCCGGGCAGATCTGAGGCGGAATTCAAGATGGATGAACACACTTAGCCGGCCATCTTCTGCTGCCTCTAGGGCTTCAGCAGGTAACATTTGTACAATAGGGGCAATACCTGCAGGTTGTCATTCAGACAGGGGCTGTAACTTTGTACAGATTGTCATTCTGACAGGTGCAGTAACTGCAGATTGTCATTCTGACAGGTGCAGTAACTGCAGATTGCCATTTAGACAGGGGCAGTAACTTTGTGCAGATTGTCATTTTACCCTCTAGGCCATTTTGCTGGATGATTTATTGTCTTTTTTTTTAATTGTTATATTTGCTTGCTATGTTTCAGATTCCAAAAGATTTCCTAAAGAAAATAACATCTCAAAATACTATATAAAGAGGAGACATATCATTTTGTGTCTGATGGTAGGTGTAGCAATGTCTCTTGCATTTTGTAATGTTTGATTCACAAATTTTTGCTCAAATTATGTTAAAAAATGACGGGACTTGTCATTATTCATGAGAACTTTGATCTGTTTGTTTTAGTCCGAACTATCTTTTTTTTTTCATTTTTAGTCCAGTATGTATCTGCAACCTTTTTATTCCTTATTTCACCTGACCAGGCTGGAGCTATAGACACTTTGACCACAGTCTACAACCCCTTAGACCTGCCGGGGAAGAAATTTCCAGAAGAAACCAGTGTGTTGAGGTGGTGGCAGGAGAATCTCATTGAGAAGAAATGGAAAGATATGACCCGTGTGTGTTGGGAGTTGTCTCCCATCTTAGCAGTCTACCTCCCTTTCAGGTAGTAGAAAATTAAGCAGGCATTCATGTTTAATTTTAGTTTAATCATAAATGCTTGTTTTTAATTTGTTATAATTTTTTATTTTTTTTTTAAACTTCTGCTTAAATAATCAAATTAGATTGGTCAATGTCATTTGCTTTTTTTTTTAGTACATTTATAATATAACTAAATTATTTTATAGGATAAGGTATGGTATTGACTACCCAAATCTGTTTGTATATTTCTGTCATTAACTCTTTAAGCCCGTATTAATTTTCATGTTTAAACGCAATTATTTCTTTTCACTCAATTTTTTTCAGTACTCTTGCGGCTAAACGACTCTTTTTAATCCGCTGATTTTAAAACCCACACATTACTAATATAAATTAATCATAATTGAATGTCCTAGACACTAAAATAAATTTTAAATAATTATTTATTTATTGAACAAAGATAATTATTTAGTTTTAAAGAAGAAAAATAAAGAGTTGATTTTTTTCTGGCAAAAAATAACCCTTCTGTTGGGAAAATTAATGATAAGAATTACTTTCATGGGTTCTTATTCATAGAAAATGAAAGTATGTCCATTTTCTACAAAAATCATGGATCGGATTAGTCTTAGCATAAATACCTTAATTTTGGTTAATTTAATAATGCGGCGACATAAACCTTTAGATGCTGCCGCTGGACGGCATTCTGCAGTGTTAAAAAAATACCATTTTGCGAGTATTTTACAAAAAAAATTCTATAAAATACAAAATCAACCTAACGAGAAAACTACAAGAAGTAAATACAACGAAAAATGGCCGCTCTAGCGTTATCGTGACCTAGATTTACAATTAAGAACTTGGATTCTGAAAAACAACGAATTAAATAGAGAAAACTTTATTGGATGCTGGGAGCGTCGTTACAGTCTTAAAGAGTTAACACATGTTTGGTCTCTAGACAGAGCGACTTCTCAAGGCTTGATTGTTATGGTAGTTATGGTTTTTTCCTGTTTTGGCTATTTATAGACACATGTAATAATTGTGTCTGTTAAAATGACGTTCAGGTTCAGGAGCTGGGAGACATTGAGGAAAGAGACCAGAGACCTGGTGTGTGCTCACCCTGAGATGGTGTCGCACGTCCCTGAGGCGCTCACCTTCCTGGTGACAGCTGATAACATCGAGGACAATGTACAGGAGGTTGGTCACTTTTTTAACTGGAGGTTTGTCACTTTTTTAACTGGAGGTTTGTCACTTTTTTAACTGGAGGTTTGTCACTTTTTTAACTGGAGGTTTGTCACTTTTTTAACTGGAGGTTTGTCACTTTTTTAACTGGAGGTTTGTCACTTTTTGAACTGGAGGTTTGTCACTTTTTGAACTGGAGGTTTGTCACTTTTTTAACTGGAGGTTTGTCACTTTTTGAACTGGAGGTTTGTCACTTTTTTAACTGGAGGTTTGTCACTTTTTGAACTGGAGGTTTGTGACTTTTTTAACTGGAGGTTTGTCACTTTTTTAACTGGAGGTTTCCTGTGTCTCTAACATGTACTAGATATACCAACATTTCACCTGTAGAAATACTGTGTTATTGTACCAATGGTGTCATGTGTTTCAGTTGACCCACATGATGACCTGTACTAACCAATGGTGTCATGTGTTTCAGTTGACCTGTACTAACCAATGGTGTCATGTGTTTCAGTTGACCTGTACTAACCAATGGTGTCATGTGTTTCAGTTGACCTGTACTAACCAATGGTGTCATGTGTTTCAGTTGACCCACATGATGACCTGGGCCAAAGTCTCGCCACTTCTCGCCCTCTCCTACTTCTCCAGACAGTACCCACCCCACCCTCTCACAGCACAGTACGCCATCAGAGTTCTGGCACAACAGCCAAATGTGAGTTTTTAAAATCTGCAGTTAATTCACTGGTCAAATGTGAGTGTTTAATGCACTGAATTTAAAAGTAGGGGTACTGATAATATTTGATGAGGTTAGAGATCACTCACTCAAACCATACTTGATTTAAAGCACTTTAATTCTCAAGGAATTGTTTAGTTTCAATTTTTTTTTTTTTATGTTGGATAGTTGTTTAATATTTGTACCCATTTTTTTTTTGTTTAATATTTTATTTAAAAAAAAAAAAAACAGTTATATGATTGCTAAATAGGTTTATAACTTTAAATATGTTCAAACAAAACTTAGAAAATTGCTCATTAGATTGGTAGAATTCTAATGATCCTGTGTGCTCATACAAATTTCATAATTCTATATGATGATACAAATCTATTAATTCTGTGTGCTGATGTTTGCAAATATTTTTTTTTATTTCTCAGAATGTCCTGTTGTTCTACATTCCACAAATAGTTCAAGCTTTGAGATACGACCCAGTAAGTTTATAAGGGAACACATTTTACTTTGGATTATTATAACCCAAAATATTGTGGTCCACAGATGGGCTATGTCAGTGAGTTTATACTGTGGGCCTCTATTATAACCAAAATATTGTGGTCCACAAATGGGCTATGTCAGTGAGTTTATACTGTGGGCCTCTATTATAACCCAAAATATTGTGGTCCACAGATGGGCTATGTCAGTGAGTTTATACTGTGGGCCTCTATTATAACCAAAATATTGTGGTCCACAGATGGGCTATGTGAGTGAGTTTACACTGTGGGCCTCTATTATAACCAAAATATTGTGGTCCACAGATGGGCTATGTCAGTGAGTTTATACTGTGGGCCTCTATTATAACCCAAAATATTGTGGTCCACAGATGGGCTATGTCAGTGAGTTTATACTGTGGGCCTCTATTATAACCAAAATATTGTGGTCCACAGATGGGCTATGTGAGTGAGTTTATACTGTGGGCCTCTATTATAACCAAAATATTGTGGTCCACAGATGGGCTATGTCAGTGAGTTTATACTGTGGGCCTCTATTATAACCAAAATATTGTGGTCCACAGATGGGCTATGTCAGTGAGTTTATACTGTGGGCCTCTATTATAACCCAAAATATTGTGGTCCACAGATGGGCTATGTGAGTGAGTTTATACTGTGGGCCTCTATTATAACCAAAATATTGTGGTCCACAGATGGGCTATGTCAGTGAGTTTATACTGTGGGCCTCTATTATAACCAAAATATTGTGGTCCACAGATGGGCTATGTCAGTGAGTTTATACTGTGGGCCTCTATTATAACCCAAAATATTGTGGTCCACAGATGGGCTATGTCAGTGAGTTTATACTGTGGGCCTCTATTATAACCCAAAATATTGTGGTCCACAGATGGGCTATGTCAGTGAGTTTATACTGTGGGCCTCTATTATAACCCAAAATATTGTGGTCCACAGATGGGCTATGTCAGTGAGTTTATACTGTGGGCCTCTATTATAACCCAAAATATTGTGGTCCACAGATGGGCTATGTCAGTGAGTTTATACTGTGGGCCTCTATTATAACCCAAAATATTGTGGTCCACAGATGGGCTATGTCAGTGAGTTTATACTGTGGGCCTCTATTATAACCCAAAATATTGTGGTCCACAGATGGGCTATGTGAGTGAGTTTATACTGTGGGCCTCTATTATAACCAAAATATTGTGGTCCACAGATGGGCTATGTCAGTGAGTTTATACTGTGGGCCTCTATTATAACCAAAATATTGTGGTCCACAGATGGGCTATTTCAGTGAGTTTATACTGTGGGCCTCTATTATAACCCAAAATATTGTGGTCCACAGATGGGCTATGTCAGTGAGTTTATACTGTGGGCCTCTATTATAACCCAAAATATTGTGGTCCACAGATGGGCTATGTCAGTGAGTTTATACTGTGGGCCTCTAGAGAGAAATCTCAGCTCCTGGCTCACCAGTTCATCTGGAACATGCAGTCAAACAAGTACAGGAGGGTGGAGGAGGATGTGGAGGATGGTAGGTTTAATGGTGATGGTGTGGTAGGTGGGGGTGATGTGGTGGTGGTGGTGGTGATGTTGTGGGTGGAACATGCAGTCAAACAAGTACCGTAAGGTGAAGGATGGTAGGTTTAATGGTGGTAGTAGGTGATGGTGTGGTAGGTGGTGGTGGTGATGTTGTGGGTGGAACATGTAGTCCAACAAGTACCGTAAGGTGAAGGATGGTAGGTTTAATGGTGGTAGATGGTGGTGGTGATGATGTTTTTGGTAAATGGTGAAGTTGTAGGTAGTGGTGCAGGTGTTTCTTAAATAAATCAAAGTATTAGTATATGCACAAATCACAGAAGTTAAAGCAATATACAATTAATTTATTTTTTTAATAGACTGGAGTTAAATAGATGAACAACAAGACACGCTGTAGTTAATGTTGAATGATATTTTTCTCAAACAATTCAATACAGCAACCCTAACTGATTGAATTAATGAAAGCAGTTTAACCATAGGCTGTTTTATTTTCTACTCATCAGAGCTGATAGGTGGGAAACTGAATGAGATGATAGAGAAAATTAAACTTCAGCTGTCTGGGAGTGCTAGAGAGTTCTTTGAGAGAGAGTATGACTTCTTTACACAGATAACACAGGTCTCTGAGAAGATCAGGTAATGGTTTCCTTTTTTAATGGTTGATTTTCATTGCACTTTTTAAAAGTTTTAAACGTTTTTTTCATTGCACATAATTCTTCTTTAATAATGACACACCATTAATTCTGCATTTGCAAGTAAAAACATGTCTTAATCCTTTGAGTCCGGGCCTCCCTGGCCTAGTTTCTCCCATTTCCTGAGCTCCCAGGCCCAAACCAATTTTCACTTATCTGTTTCTAACTTTGCCTATAACTTCTGAACTGTTTGAGATAATCAAGCCAGTATCAAACTACAATTCAGCAAGATTAGAAAATATGTGTGTATTCAAATTCCTATTAGTAATGAAGTTTTGGCTGCTAATTTATTTATACTTCTTTTCAACTAATTAAAATATAGGTTACAACAAAATATTCTATTAGCTAAATCAGGATGTACTTATTTATTTAACTAACACAAAATATTAATCTAATCATGAAGAATTTTTTGTTGTCACTCTAGAACTTTCCCCAAAGGACCAGAAAGGAAAGCTGCTTGTTTACAGGCGTTGTCAGAAGTTCAGCTTCAATATGGTTGTTATCTCCCCTCCAACCCAGAGGCTGTGGTCCTGGAAATAGACTACAGCTCAGGGACTCCTATGCAGAGGTAGGTTAAAGGTCAAGGTCTCTAGGGTAGGCTTGTTGTAGGTTAAAGGTTAGGGTCTCCAGGGGTAGACATGTTGTAGGTTAAAGGTTAGGGTCTGCAGGGGTAGGCATGTTATAGGTTAAAGGTTAGGGTCTCCAGGGGTAGGCATGTTGTAGGTTAAAGGTTAGGGTCTCCAGGGGTAGGCATGTTATAGGTTAAAGGTTAGGGTCTCAAGTGTAAAAGCTTGTTAAAAGTCTGGAATTATAGAGGAAGGCTTGTTATAGGCCAGGGTTTGCGTTTGTAGGCTTATTAAAGGCCATCTCAAAAGCAGATGGGATATTTGTTTTTAGATTTTCACTATTTGGGTTTAATTTTGTTATTTATAATGCAGTCCTAATAAGGAAAAGAAAATTCAAGCTGGGAATTTAGTAAAGTTTTAAATCAAAATATCTCAAGTTTAAAACTATGCAGTCAATACACCATACTGTGGCTGAAGTATTCGTCATATCTTGTACGCATAATTTTAATATTATTGTTCACGGCTACACCAACTGTTAATTAGCATATATGAAACTAACATTTTACTAATCAAAATGACCAGTTATGAGGCAAGGGTATCATATAACTGAATTTGTTTTTGCCAGTGCGGCCAAAGCTCCATACCTGGCCAGGTTCAAGGTTCAGCGTTTGGGGATAGATGAGATTGAAAGGTTGGGGGCTGCAGGTGCTAGCCAATCACATGTAGCAGGTAGCCACAAGCAAGGCGATGGGGCAGGTAGCCAGAGCTGCTACTGGCAGGCTTGTATCTTTAAAGTGGGAGATGATGTGAGACAGGTACGCTCTGATGTTCCACACATGTGCCGTGATCTTAGACTTTATATTTTTATATTTTTAGCAAAATGTTAAGCTAAATAAATTTCAGCAAAATACCAATTATTATCTTTGTATCATTCATGATATCTCTTGGTAGACAATGGCAAGATCCTTTCCTAGTGCAGTTATTTCCCTTGTCTTTAAATCTTTGTCTCCCCTATTTAATGCTACCTAGTGCAGTTATTCCCCTTGTCTTTACATCAGGGGTTCCCAACCTTTTTTTACTCTAGAGCACATTCTAAAATATCGGTAGGGTGGCGGGCACCACCTATTTTAAATCGAAAAACTCCTTCCATAACTTGTCATTTTCCCATAATTTATTTTCTTATAGTCATAATGTATGAATAAATAATAAACAAAAATGTTTCAAAATAATAAAATTATTTGGCATTTTTTTTTAAATTGCATACACACAGAGAAATGTATTTACAAAACGTAAATAGTGCAGTCTGGCTAGACAAGTTGGGACAAGTATCGAACATATTTAATAAACCTAGGCAGTCAAAAAAAATAATTAAAACTGTAACAAATGAATAAAAATAAATCATATTTTAAAATAATGTTTAAGAAAAAAATTCTGTCTCTGTCGAATAGTGAGAGGTGGGCACATAAGAATCGTTCAGGGGGCGCCATGGCGCCCGTGGGCACAGGGTTGGGAACCCCTGCTTTACATCATTGTCTCCCCTAGCTAATGCTACCTAGAGCAGTTATTCCCCTTGTCTTATTGCACTATTGTCTCCCCTAGCTAATGCTACCTAGAGCAGTTATTCCCCTTGTCTTATTGCACTATTGTCTCCCCTATCTAATGCTACCTAGAGCAGTTATTCCCCTTGTCTTTACATCATTGTCTCCCCTATCTAATGCTACCTAGTGCAGTTATTCCCTTTGTCTTATTGCACTATTGTCTCCCCTATCTAATGCTACCTAATGCAGTTATTCCCCTTGTCTTATTGCACTATTGTCTCCCCTATCTAATGCTACCTAGAGCAGTTATTCCCCTTGTCTTATTGCACTATTGTCTCCCCTATCTAGTGCTACCTAGAGCAGTTATTCCCTTGTCTTATTGCACTATTGTCTCCCCTATCTAATGCTACCTAGTGCAGTTATTCCCCTTGTCTTATTGCACTATTGTCTCCCCTATCTAATGCTACCTAGAGCAGTTATTCCCCTTGTCTTATTGCACTATTGTCTCCCCTATCTAATGCTACCTAGAGCAGTTATTCCCCTGGTCTTATTGCACTATTATCTCCCCTATCTAATGCTACCTAGAGCAGTTATTCCCCTGGTCTTATTGCACTATTGTCTCCCCTATCTAATGCTACCTAGAGCAGTTATTCCCCTTGTCTTATTGCACTATTGTCTCCCCTATCTAATGCTACCTAATGCAGTTATTCCCCTTGTCTTATTGCACTATTGTCTCCCCTAGCTAATGCTACCTAGAGCAGTTATTCCCCTTGTCTTATTGCACTATTGTCTCCCCTATCTAATGCTACCTAGAGCAGTTATTCCCCCCGGTCTTATTGCACTATTGTCTCCCCTATCTAATGCTACCTAGAGCAGTTATTCCCCTTGTCTTATTGCACTATTGTCTCCCCTAGCTCATAAAACTTTCATCTTGATCTTGTCACCAGGATATTCTAGCCCTGCAGGTCATTGAACTCTTCCGTAATATTTTTGACAAGGCTGGTCTGCCCTTGTTTCTGTCTCCATATAGGGTCATCGCCACAGATCGAGGGGTAGGTTTGATATTTGTTTCACACAAAGGATTGGCTTTAAATTGGTGCCACACACAAGTTTGCTGACATTTACTGTCACACATGAGGTTAGGTGTGCTTAAACCTTGACCTAGTCAAATGTTTGACCTTGTTCCAGTGTGGGGTCATTGAGTGCGTCCCTGACAGCAAGTCCAGAGATCAGCTGGGGAGAGAGACTGACGTCACACTGTATGAGTATCTGCTGACCACCTTTGGGGATGAGCAGTCGCATTCATTTCAACAGGTGAGTGGTGAGCACAGTACAGGTGAGCACAGTACAGGTGAGTGGTGAGTACTGTACAGGTGAGTGGTGAGCATATTACAGGTGAGTGGTGAGCACAGTACAGGTGAGTGGTGAGTACTGTACAGGTGAGTGGTGAGCACAGTACAGGTGAGTGGTGAGTACTGTACAGGTGAGTGGTGAGCACAGTACAGGTGAGTGGTGAGCACAGTACAGGTGAGTGGTGAGCATATTACAGGTGAGTGGTGAGCACAGTACAGGTGAGTGGTGAGCATATTACAGGTGAGTGGTGAGCACAGTACAGGTGAGTGGTGAGTACTGTACAGGTGAGTGGTGAGCACAGTACAGGTGAGTGGTGAGCACAGTACAGGTGAGTGGTGAGTACGGTACAGATGAGTGGTGAACACGGTACAGGTGAACATGGTACAGGTGAGTGGTGAGCACAGTACAGGTGAGTGGTGAGTACTGTACAGGTGAGTGGTGAGCACAGTACAGGTGAGTGGTGAGCACAGTACAGGTGAGTGGTGAGCATATTACAGGTGAGTGGTGAGCACAGTACAGGTGAGTGGTGAGCATATTACAGGTGAGTGGTGAGCACAGTACAGGTGAGCATGGTACAGGTGAGTGGTGAGCACAGTACAGGTGAGTGGTGAGCACAGTACAGGTGAGTGGTGAGCACAGTACAGGTGAGCATGGTACTGGTGAGTGGGGAGCATAGTACAGGTGAGTGGTAAGCACAGTACAGGTGAGTGGTGAGCATAGTACAGGTGAGTGGTGAGCACAGTACAGGTGAGCATGGTACTGGTGAGTGGTGAGCATAGTACAGGTGAGTGGTAAGCACAGTACAGGTGAGTGGTGAGCATAGTACAGGTGAGTGGTGAGCATATTACAGGTGAGTGGTGAGCACAGTACAGGTGAGTGGTGAGCACAGTACAGGTGAGCATGGTACTGGTGAGTGGTGAGCATAGTACAGGTGAGTGGTAAGCAAAGTACAGGTGAGTGGTGAGCACAGTACAGGTGAGTGGTGAGCACAGTACAGGTGAGTGGTGAGCACAGTACAGGTGAGTGGTGAGCATATTACAGGTGAGTGGTAAGCACAGTACAGGTGAGTGGTGAGCATATTACAGGTGAGTGGTGAGCACTGTACAGGTGAGTGGTGAGCACTGTACAGGTGAGTGGTGAGCACAGTACAGGTGAGTGGTGAGTACTGTACAGGTGAGTGGTGAGCACAGTACAGGTGAGTGGTGAGCACAGTACAGGTGAGTGGTGAGCACAGTACAGGTGAGTGGTGAGCACAGTACAGGTGAGTGGTGAGCACAGTACAGGTGAGTGGTGAGCACGGTACAGATGAGTGGTGAACACGGTTCAGGTGAACATGGTACAGGTGAGTGGTGAGCACAGTACAGGTGAGTGGTGAGCACGGTACAGATGAGTGGTGAACACGGTTCAGGTGAACATGGTACAGGTGAGTGGTGAGCACTGTACAGGTGAGTGGTGAGCACAGTACAGGTGAGTGGTGAGCACTGTACAGGTGAGTGGTGAGCACAGTACAGGTGAGTGGTGAGCACGGTACAGATGAGTGGTGAACACGGTACAGGTGAACATGGTACAGGTGAGTGGTGAGCATGGTACAGGTGAGTGGTGAGCACAGTACAGGTGAGTGGTGAGCACGGTACAGATGAGTGGTGAGCACAGTACAGGTGAGTGGTGAGCACAGTACAGGTGAGTGGTGAGCACGGTACAGATGAGTGGTGAACACGGTACAGGTGAACATGGTACAGGTGAGTGGTGAGCATGGTACAGGTGAGTGATGAGCATGGTGGTGAGCACTGTACAGGTGGGTGGTGAGCATGATACAGGTGAGTGGTGAGCATGGTACAGGATAGTGGTGAGCATGGTACAGGTGGGTGGTGAGCACAGTACAGGTGAGTGGTGAGCATGGTACAGGTGAGTGGTGAGCATGATACAGGTGAGTGGTGAGCATGGTACAGGTGAGTGGTGAGCACAGTACAGGTGAGTGGTGAGCATGGTACAGGTGAGTGGTGAGCATGGTACAGGTGAGTGGTGAGCATGGTACAGGTGAGTGGTGAGCATGGTACAGATGAGTGGTGAACACGGTACAGGTGAACATGGTACAGGATAGTGGTGAGCATGGTACAGGTGGGTGGTGAGCACAGTACAGGTGAGTGGTGAGCATAGTACAGGTGAGTGGTGAGCATGGTACAGGTGAGTGGTGAGCATGGTACAGGTGAGTGGTGAGCATGGTACAGATGAGTGGTGAACACGGTACAGGTGAACATGGTACAGGATAGTGGTGAGCATGGTACAGGTGGGTGGTGAGCACAGTACAGGTGAGTGGTGAACACAGTACAGGTGAGTGGTAAGCACAGTACAGGCTATAGTTTTTTCCTGGTGTTTTTATTTCAGGCCCGTCAGAACTTTGTGGTGTCCATGGCAGCCTACAGCATCGTCAGCTTTCTGCTGCAGATCAAGGACAGACACAACGGGAATCTGATGATTGACTCAGCTGGTCACATTATACACATTGGTCAGTTAGTCGTGGGCTTTTGTTAAGCTTTGGTTGCATGGTTTAGGTTTCATTAAGTTGTTTTTTGTTAGACTTTGGTTGCATGCTTTAGGTTTTTCATTTATTCCAACCCCAGACTTTGGTTTCATGTTTGAAAGTTCACCTGGAGGAAACATGGGATTTGAACCTGACATCAAACTGACAGAGGAGATGTTTAAGGTGATGGGCGGGGCCATGGATGCTCCGCCCTTTGTTTGGTACATGGAGTTGTGTGTGCAGGGTTATTTGGCTGTCAGGTAAGTCTGTGGCAGGTCAACTCAGTTTTTATTAAGGAATTCTTGACTCTAGTAGGTCTAAGATAGACTAGACATATTAACAAGGAAATCTTGACTCTAATAGGTCTAAGTAGACTAGACATATTATCAAGGAAATCTTGAATAAAGTAGGTCTAAGATAGACTAGCCATATTCCATATTAGACACATATTATAGACGAGATATTGGTTGTCTCAACCCTGTTGATGAGATATGAAGCTCACACATAATATAAATTGTTCCTTGTGAGCACTAAATTCATTGGATTCCTAAAAATAGTTTAAACTTTAAAAAGCTTGTAAAGGGAGGCTATTGAAGAAAATATTTTCATTTGGAATAACTTTTTCGTAGACTTTGTATTGGTTGTAATAAACTTTTATCTTGTCAAAACTATGAACAACTCAATGAATTGAATATTTGTACTGATGCTCTTATCAAAAAATGCCTCAAAGTTTAACGTCCATGAAATAACTTGTCCACCCCAGGCCATACCAAGATGCCATCATCTCGCTGGTGTCTCTGATGCTGGACACTCGTCTGCCGTGCTTCAGAGGTCAGACTATCAAAAAACTGCGAGAAAGGTTTGCACCCCAAGCCAGCGACAGAGAGGCTGCGACCTACATGTCCAAGGTCGTCAAGGACAGTTGCCTGAACTGGCGCGGCACAATGTATGATAGGATCCAGTACATACAGAATCAGATTCCTTATTAACATGGCTGTATGATAGGATCCAGTACATACAGAATCAGATTCCTTATTAACATGGCTGTATGATAGGATCCAGTACATACAGAATCAGATTCCTTATTAACATGGCTGTATGACAGGATCCAGTACATACAGAATCAGATTCCTTATTAACATGGCTGTATGATAGGATCCAGTACATACAGAATCAGATTCCTTATTAACATGGCTGTATGATAGGATCCAGTACATACAGAATCAGATTCCTTATTAACATGGCTGTATGACAGGATCCAGTACATACAGAATCAGATTCCTTATTAACATGGCTGTATGACAGGATCCAGTACATACAGAATCAGATTCCTTATTAACATGGCTGTATGACAGGATCCAGTACATACAGAATCAGATTCCTTATTAACGTGGCTGTATGACAGGATCCAGTACATACAGAATCAAATTCCTTATTAACATGGCTGTATGATAGGATCCAGTACATACAGAATCAGATTCCTTATTAACATGGCTGTATGACAGGATCCAGTACATACAGAATCAGATTCCTTATTAACATGGCTGTATGACAGGATCCAGTACATACAGAATCAGATTCCTTATTAACATGGCTGTATGATAGGATCCAGTACATACAGAATCAGATTCCTTATTAACATGGCTGTATGACAGGATCCAGTACATACAGAATCAGATTCCTTATTAACATGGCTGTATGACAGGATCCAGTACATACAGAATCAGATTCCTTATTAACATGGCTGTATGACAGGATCCAGTACATACAGAATCAGATTCCTTATTAACATGGCTGTATGATAGGATCCAGTACATACAGAATCAGATTCCTTATTAACATGGCTGTATGACAGGATCCAGTACATACAGAATCAGATTCCTTATTAACATGGCTGTATGACAGGATCCAGTACATACAGAATCAGATTCCTTATTAACATGGCTGTATGACAGGATCCAGTACATACAGAATCAGATTCCTTATTAACATGGCTGTATGATAGGATCCAGTACATACAGAATCAGATTCCTTATTAACATGGCTGTATGACAGGATCCAGTACATACAGAATCAGATTCCTTATTAACATGGCTGTATGACAGGATCCAGTACATACAGAATCAGATTCCTTATTAACATGGCTGTATGATAGGATCCAGTACATACAGAATCAGATTCCTTATTAACATGGCTGTATGACAGGATCCAGTACATACAGAATCAGATTCCTTATTAACATGGCTGTATGACAGGATCCAGTACATACAGAATCAGATTCCTTATTAACATGGCTGTATGACAGGATCCAGTACATACAGAATCAGATTCCTTATTAACATGGCTGTATGACAGGATCCAGTACATACAGAATCAAATTCCTTATTAACATGGCTGTATGACAGGATCCAGTACATACAGAATCAGATTCCTTATTAACATGGCTGTATGACAGGATCCAGTACATACAGAATCAGATTCCTTATTAACATGGCTGTATGACAGGATCCAGTACATACAGAATCAAATTCCTTACTAAAGTGTCTGGAATGCTGCCAGGGGGAGGGGGGGTGTTGTTCTTATGGCTTCTGGCAACCACTCAAAAAATATTTCCCAGAATTTAAAATGCTCTCATAAACTATGTGTGTGTTTATGTATATTTGTATTATCATGTGATATAATCTAAACTGTGATACAGTATGATGTTACTGTTATTATTTTACAGTATTATGTTACTGTTATATTTTTGCAAATTTTAAAAATTCATATTTTTATAACTCTTGTATGAAGAGCTCTATTTTTGTAAGCCAACTATTCTGTGATCCATTGGTGCAGTTTGTTGTTTAATGTCACATTTTTGTAAGCCATTTAATACTTAAATGATGGTTTTATGTTTGTGCTGATTTTATAATAGATCTGATTAATTTATTCTTAACAAAATATGGTCTGCCCTGCTGGAATTTTGCCTTTCCAAAAAATAAAACTTTTAATGTTTTAAAAAGCAATTTTTGTGTTTTATTGCACGGTTTGAATAGGTGTTTGTTAGAGCTTTTTTTCTTGCTGTTGAGGTGAAACAAAAATGAAGATCAGACATAGACCTATTCTATATTTGATTTTGGGATTTTTTTATAGATCATAAATAAATTTTAACTGGAAAAATACCATTGTCACATGATTCAATAGCACTTGGCCCTGTGCTAGGTTGTATTGAGTACATTGCTGTCAAGTTATTTGTAAAATTTAGAGCTAATCTAAAACAAACACGCGATAGTGTCAGTGTAATCAGCGGCCATCTTTCACATTTCTATGTGCAGGTTGTGATGTAACATCTTACAGTGCTCGTTAGGCCCTAACTACTAAATACCTGGAGAGGCTAATCAACTGGCTGATCAGTTCATGGAATTAATTACTTAACAATACAGGTCATCCATTTCGATAAAAAAATTAAATTTCCGTTTTCTGGAATCTTAATGAGAAATGTATGTGAGGTTGGACTAAAGTGGAATACAAAGCTAGTAACATGCATATCGCAACTTTTGTGTGGTATTTTTTTTTTTGCCACCCAATTAATGGTTTTGTCTACTCAGAGGTATTTTGTCACACAAAGTGTCACTAATGGTACCATAAATCAAGACGCTAAATAACATTTGGTTATTATATCAAATTACATGTGAACAAACCAACTAGATAAATACCCTGTGGTCAAAATACCTACTGTGGCCAAAGACCCTGTGGTCAAATACCCACTATGGCCAAAGCACCTGTGGTCAAATACCCAATGTGGCCAAAGCACCTGTGGTCAAATACCCAATGTGCCCAAAGCACTTGTGGTCAAATACCTACTGTGGACAGACCATATATGGTCAAAGCACCTGCACCAAATCGGTTTCATGCCTTTGCAGGTTGGGATACCTAATGAAACAATAGTCTAAGTCAGTGGTTCTCGAAGTTTCGATGCAATAGCCCACTCTATGGCGCCACTGGTCTAGGCCTAAATTAAAGTATATTTATTCACAGGTCTTTTAAAAAAACAAGGTACAATATGAGCAACTGTGCATCCTAATCATCAATGTCTATTGAAAGTTCTGTTGTAATATAAAAGTAAACTTCTGGGAAATAAATAATGAGCACATCTGTGGAGTTTTATTTTACCTGATGTGTGTTTTTAATATCTAATACAATTGTTTCATTATAAAATTGGATTTTACGATGACACAAAATTCTTTTCACATTTCCAGTCCGGAGTGTCACATTTCTAAAGTTGTCCAAAAAGGTGTGTATAAGTATAATTTCTACAGAGATACCAAAAGTCTTATCACATTTTCAAAGAGGTTTATAATTTATACACGTAATCAAATCATATGGTGTGATGTGTGAGTGTACATCTAGAGTTGGTCCTTGTGGGTTCTTCCATGTGGGTTCTTCCATGTGGGTTATTCCTTGTGGGTTGGTCCATGTGGGTTGTTCCTTGAGGGTTGGTCCATGTGGGTTGTTCCTTGAGGGTTGGTCCATGTGGGACGTTCCTTGTGGGTTGGTCCTTGAGGGTTGGTCCATGTGGGTTGTTCCTTGAGGGTTGTTCCATGTGGGTTGGTCCTTGAGGGTTGGTCCATGTGGGTTGTTCCTTGAGGGTTGGTCCATGTGGGTTGTTCCTTGAGGGTTGTTCCTTGAGGGTTGTTCCTTGAAGGTTGGTCCATGTGGGTTGGTCCTTGAGGGTTGGTCCATGTGGGTTGTTCCTTGAAGGTTGGTCCATGTGGGTTGTTCCTTGAGGGTTGGTCCATGTGGGTTGTTCCTTGAGGGTTGTTCCTTGAAGGTTGGTCCATGTGGGTTGGTCCTTGAGGGTTGGTCCATGTGGGTTGGTCCTTGTGGATTGGTCCATGTGGGTTGGTCCATGTGGATTGGTCCTTGTGGGTTGGTCAATGAGGGTTGGTCCTTGTGGGTTGTTCCATGTGGGTTGGTCCATGAGGGTTGGTCCTTGTGGGTTGGTCAATGAGAGTTGGTCCATGTGGGTTGTTCCATGAGGGTTGGTCCTTGTGGATTGGTCCATGAGGGTTGGTCCTTGTGGATTGGTCCATGTAGGTTGGTCCTTGAGATTTGGTCCATGTGGATTGGTCAATGAGGGTTGGTCCATGTGGGTTGATTCATGTGGGTTGGTCCATGAGGGTTGGTCCTTGAGGGTTGGTCCATGTGGGAGTATCATGTTCAGCCGTGTTCAGAAGACTTGAATTGTGGTCTACGGGAAAAGAATGGGGATAGTAATTAGATCCGAGCTTGGTGCTCCAGAGGAGTTCTGGATTGCTTTGTCCATGTGTGAAGGTCGATCAGCCTGCAATAGAAATTAAACATCAAAGTTGTGTTGGACAACTTGAAAGTTTATAGTCCAACAGCTAATTATAGAGCTTAAATAGCGTTATCCAACCAGGAGGGTAGCAAGCTATTGTGGCAGTGCAAACAAATATAGACACACACACACACACACACACACACACATATATATATATATATATATATATATATATATATATATATATATATATATATATATATATATATATATATATATATAATGCACTAATAAGGAGAAAAAAAAGATTTTGATTTAAACATAAAATAATATACTACTATTTAAATAGTTATTAAGAAAAGCGGGGGTCTCTTCCTAAATATTATAGATCTATTAGTTTTGTTATCCAAAAGATAATTTAGTGACTTGCGCTTTTCTTTTGCACGTTTTGATGCAATATTTTTAAAAATCCTATTCAAGGACATTTAAATATTGAAAATAATTTAAACAGTTTTAACCATTTTACATATTGAAAACATTTAAAATATTGCAATTATTTTAAAAATTGAAAATGTTTAGGCTATTTAAAATGTTTAAAAATATTTAAGTCTAAAATGTTTTTAATGTTTAACACATGTTTTCAAAATTTAAAATGTTTAAAATATTTATTTATTTATGTTTCCAATATTTGAATATTATTTAAAATTTAAAATGTTTAATGCTATTTTAGATGTTTGCTGTCTTACCTTTAACTAAACAAATTTTCGTCTTCTCAAGTTCGCGCCAATAACTTGTCAACAACTTAGTGCCAACAAAGTGCCAAGTCTGTAATCAAAGGGTCAAGTGAGTACCTAGTGAGTGTGATGTGCAAGATCGCCGAGATCTTTAACCTGACCAGCAGATTCAACTTTTCAAAAACGACATCTAGAGACTCCGTATCCGCCAGCGGACCGACGATAGAGAAATCTCTGCCGTGTAAATAGCACATCTGAGATGAACAGACGACTGGCGTATTTATAGCCAAAACATTCAACATGGGTGTGCTAAATTCCAATCGTGACGGAAGTTTTTTAATGCCAGGAATTATCCAATTAAAGATCCTGTGTCAATATTTTGTGTAGCAATTAAGACGTGATTGCGTGTTTAATTAATTAAAGGGCAATTGATTCTATGACGGTCAATGTAGTTAGGAATACAGAGTCCCGGCGAAACTGAAATATCTTTGAAGTTGTTTTAGTGAAAATCCGCTCGGCCTACAGGATTTACAAGATGCTCATTGAAACGAACATTTTCTCCGAAACGTAACATACACAATTTCTTTCAGGCATCACTTCCGCACTGCCCCTTCCCCCCCCCCCCTTCTCCAGTGGCGTACGCAGGGGGGAACAGGAGGAGCTTCGGCTCCCCCTACGACCATTTTAAGGATAGTGGCGCCTTTTTCGGAGATTAATTAAATAAAATTTAAAACAAGTTTGGCAACACAAATTTAAAAAATAAAAATAACAGCAACACACAGTATTGAAACTACGAATTTAAAACAGTCATGTTACGTAGCCTAAATATGACATTTGTAATGTTTATACTTCTTGGCAGAGGCGTAGCGAGGGGGGGCGGGGGGCGGAACGCACCGGGTGACACCATTTAGGTGGATGACACCAAGGCAAAAAATAGCAAAATATATAGAGAAAAACTTGAGGGGGGGGGGTGCAAATCGAAAGTTTGAAGGTGGGGGGGGGGGGGGATGCAAATCGAAAACTTGAGGGGGTGCAAATCAAAAGTTTGAGGGTGGGGGGTGCAAATCGAAAATTTGAAAGTTTGTCTCCGGGAAGGGTCGCTACGCCTCTTGGGGGTGACACCATTAAGTGCCGCACCGGGTGACACCCGACCTCGCTACGCCACTGCTTCTTGGCTTACCTTTCGGATGTTAGCTATTCGACAGTCACGAGCGAGGCGCTTTTCGTCATTATGTCAATCCACGTAGGTACCTGTATATCAACTGTTTGTGTTTTTCTTGCTGAATATGGACGAACAGCCACCCACACATCGGTCTAATTCACAAGTGTAGCCTTTACTCGAGTTTTTTAGGCTCAATTCAGCCATCCCTCTTTTATACGGGAGGCCTGATATTTTTCTGTTTTAAACGGGTGGGCTCCGTGGAAAAAAAAACTGTTTTAATACTAGAGAACTAACAGGTTTTTTTTTCTCTACAGCTCTTTTACTGTACACCCGCTTGTTTGCTTCCATTAAATAAACCGGGAGTAATCTCCCCTAAATTTTTTCGAATATTCTTATATAACACTTCGGGTGATGGCAACTCGGGATATAGACATAATTTTTAATCCATTTTTAGTTGCTTAAACTTTTTAAAATAGAATAGAATCTAGTAGAAAAAAGAATTGCACACCAAGTGAGCACCAAACAATCTGTGTATAATAGTGCGGAATATTATTATTACTTCATACGTTCACGTGCGCTTTTTGAGAAATCAGAAATCGCATAAATTACTACTTCCGGTCAACGGAAATCACTCAAAATTTGACAGAAGGCAGATAATTAGATCACTTACTTACAAGTAAAAATTTCATTTATCTTTCTCAAACATTACTGAAGTTATAGGCTTTTGAAAAAATTGAAAGTAGAATTAGTTCCACTTCCGGTTACCGGAAATCGCTGAACGTTGATACAGAACTACAAATTCGTTATAATACATGTATATAAATTTTTATCAATCTAGCTGTAACGGTAGGCCTACTCAAGTTATCGTGTTTATAGACACACATACACACACAGAGACATACGGACAGAATTGTAAAGTCCAGTTTTCCCAGCTCGATTACGCGTAGAACTCCAAAATTTTGATCAATCTGCATTTATCATTTTTGCCCGATTAAAATAAGTCCTCTATATTCCGTACATGATGAAGTACTGAGGTGTAAAACGATGAAAACTGGCAAAATTTCATATGATTTTTGTGCACGATTACAATACTTCCTCTATACTCTGTATACGAGAAAGTAAAAATTGGGGGGAAAATCTAAATATCTATATATGTAGTTCGCTTGTCGCAATATTCCATTAGCCATTGTGTCAAATTGTTTTTACACGGATTACGAAAGAAGCCGTGTTCTTGTTGGTTGTGTTGTGTGTACATTTTGAGTTGTATTTTGTTTTATATTTTATCTGGCGAGTTTTGGCGGGGTACCAATGACTATATCAACTATTTAGAATCACTTCCAAATACAACATCGAATGAATTTTTCAGAAGATGTAATCAAAACACATTCATGTTTGTTTAAACCTGCCCCCACCACATCACCCCACACAGATACATGATTGTGTGTGTGTGGGATGGGACGTACCTGTAATTGATTTGTTGATTATGGCGAGATTGTAATGTAATGTAAGGTTCCCTTTTCAAACCTGACGGTCTATAGGTCAAGTGAAGTAGAGTTCACTTGTTTCTGTGACCTCGGCATACGAAGAGATAGTGTGGTCAGCACTATGCCCAGCATGGCGACATTAAATCCGTTTAATTAAAGGCTTGGCGTTGATGCAAGGATAGAAAAGTCAAAGGGACACAAATAGGAAAGAAGTCATCAATATTTTTTTGTTTGAATGTTGTAAATATCTACTTGTCACTTAGTAAGTTAGTACGTTTAAATGTTGTAAATTCATTCTTGTCATTTAGTATGTATAGATATTGTCACCAACAACACTTTAACATTCAATAATTTAAACGTGTTTGTATTCCATTTGGCTACTATAGAAGCGATCGTTTCATTGTACATTAAAACAAATATGAAAACTTTAACTCAATGTCGACACAGCTTATTTAAATATTTAATAAATAATTGGGGGACGGCGGAGGCTGAAGGGTCACGTCCCTCTAGGTAGGAGGGAGGTGTGACGTCACTCTAAGAGGGAGGTGTGACGCTCCTCTAGAAGGAAGTTGTGACGCCCCTCTAGGAGAGAGGTGTGACGCCCCTCTAGGTGGGAGGTGTGACACCCCTCTAGGTGGGAGGTGTGACGCCCCTCTAGGAGGAAGGTGTGACGCCCCTCTAGGAGGAAGGTGTGACGCCCCTCTAGGAGGAAGGTGTGACGCCCCTCTAGGTGGGAGGTGTGACGCCCCTCTAGGAGGAAGGTGTGACGCCCCTCTAGGAGGAAGGTGTGACGCCCCTCTAGGAGGGAGGTGTGACGCCCCTCTAGGAGGAAGGTGTGACGCCCCTCTAGGAGGGAGGTGTGACGCCCCTCTAGGAGGGAGGTGTGACGCCCCTCTAGGAGGAAGGTGTGACGCCCCTCTAGGAGGAAGGTGTGACGCCCCTCTAGGAGGGAGGTGTGACGCCCCTCTAGGAGGGAGGTGTGACGCCCCTCTAGGTGGGAGGTGTGACGCCCCTCTAGGAGGATGGTGTGACGCCCCTCTAGGAGGAAGGTGTGAGGTCACTCTAGGAGGGAGGTGTGGAGGAAGGTGTGACATTATACGAGGATGGAGATAATGGTGTAAAGAAGTTATACTTTTCTTTATCACTTTTACATACCATATTATAGCGTCCAGTAGATCTACATATAAACGTATAGGCCTACATACTAAGATTGTCTGTGGTTTCTCGCTCCACGCAAAAACCGCAGCACGGTGTTTTGATGTGTCAAGAAAACTCTGGGACTGTGTTCTTTATTTCATAAGTAGCAGGTCTAAATTTAAAGCCGAACTATCAGATTAAAAAGGGGGGGGGGGGTGTGAATCTACCGGAGTGTTTGAAACAAAGTGTGTTGGGAAGGTTCAGTTTAAAATTAGAAAGAATTGGAGAAGGTTCCGTTTAATTAGAAAGAATTACAGGATAGTTTCAAGTTGTCTAGAGTTACTTCCATATTTTAATTAGTTGGTAAATAAACATTGTCTTAATACATTTGGCTTTAGTTCGTTTAGATATAGATCTAGGTGCAAATGACTGAAAAATATAGCCTAATTCTGGTACTATATTTAGTAACACGGCAATTTGCCTTCAATATTTAGTGCCTCCAGTTTTAAGTTTAATATTTCTAGATTTCCAGAAGTCTTGTTTGAATGTTAAAAGTGCGGACTAAAAAGTTAGTTTAAAGCAATATTAACAAAATATCGTAAACATTTTTTTTAGTTTGTCAGTTGCTTGCATTGAGCGTTTGTTTTTAACTTACTTTCTGAGGCATGTACCACAAACAGGTGTGTAACTTGTATTTGCAGACATACGGCCAAAGCTTCCTGGCTGGAGATAGCACAGTACACATCCGATATTGGACCAGCCTCGCATTAGAGCCGCCTAATTCAATATTCGTGAGTCGTACTCAACTTTTTGTTTACATTTTGAATTCGATGTTGTTGTTTTTTTTTTTTAAACTTTTTTTTAGCAACAAAAAAAAACAGTGGGCAATTTAAAATAGAGTTCACCTGTTTCTGTGACCTCGGCATATGAAAGAATAGTGTGATCAGCACTATGCCCAGCCGCCTTTACTCTCCCTAATCTGATTTAGGTACCCATCAGTGCTGGGTGCACTCAGGGACGTTCTACTGACCCGGATTCGAACTCGAGACTTACGAGCTAGCAGTCTAGCTCTCTAGGACAATCCACCCCTTCCTGAGTTTGATAGACCGAAATAAGTTGTGATTCCTGTAGCCTTAGTATTGATTAGTTTCCTGAAATTATGATAGGATACTTACGTAACACTTACAAAACAAGTCGAAAAACTTAAATGAAAGCTACACACGAAATATTATTTTATTACAAACACTTTATTTTTACATTTTTTACAACACAAACGATGTGACTAGGTCGCTTTGGATTACATAACTTAACGTCAGGCCTACATATTCAATTGTTTTTCTCGCCCAAGTGTCGTACAGTTGGTGGGCCAAGTCTTGCTCGAATTGTGGCCAAGTCTTGTTCGGGTTGTGGCCATGTCTTGTTCGGATTGTGGCCATGTATGAAGCAGGAGTTTGGCCATATATGAAGCAGGAGTTTGGCCATATATGAAGCAGGAGTTTGGCCATGTATGAAGCAGGAGTTTGGCCACGTATGAAGCAGGTTGTGGCCATGTATGAAGCAGGAGTTTGGCCATGTATGAAGCAGGAGTTTGGCCATGTATGAAGCAGGAGTTTGGCCATGTATGAAGCAGGTTGTGGCCATGTATGAAGCAGGAGTTTGGCCATGTATGAAGCAGGTTGTGGCCATGTTTGGAGCCAACTACTTGACGTGGTGCCAAGGACAGGGTATATTGATCAGCCCGGTGCAAAGACTGGTGTGCATTTTCTTTCTGCTGGATATAGTGGTAACATAGGTAAAAAAAAAATATGTTTAATTAATTATTTTTTTAAGGTAGTTAATACATTATTTATTTTGATTGGGGAGTGAATTGTTAGGTTTTAGTATGGTCAGTTATTTATAAAAAGGGCTTACTTATTACTATTATACATACTCAAATACCAAATTATTGAAGTCTAAAAATTTTCACGTTGAACTATTCAGGTTAAACGAAACAATTAATATCGAAATACATAAAATAGTAAAATATTAGTAACATTATATTGTTGTAACTCCTAGGCTTCTCTTCGGGGGAGAGCCCCCCCCCCCCCTTACCCGAAGAAAGTCTACCGCCCCCGAACGAAATGGAATAAATATAGAAAATATATTCTTCTATTACTCCCCCCCCCCCGGAGAAAATATTCTGGTGGTTGTAACTATTAGACTAATGAAGTAATTTCAAGCCAATCTATCTTGATCTATCTAGCCAATCTATCTTAGTGAATCTAACCGATCTATCTTAGTCTATGAATGACTTACAGTTGACTGAAGTAATTGGCGACCTCGCTAATTTTTTGCTAAATCTTTCGTTCAAAGATGGCTGACTACAAATGGTTTAAAGTCTCTCGGAGGTCTGAAATATAAAAGTACATTCAGTTTGTAAGGAAAAAGTAGAATAGAAGAACTCATACATTCAACACTTATTGAAATAAGAAGTAGGTGGCTCACTTAATTTTAGATGTGCGGGCAGGTAGCTCGCCTAGCTAGATGAGGGGGCAGGTAGCTCGCCTAGCTAGATGAGGGGGCAGGTAACTCGCCTAGCTAGATGAGGGGGCAGGTAGCTCACCTAGCTAGATCAGGGGGCAGGTAGCTCACCTAGCTAGATGAGTGGGCAGGTAGCTCGCCTAGCTAGATGAGGGGGCAGGTAGCTCACTTAATGAAGGGCAGGTAGCTCATCTAGCTAGATCAGGGGGCAGGTAGCTCACCTAGCTAGATGAGTGGGCAGGTAGCTCGCCTAGCTAGATGAGGGGGCAGGTAGCTCGCCTAGCTAGATGAGGGGGCAGGTAGCTCACCTGGCTAGATGAGGGGGCAGGTAGCTCGCCTAGCTAGATGAGGGGGCAGGTAGCTCACCTAGCTAGATCAGGGGGCAGGTAGCTCACCTAGCTAGATCAGGGGGCAGGTAGCTCACCTAGCTAGATGAGTGGGCAGGTAGCTCGCCTAGCTAGATGAGGGGGCAGGTAGCTCGCCTAGCTAGATCAGGGGGCAGGTAGCTCACCTAACTAGATCAGGGGGCAGGTAGCTCACCTAGCTAGATGAGTGGGCAGGTAGCTCGCCTAGCTAGATGAGGGGGCAGGTAGCTCGCCTAGCTAGATCAGGGGGCAGGTAGCTCACCTAGCTAGATGAGTGGGCAGGTAGCTCGCCTAGCTAGATGAGGGGGCAGGTAGCTCACTTAATGAAGGGCAGGTAGCTCATCTAGCTAGATGAGGGGGCAGGTAGCTCACCTAGCTAGATGAGTGGGCAGGTAGCTCGCCTAGCTAGATGATGGGGCAGGTAGCTCACCTAGCTAGATCAGGGGGCAGGTAGCTCACCTAGCTAGATGAGTGGGCAGGTAGCTCGCCTAGCTAGATGAGGGGGCAGGTAGCTCGCCTAGCTAGATCAGGGGGCAGGTAGCTCACCTAGCTAGATGAGTGGGCAGGTAGCTCGCCTAGCTAGATGAGGGGGCAGGTAGCTCACTTAATGAAGGGCAGGTAGCTCATCTAGCTAGATGAGGGGGCAGGTAGCTCACCTAGCTAGATCAGGGGGCAGGTAGCTCACCTAGCTAGATGAGTGGGCAGGTAGCTCGCCTAGCTAGATGAGGGGGCAGGTAGCTCACTTAATGAAGGGCAGGTAGCTCATCTAGCTAGATGAGGGGGCAGGTAGCTCGCCTAGCTAGATGAGGGGGCAGGTAGCTCACTTAATGAAGGGCAGGTAGCTCATCTAGCTAGATGAGGGGGCAGGTAGCTCGCCTAGCTAGATGAGGGGGCAGGTAGCTCACTTAATGAAGGGCAGGTAGCTCATCTAGCTAGATGAGGGGGCAGGTAGCTCGCCTAGCTAGATCAGGGGGCAGGTAGCTCACCTAGCTAGATGAGTGGGCAGGTAGCTCGCCTAGCTAGATGAGGGGGCAGGTAGCTCACTTAATGAAGGGCAGGTAGCTCATCTAGCTAGATGAGGGGGCAGGTAGCTCGCCTAGCTAGATCAGGGGGCAGGTAGCTCACCTAGCTAGATGAGTGGGCAGGTAGCTCGCCTAGCTAGATGAGGGGGCAGGTAGCTCACTTAATGAAGGGCAGGTAGCTCATCTAGCTAGATGAGGGGGCAGGTAGCTCGCCTAGCTAGATCAGGGGGCAGGTAGCTCACCTAGCTAGATGAGTGGGCAGGTAGCTCGCCTAGCTAGATGAGGGGGCAGGTAGCTCACTTAATGAAGGGCAGGTAGCTCATCTAGCTAGATGAGGGGGCAGGTAGCTCGCCTAGCTAGATCAGGGGGCAGGTAGCTCACCTAGCTAGATGAGTGGGCAGGTAGCTCGCCTAGCTAGATGAGGGGGCAGGTAGCTCACTTAATGAAGGGCAGGTAGCTCATCTAGCTAGATGAGGGGGCAGGTAGCTCACCTAGCTAGATGATGGGGCAGGTAGCTCACTTAATGAAGGGCAGGTAGCTCACCTAGCTAGATGAGGAGGCAGGTAGCTCACCTAGCTAGATGATGGGGCAGGTAGCTCACTTAATGAAGGGCAGGTAGCTCATCTAGCTAGATGAGGGGGCAGGTAGCTCACCTAGCTAGATGATGGGGCAGGTAGCTCACTTAATGAAGGGCAGGTAGCTCACCTAGCTAGATGAGGAGGCAGGTAGCTCACTTAATAAAGGGCAGGTAGCTCACCTAGCTAGATGAAGGGGCAGGTAGCTCACTTAATGAAGGGCAGGTAGCTCGCCTAGCTAGATGAGGGGGCAGGTAGCTCACTTAATGAAGGGCAGGTAGCTCACCTAGCTAGATGAGGAGGCAGGTAGCTCACTTAATGAAGGGCAGGTAGCTCACCTAGCTAGATGAGGAGGCAGGTAGCTCACCTAGCTAGATGAGGGGGCAGGTAGCTCACTTAATGAAGGGCAGGTAGCTCACCTAGCTAGATGAGGGGGCAGGTAGCTCACTTAATGAAGGGCAGGTAGCTCACCTAGCTAGATGAGGGGGCAGGTAGCTCACTTAATGAAGGGAAGGTAGCTCACTTAATGAAGGGCAGGTAGCTCACCTAGCTAGATGAGGGGGCAGGTAGCTCACTTAATGAAGGGCATGTAGCTCACCTAGCAGGATGAGGGGGCAGGTAGCTCACTTAATGAAGGGCAGGTAGCTCACCTAGCTAGATGAGGGGGCAGGTAGCTCACTTAATGAAGGGCAGGTAGCTCACCTAGCTAGATGAGGGGCAGGTAGCTCACTTAATGAAGGGCAGGTAGCTCACCTAGCTAGATGAGGGGGCAGGTAGCTCACCTAGCTATATGAGGGGGCAGGTAACTCACCTAGCTAGATGAGGGGACAGGTAGCTCACTTAATTAGACGAGGGATCCGGTCGCTCACTTAATGAAGGACAGGTAGCCGATATGATGATGTAATTAAGGCAAGTGGTGGGATCGTTTTGAACTCGATAACAAGGTCACACGTCCCATCAGATGGAAACAGATTCAGACAGACAAACAAACAAACAAACAAACAAACAAACAAACAAACATGGTCACAAGCCAGCCAAATTATCGTTTTTGCGGATTCTAACTCGTGACAAATATGATTCAAATATTGACGGGCGAAATGTAAAATCTAAAACCATAAATATTGACTGGCTAAATGTCAAGTCTAAAACCATAAATATTGAACTAACTAAATGTGTCATCAAGAACCATAAAAACTGTGGGGATTTCTTTACCTTTTATTGTTGAATTTTCTCGACTGTAAGTCAGCAGTCATCCAGGACTTGACAGAAATGGCACCAATTTTCAAAGATGGTGTGGACGTGGTAAGAACTGACCAGCAGATGAATGAAAGACCGGCTTTAGGAACACATCAGTGACTTGACTGTCCGCCCGCGGACTGACTGCTGTGGTTGAGTGGCTAGTCGTGTCGACCTGCCTCTACTCGCTGTGTTTCTACACTACTCTCTCTCTGCCGTACTTATAGAGGACCCACCGCATTCCTCTCTCGCCGTGATGCTTTTTTTTTTTTTACATCCACGAATTGTAAACAAACACAACATTTTTGTTCTAGTGCAATTAGTGGTGCAGAAATTAATTAAGGGTTCGTTGACCTTTCGTGATGATTTAGAAGTAATATGAAGATGGGACTGTCTAAGGACTGGAAATACCACCAAGAGCTGGGGATCCAAAATAAAATGTAGAGGTGGTTTATGGGTAGTATTTACGGGTGGTATTTATGGGGGGTATTTAAAGGAAATATAGATGTTGTATTTAAATTAAGGTAGTTAAAAGTATTATTTAAAGGTATACAAAGCAAGTGGCTCTCATAAGCAGTATTCATGTGTGGTATTTTAGAGATGGTATTCATGTCTGAAGGTGAAAGGTAGATGTTGAGATATGTAGTACAATGTTTTTTCAATCGAGGTAACAGATGTTGGTTCATCCTAATTCCGTCCCACAAAGCAAGTCATTTCACCTGTCTTCAACACATGGGGCAGGTGTTCAAATACCATCCGTGATTTTAATTAGCCAAGCTAATTATTTTTCCAAGATATTACAAAAAACATCAACTAATTTAAACATTAGATGACGGGTCGAGGCTACGCTATTCTATGCGTGTCGAAAATGTCAGCGTTAAAACTTTAACTCACGAGCTCAAAACTGCCATATCGCAGTACATGTTGTCTCCCACTGAACCATCTTGCCTACATTACCTGTTCGTGTAACACATCTTGCCTACATTACCTGTTCCCATCTTGCCTACATTACCTGTTAGTGTAACCCATCTTGCCTACATTACTGTTAGTGTAACCCATCTTGCCTACATTACCTGTTAGTGTAACCCATCTTGCCTACATTACCTGTTCGTGTAACCCATCTTGCCTACATTACCTGTTCGTGTAACCCATCTTGCCTACATTACCTGTTCGTGTAACCCATCTTGCCTACATTACCTGTTAGTGTAACCCATCTTGCCTACATTACCTGTTCCCATCTTGCCTACATTACCTGTTCCCATCTTGCCTACATTACCTGTTCGTGTAACACATCTTGCCTACATTACCTGTTAGTGTAACCCATCTTGCCTACATTACCTGTTCCCATCTTGCCTACATTACCTGTCAGTGTAACCCATCTTGCCTACATTACCTGTTAGTGTAACCCATCTTGCCTACATTACCTGTTATAACCCATCTTGCCTACATTACCTGTTAGTGTAACCCATCTTGCCTACATTACCTGTTAGTGTAACCCATCTTGCCTACATTACCTGTTAGTGTAACCCATCTTGCCTACATTACCTGTTCGTGTAACCCATCTTGCCTACATTACCTGTTATAACCCATCTTGCCTACATTACCTGCTAGTGTAACCCATCTTGCCTACATTACCTGTTATAACCCATCTTGCCTACATTACCTGTTAGTGTAAACCATCTTGCCTACATTACCTGTTAGTGTAACCCATCTTGCCTACATTACCTGTTCGTGTAACACATCTTGCCTACATTACCTGTTAGTGTAACCCATCTTGCCTACATTACCTGTCAGTGTAACCCATCTTGCCTACATTACTGTTAGTGTAACACATCTTGCCTACATTACCTGTTAGTGTAACCCATCTTGCCTACATTACCTGTCAGTGTAACCCATCTTGCCTACATTACTGTTAGTGTAACCCATCTTGCCTACATTACCTGTCAGTGTAACCCATCTTGCCTACATTACCTGTCAGTGTAACCCATCTTGCCTACATTACTGTTAGTGTAACCCATCTTGCCTACATTACCTGTTAGTGTAACCCATCTTGCCTACATTACCTGTTCTTTTAACCCATCTTGCCTACATTACCTGTTAGTGTAACCCATCTTGCCTACATTACCTGTTCGTGTAACCCATCTTGCCTACATTACCTGTTCTTTTAACCCATCTTGCCTACATTACCTGTTAGTGTAACCCATCTTGCCTACATTACCTGTTAGTGTAACCCATCTTGCCTACATTACCTGTTAGTGTAACCCATCTTGCCTACATTACCTGTCAGTGTAACCCATCTTGCCTACATTACTGTTAGTGTAACCCATCTTGCCTACATTACCTGTCAGTGTAACCCATCTTGCCTACATTACCTGTCAGTGTAACCCATCTTGCCTACATTACTGTTAGTGTAACCCATCTTGCCTACATTACCTGTCAGTGTAACCCATCTTGCCTACATTACCTGTCAGTGTAACCCATCTTGCCTACATTACTGTTAGTGTAACCCATCTTGCCTACATTACTGTTAGTGTAACCCATCTTGCCTACATTACCTGTCAGTGTAACCCATCTTGCCTACATTACCTGTTAGTGTAACCCATCTTGCCTACATTACCTGTTGTACATGTCGTATGTCCCCCAGTAGATCCATCTTGCCTAATTATAGCATATATCTACAGCTTGTAGCATACAGCTACACCTAGGATCATACAGCTTGTAGCATACAGGTACAGCTAGGAACATACAGCTTGTAGCATACAGGTACAGCTAGGATTATACAGCTTGTAGCATACATCTACTGCTTCTAATACTATGTAACAAACCAAAATGCTCAAATGTTACAATGCTAGCCAGTAACTAATTAGCCTAACGATCAATTTGCTGAGGTCGTGAGTTGTGTTCACTGTTGTAACAAAAACAAAACAAACCACCTTTGTTGAACTGTACAGTTGAATCAACTAATTAACAAATGTTTTCATACAATTCAATAAACAAAACAAAACATTTTAAAATTCAGTTTAGAGCCAACGTTTTCTTAAACAACACACACAGCAACTGAAAACAATTTGAGACGTGTTCAAATAACGAGTATAACCTTGCATGTCGCACTTATCACATAGCGGGTAACCAATGACAACACGTTTGACCCCAGTGGTGGGGGGGGGGGTAGCACTTCCCTTTAGGGGTTGGTGCAAGAGTTGTTGTCGCACTGTCCTCACCACAGCACTGATGACCATCTGTAGCTGGAGACATCACACGGATGGTCACACCACACCCACACCTACCACACAATCACACACCCACACACCACACCCACACCTACCACACAATCACACACCCACACACCACACCCACACCTACCACACAATCACACCCCCACCACACCCCCACCACACCCACACCTACCACACAATCACACCCCCACCACACCCACACACCACACCCACACCTACCACACAATCACACCCCCACCACACCCACACACCACACCCACACCTACCACACAATCACACCCCCACCACACCCACACACCACACCCACACCTACCACACAATCACACCCCCACCACACCCACACACCACACCCACACCTACCACACAATCACACCCCCACCACACCCACACCCACACACCACAACACTGATGACCATCTGTAGCTGGAGACATCACACGGATGGTCACACCACACCCACACCTACCACACAATCACACACCCACACACCACACCCACACCTACCACACAATCACACCCCCACCACACCCCCACCACACCCACACCTACCACACAATCACACCCCCACCACACCCACACACCACACCCACACCTACCACACAATCACACCCCCACCACACCCACACCCACACACCACAACACTGATGACCATCTGTAGCTGGAGACATCACACGGATGGTCACACCACACCCACACCTACCACACAATCACACACCCACACACCACACCCACACCTACCACACAATCACACCCCCACCACACCCCCACCACACCCACACCTACCACACAATCACACCCCCACCACACCCACACACCACACCCACACCTACCACACAATCACACCCCCACCACACCCACACACCACACCCACACCTACCACACAATCACACCCCCACCACACCCACACACCACACCCACACCTACCACACAATCACACCCCCACCACACCCACACACCACACCCACACCTACCACACAATCACACCCCCACCACACCCACACACCACAACACTGATGACCATCTGTAGCTGGAGACATCACACGGATGGTCACACCACACCCACACCTACCACACAATCACACACCCACACACCACACCCACACCACCACACAATCACACCCCCACCACACCCCCACCACACCCACACCTACCACACAATCACACCCCCACCACACCCACACACCACACCCACACCTACCACACAATCACACCCCCACCACACCCACACACCACACCCACACCTACCACACAATCACACCCCCACCACACCCACACACCACACCCACACCTACCACACAATCACACCCCCACCACACCCACACACCACACCCACACCTACCACACAATCACACCCCCACCACACCCACACACCACACCCACACCTACCACACAATCACACCCCCACCACACCCACACCCACACACCGCAACACTGATGACCATCTGTAGCTGGAGACATCACACGGATGGTCACACCACACCCACACCTACCACACAATCACACACCCACACACCACACCCACACCTACCACACAATCACACCCCCACCACACCCCCACCACACCCACACCTACCACACAATCACACCCCCACCACACCCACACACCACACCCACACCTACCACACAATCACACCCCCACCACACCCACACACCACACCCACACCTACCACACAATCACACCCCCACCACACCCACACCCACACACCGCAACACTGATGACCATCTGTAGCTGGAGACATCACACGGATGGTCACACCACACCCACACCTACCACACAATCACACACCCACACACCACACCCACACCTACCACACAATCACACCCCCACCACACCCCCACCACACCCACACCTACCACACAATCACACCCCCACCACACCCACACACCACACCCACACCTACCACACAATCACACCCCCACCACACCCACACACCACACCCACACCTACCACACAATCACACCCCCACCACACCCACACACCACACCCACACCTACCACACAATCACACCCCCACCACACAGCTCCCCCGGCCAATGACTTGTGTTGTTAAATTTTTTTTTAAATTCCTCAACCTATTTCTCCCAGAGTTATTCAAAGTTTGACAAAAATCCTAATCAATTAAAGAAATAGTTGCACTAATTAGTTTTTGCACTAATTAAAACTCATGTCCTCCATACACCCAGGGGCTTGGACGGTCTCCAGGTGTCGACACTAAGGTCATGCTGACCTGTACAGCAGTGCTTTCCAAAAAAGGAGCATCACCCCGGGACACGCGCCCCCGGAGAGGTGCGGACGTGCTGGGGTGGGGGGATAAATTCCAAACAAACGGCAGTAAAATCTACTAAATAAGGAAAAATACGTCTAAAAAGTAAAAGGTCAAAGTTTGTATCATAAAAATAAAACTTTTTTTTTTGTCTGTGAAGAGTTTCAAGTGATTTTTTATCCCGTTGGCTATCATAGCCTTATCCCTTTGGCTATCATAGCCTTATCCCATACTAGGAAATTATGCTCTTTTCAAAATTGTTCAACCATGATAAAAAAAAGTTATGGGGTGAGGGGTTTGGAAAGCGCTAAGATGACGCAGGGACACAAGTTTGGGAACCGTTTGTAAACGCTTTCTTTTTTTAATTTTAATTTTTTTCAGACAGGATTTCGCAATGCTTGATTATGATGTTAGTATAAAAACTTTTTCTGTCCGCGTTTGTTTAAAAAAGTTTACAGTGAATGCAGAAACAGATGCCAATGCAGAATTTTTAAATAGGTGTTTTTTTTTTTACATATATTTAAATACGAATAAAACAACTAGTGCGAGCTATTTTTTTCCAATTTCAGCTTTAATCATAACGATACTAATTTAAGAAATTAACAAAATGAGATTATTGGCATTTATAAAACGTAAAAGTAAATTTATGGAAGAAATCACAAAGATTAAAAAGAATAGTTTTATGCGATTTTATACAGAAACAAAATTAATGAACAACAATTCGAGAACTTAAAAAAATATGAAAATGAACATTTCATGAACTAAACAAATGGAAATAAACAAGTTATCACAGAATACATCACAATTTCTTGAAAAGCTGCTGTGTTTATTTATAGCAGTTTGGGGATTTCCCTTTATTTACAAGATCGCTGAGTATACCGGTCTATTTATAAAGATTCGCATCTGATTGGCTGTAGTTTATAGAACAAAGCTTGCATTCATTCCTCAGTCACAATAGTCAATTCCCAAGAAATCAAAAACAAAATATTCACCGTGTCAGATTGTTACAGCCCCCCCCCCCTTTCACCCACGTAGCTTAATTATAAACAAACGAGCCGGCCCGCGGCATAACATACGCCGCTATTTAGTTGTTTTTTCTACTTTTCAGTAATTCATAATTTGTGAATTCGACAGTACCAACGCTGACACTGAAAATATTTGCTTTAAAACACTATAAGTAGCTCGTTAAGAACCACAGCTCACTAAGACACTGTAGGGGTGGGGATGGTAGGGAGCGCGTTTACAGCTTGTTTTCTAGCGTCTCCCAGAAGAGAATTATATATATAGATAAACAAATATAGTTACATCATCTCTTAGGGGAGGATAGCCCCCCCCCCTGAACGAAATGGAATTTATATAGAAAATATACTTTACCAGTGTCCGCCACGCCCCCCCCCCCTCCCCGGATAATTTAGCTCGCCTTCCGAAAATATCAAGTGTCCCCCCGTCCCCCCTAGAGAAAAAAGTCTGAAAGAAACACTGCAAATAATTATTGAAAAACAGATGAAGTCTGACATTATGCCCCCCCCCCCCCATCAACACATACAAACACACACACACATACACACACACACATACACACACATCATTCCTCGATCTTCACCAACGTATAATTTAGCTTTACGTCATCGTCCAACTCAACCAAGTGGTCGTCCATAAATGACGTCATACTCATTAAACATCGTTAAATCCTGCCATGTCGCACTAATCTGTAAAGTTTTAAAATACTGCACTAAAAATTGATCAACATACCTTAACTTGGTCCAGCTAAGTTGTTTTTTTTTACAAATGCGGTTGGAAAAAAACTAAAATAAAAAGTTAAACATGATGGATAGGTGGTCATCCATAAATGACGTCACGCCTTTTTTTTGACGATTTTTTATCTCCCCCCCCCTCCCCTCCGTCACACGTCGTCACAAAAAGCAAGACCCCCCCCCCCTAAAATGACGTCACACCTCAGCCTACAACCCCCCTCACAATTGCAGTTGAATTTTTTTTAAACATATTTTTTTTTCCAAAATTTTGTCTGAAATATGTCAAAATAGAGTATTTTAATCAATTCCTATTATAATTTATTAAAACTGTTTTCTAAAACGCTAAATAACGTCTAAAATTAGTTTCCTAACATTTCTTATCTATAAAGCAAAAGTGTGACGTCGCACCATCTGAACCCCCCCTCCCCCTCATCACACATCGTCACAAAATTACCGACCCCCCCCTCCCCCTACGAGTGTGACGTCATTTATGGAAGACCCCTAGGCCGTAGTGTGACGTTAGTTGAGTGTTGATGTCTTTGTTTAGATAGGGGAGGGGGGGTGGGGGTAAAATTCATCCAAAAAAGCGTGACGTCATTTATGGACGGTCCACAAAATGCTTAAAATTTGAGTGAAAAAAAAATGTTAGTCTACGAATGAAAATTATATTAACAAGTGTAAGATAAAAATTAAAAAATTGTATTAAATATTTAAATACTTTCTCGTGAAACTCAACAGTATGTAATGTAGACCCCTCCGTACATAGCGGTGCCAGCCGAAATTAATCCACATTAGTAATCACAGTTACGGTAAAAGGGAAATAGCTCATGAATTTAATACAGGTTTCTATTTTCATGAGTTGTCTCCAGTTTTATATCCAAGAAAATTTCTACGCTGTACCTCAGCGAGGTTTCGTTCTATTATTGTTTATATCCAAACGAACACACATCACAGGTCAGGACATTCAGACACCGAACCGCTTTTCTCAACGGTTACCATAGTAACAGTCTTTATAAATAGTTAATAATTTAAGCAACAATATTTATAGATTCTTAGCTTTTGTTGGTTTTTAGATGGGGTCTTTTTAACATCTTGTCCCATTGGAAGAAATCACAAACAACACGAGACCAGCTGACCAACCAAGGGGAGCAACCAGGCCGTCACCAACCAAGGGAAGCAACCAGCCATTACAAGAATAAGGGAAGCAACCAAGATGTGAGCAGCGGTCAAATGGTGAAGCGTTCACTCCCACGTTTCTTGTAGAAGCTGCCGGTTCGAGTCCGCCCGCTGCAGTTGCTGCTGGAGCTACTGAGCGATGTGTTGCTGACGTACTGGAGGTAGGTGTGGCTGGACCTCGGCCGTAGTCCCGGGGAGCTGGTCGTCCGGCCGTGGCTGGTTGACACGGCCCGCGGCCGGTGCTGCTGTAGCTGGGAGGTTTTGGTGGTGAACTCCACCACGGCCTCGAGGTAGTCCAGACAGAAGACGTCTGCCCACGGTTTGGGCGGCAAGCCCTCCAGAAAGCCGCAGTGTCCGCCGTTTTTGGTGACGGCGAGCAGGAAGTTGGGGTAACACTTGAAGAGATCATAGGGAATGTCGGCGCGGGCGCACACAGGGTCGTCCAGGCTGTTGAGACACAGCACCGGCACCTCGATATCGTCCACATCCCTAATCGGGTTGTTCATTTCCCAGAACTGCTCCAAATCAGAATACCCGTACAGCGGGCAGTCCACGTTCCGGTTGAATTCCGAGAAAGTCCAAGAGGCCATGACCTTGTCGATGTCAAGGACGGAGGCCAAGGCCAGGGCGTGGTGACACAGCTGGTACTTGAGACGCAGCAGCAGCACCAGGTCGTACAGGCTGCCGGCCCGTGAGGCGAACCTCTCCGGCACGTCGTAACACGGGGAGATGCAGGCGGCGACCGTCAGGAGGGCAGACGACCCGTACTCACCTGCGGACAACATACAGGTCAAACATTATTTACCTGCCATATTTGCACAGGTTCAAATGTGTACATGATCAATTAATTTATTAGCTTACAAAGTTTTAACCTGCTACAAAATTACCTGGCCAACAGCGGGACTAGCTTTTGTGCAGTTGTGTTGCCACATTGGTCGGGAACTTGAGGGTTATCTACAGAGGTTTAACGTGTTAGCTCCTTATGGCATTGCTCTGTGACTGCCATCCTCGTGAATCTACTACCCCCTCTCTTCCCCCACCCATCCCCACCCTTTCCGCCCTCATGTCACTAACATTACTCCCCCCACGGGAGTTCTCAAACTTCCAAACGTCAAACACAATGTGTAAGACGCAGGGCATAGAAGACAATCTACTGTTACACTACCGCCCTTGAACTCATCCAAATGCTTACAGAGCTTATATTTTAATCTCTGACGTCAAAGCTTTTTTTTCCCTTTAAAAAGATCTGCTGGAACTCTCATGTTCTTGTAATCCCACTTAGGGGGCGTTATTGGAAATGGCTCAAGCGATACACGAGTACGGGATTGTGTTGTAAAACTATATTAGACACTTGCCGTCACGGCCAGGCCTTGCCCTAGCCGTCCCGGTCAGGCTTTGCTCTAGCCGTACGAAACGCAGCATAAAATTACTTTCATCTTTTACTTGTGCAGCATTATGTTTTATAGGCAATAAACACGAAATGTCCACGCATTCAACAAATTCCAATACTAAAAATAGGATTGAATGAATTCTCTGCGATAAATGCAGCTAGTTGCTTAAAGCCGACTGAAAAAAAAGGGGGGGGGGGCATGATAAGATAGCCATACGCCGCGTAAAACCGCGGGAAGAAACAAAGAACGTGATTGGCTCAAACTAGCAGAACGTCTTACGGTGATAAAACAAACGCAATGTCAGATAACTCTTCATCAAATAAAGATAACAAATGGAGTTGATTACCTAGCGCCGAGAACAGCTGATAAATCTAGAATCATCAGGGGTCATGGGGAGTTCAGGCAGTGAGGTAATGGTAACAAGGGGGGGTGGGGGTGTCGGCATGAATGGAGAAGCTGGCTGGGGGGTGGGGTGTCGGCATGAATGGAGAAGCTGGCTGGGGGGTGGGGTGTCGGCATGAATGGAGAAGCTAGTTGGGGGGGGGGGGGGGTGTGACTTACCTAGGTAGGACATGAGCAGACCACAGCCTGTACCGTAGGCTACACCCGTGAGTGGAGACCTGGGCAAGCGCTGTCTCAGGTACTTGACCACCTGTCGCAGGTCCGTGGGGTCACCAAAGCTCTGGCAATGGGACATTGAAATGGCGTGAGAGGGTGGTCAATACATGGTTATATAAGGACTTCAGATGTACATAGGTTTCAGTTTACGATAAAACAAATGCAGTCAGCAGTAATGTTTTTTCTCCCTAATTGAGTTCAGTCATGTGTTTTCTTTTTCTATGTCATACCTGCAGTTTGGGTGTGGTCAGGTAACTGTCACTACTCACCTGCAGTTTAGGTGTGGTCAGGTAACTGTCACTACTCACCTGGAGTTTGGGTGTGGTCAGGTAACTCACTACTCACCTGCAGTTTGGGTGTGGTCAGGTAACTGTCACTACTCACCTGGAGTTTGGGTGTGGTCAGGTAACTCACTACTCACCTGCAGTTTGGGTGTGGTCAGGTAACTGTCACTACTCACCTGGAGTTTGGGTGTGGTCAGGTAACTCACTACTCACCTGCAGTTTGGGTGTGGTCAGGTAACTGTCACTACTCACCTGTAGTTTGGGAGTGGTCAGGTAACTCACTACTCACCTGGAGTTTGGGTGTGGTCAGGTAACTGTCACTACTCACCTGGAGTTTGGGTGTGGTCAGGTAACTGTCACTCCTGACCTGGAGTTGGTCAGGTAACTGTCACAACTCACCTGGAGTTTGGTTGTGGTCAGGTAACTGTCACTACTCACCTGGAGTTTGGGTGTGGTCAGGTAACTGCCCCCATGACCCCTCCTGTTGAAGACCACGGCCCTCATGCCACGTGACAGTGCAGTCTGGCAAATCTGACTCACGTGTGACGCTCCTTCCGTTATGGCCGGAATGACCAGTAGGATGGTCGCCTTTCTGGAACAACAAAAGTGGAAACATTTAGACATTGACAGTCTGGTATGACAACACAAGTGGAAACATTTAGGCTGGAATGACATCAATAAATCAGACATTCCTGTAGATCACTCTCATAACAAACGCTGACAAATTTATGACTCTACACTCTATTGAATGTGTGCTTCGATAAATTGTCAGGCACACAATTGAACGTCCCTGAGAAAATGGCGACCTTTTATTATTGTCTTGATGGTGTAGACAGGTTTACATACAATGACGTGTCGAGATCCTCTGGTTTTATTGCGAAACATTTGAACAACTCCAAATACTCGGACAAAATCTGACTCACCTTTTTAACTCGGACAAAATGACCAAGTGACTGACCTTTTTAACTCGGACAAAATGACCAAGTGACTGACCTTTTTAACTCGGACAAAATGACCAAGTGACTGACCTTTTTAACCCGGACAAAATGACCAAGTGACTGACCTTTTTAACCCGGACAAAATGACCAAGTGACTGACCTTTTTAACCCGGACAAAATGACCAAGTGACTGACCTTTTTAACCCGGACAAAATGACCAAGTGACTGACCTTTTTAACCCGGACAAAATGACCAAGTGACTGACCTTTTTAACCCGGACAAAATGACCAAGTGACTGACCTTTTTAACCCGGACAAAATGACCAAGTGACTGACCTTTTTAACCCGGACAAAATGACCAAGTGACTGACCTTTTTAACCCGGACAAAATGACCAAGTGACTGACCTTTTTAACCCGGACAAAATGACCAAGTGACTGACCTTTTTAACCCGGACAAAATGACCAAGTGACTGACCTTTTTAACCCGGACAAAATTACCAAGTGACTGACCTTTTTAACCCGGACAAAATGACCAAGTGACTGACCTTTTTAACCCGGACAAAATGACCAAGTGACTGACCTTTTTAACCCGGACAAAATGACCAAGTGACTGACCTTTTTAACCCGAACAAAATGACCAAGTGACTGACCTTTTTAACCCGGACAAAATGACCAAGTGACTGACCTTTTTAACCCGGACAAAATGACCAAGTGACTGACCTTTTTAACCCGGACAAAATGACCAAGTGACTGACCTTTTTAACCCGGACAAAATGACCAAGTGACTGACCTTTTTAACCCGGACAAAATGACCAAGTGACTGACCTTTTTAACCCGGACAAAATGACCAAGTGACTGACCTTTTTAACCCGGACAAAATGACCAAGTGACTGACCTTTTTAACCCGGACAAAATGACCAAGTGACTGACCTTTTTAACCCGGACAAAATTACCAAGTGACTGACCTTTTTAACCCGGACAAAATTACCAAGTGACTGACCTTTTTAACTCGGACAAAATGACCAAGTGACTGACCTTTTTAACTTGACCTGGGGGTTGACCGCCCAGTCCAGGGCCACGACGCCTTTGTCGCGCATCTGCAGATATTCTCTCTCATACGTCACATCCGGCCTGGGTAGGATGATGGGAAGGATCGTCTGCACGTGCTTAGAGCTCAGCCAGTAGTTGGGGCTGAAGTATCGATCCTTTAGTTTACATTTATCTGAAACAGATTCGATACTTAGATAGTAATTAGGATGAAATATCGATCCTTTAGTTTACATTTATCTGAAACAGATGATTCGATACTTAGATAGTAGTTGATGCTAAAGTATAAATATTTTAGTTTACATTTATCTGAAACAATTCAATACTCAGCTGGTAAATGCTGTTATGTGTTAAGCAGGCCGAAAAACAAACTACGAAACGTCACTTAGAACTTCTAGACAACAAATACTCGGATCTCACAGGATCACGGATGTCTGGTAAGTAATGAATAGCCCCCCCCTCCCCCACACATCGTACTTTGTTTTGTGGGGACACCACTGCTGACATATAGAGTCGTGATGTGGACAGCCACACACAGTGTTGTGATGTGGCTACCCACACTGCCCGACAGTGTTGTGATGTGGCTACCCACACTGACCAACAGTGTTATGACGTGGACTTACCCATGACATACGTGTTGAGCGAAGACTCCCTGAAGTAAAAGACCGGCGCCTCTGGGGGCGCCATGTTGAAGACGCCCTTGAGGAAGACGCCTATGGACAGGACGATGGAGCCCAGGATCGCCACGTAGACCGGAAATGGTAATACACTGATGTAGGTCAGTTCTATCATCATTGTCATTAGTGTCATTTGGTGGGCGTGGTCTCGTACTGGGGCTCTGTCTGGGGGCGGCTGGTCGCTGGGTAAGGGAGGGAATACACGCTGGAATGGTGAGACTGCATTGCTGTTCTATGATGGGTTATCTCGCCTGGGCATCAAGGCTAAACTATCTATCAGAAGAAAAGATATAAGGTTATAAGTCAGATAATTTAACTGTAAACACATAAAACATAACTAAGCACAAATGTCAGTCAGTGTATCGAGTTCATTACTACTACATTAAACTTACTATACTTGTTCGAGAATCGTACTCGTCTAGTGTAAAATCTAAAGATTTATTCAGCAACACTTAGCACACACATTTCAAGCTAAACCAGGAAATCAAGCGGCTTAGACTCAGGTCTAGACGTGTAGAGATCACTGACCACAATTCACTCAACAAAACAATGTTTACACACACCCTAATGAGGTCACGACCCAACGACAGTCACGTGACACACGAGCAAACACTAAATCACAACTCAGCACTTTTTAATGTGCTGTTCTATTAAAGCCCCCCCCCCCCCCCCCCCACACACACACAAGACGAAGTGTGCTTCGCCTGGTTTTGAAGCGCCGACCACAAAAGTTATTGGGCCTTCAAATCGAACAAAAAATGTGACAATAGCAGAGACTGAAATGGAGAGTATGTTGGACGACAAGGTACATACAATTTTCATCTCGAACTTCAACACCATTTTTTAAATTCCCACAATTTAAAAAAAACTCCCACCATTTATTTATCCCCACCGTTTTATCCTGCACGTAGATTCTAACTTGGGCAAAAGCAGAATATATCAGGATACTGAAGGGGGGGGGGGGGACTTTTTCCCCCCAATGTAAACCAATTATTTTAAGACGACAAGCTAATCACGTGGCTCCCGTATGTTTTCTACCTGTGACAGCTCACCCTGGCAGGTGAGAATGCCGGCACAATCACAGGTAGCTGGGGTTTATGACCCACTAGACTAAACAACTTGCTCTACTAGGGGAACTAACCGTGTTACTCACGCCTCAACTAGCCCTCGGTACAACAAGATTGATTGAAACGTGAGTACTGGCATAAGTGTGAACATGCATGGGGGTTGGGGGGTTGAAGGTCGCATTCAAGGTCAGAGGTCATACGGCGTTATTCTATGGTTGAGGCTGATCTAAGGTTCAGGTCAGTCAAATGGCCAGCGTATTCAAACGTCTAATTCAAGTCAAAATTAAATTATTAATTAAGGTGGTGAGGCTTTAGCACTCACACATAATTAATAATGTTAGCAGGTTAGGAGAGGCAAGTAGATCGAGGACAGGGTGGGGTGGGTGAGGGTTAAACTAGGGTATTCTATGGTTGACTGAGTAAAGATAATGAATTGTCATTCTATTTTTGTTTTTGTAAAGTTAGAACATTTAGATTTTAATATTTGGACAATCGGATATTTGGACCATCGGATATTTGAGATTTTTTGGGGTATTTCGAAATTGTAGGCTTTTACCTTAATTAAAATTTTGTTTTGTGTAGCGAGGAATTAAATTATCGATAAAGGAAATCACGAATCTCCTACATAGGAAACGAATCGGCCCCGATAGTGACGTCAGAGCTGACGTAGGAAACTTTAAACAAACCTTGTTACTTACAGCGGGTGTGGAGTTTCGTCCCCTTGGTGTGAGTTGTCCCCAAATCGGTTTTCTCCCATAAATAAACCACGGGCGGTGTATCTATCAATACATTCTAAATTTAGAAACTGACGTCACTTCCTGTGTAAACGTGCATTGTTTATCCTTGAGACCCCGCAGTTTTGCACTTGAATATGCTAACTACGACCTTTGTGACGTCACTCGCCAAGTGACCTAACTAGATGGCTCGCGCTGTTTAAAGCGGATCGATTATTCAACAATTTACGGATTTCCAATCTCGTTAAACTCGTCATTTTAGATGGCAGAAATGTTAGCCCACAACACTCATGGCAAGCGTTATCGATGTATAAAACGTATATTTGTCTTTATACAAAAACTTTATTCCACAGGGAAAAAAATCTGAATTTTGAATAGGGCCAATCGTAAATTTCCCAAATGCACTAGATCTAGATCTATTTAGAAATGTGTTTGCGGAATGTTAATCAAGGGAAGCGATCAGAATAAAAACGAAACGTGAAAATTAAATTTTATACGTAAGCGCCCACGAAGAAACGTTCTTTGTTCGTTTATTCCGCCTTCGTCTTTAACATACACTGATTTCTTATAGAGATCGATATATCGATAGCCTAAATACATCAGGTGACCTATAAACTGTGCACATTATTCCATAGCTTGCAACCTTTTACTGTCAGACTACGGGGGGTTGGGAATTGCTTATATTTGCATACAGTCAATAAAATGTTGTACAACAGGTGTTCGTCAATGGTCCCGACTTACTGCTTACGTGGTCGTGTTTGCATACAGCGTTGATTTTATTGGTGGGGGAGGGGGGGGGGGGTCAATACATTTTTGATTGTCAACAATACACTTTTGATGTTTTCGTTTAGTCGGTGGTGGGGCAACACGCGTTGTCCCCCTTGTCGCTGCGTGTTAAACCGTGCAGGTGTGTCGGCTCAGGTTACCTGTGTACTCAGGCAATGGTCGATCATGATTGCAGGTAACTGGTAGTCAAGTTATAGCAAGCAATAATCGGGAAATCCACCCCCCCCCTCCCTTTTCGTTTTACTTTTTTCTATTTTCTTGTAGGAAGTGTCCAATTATGTTCGACGACCACCCTCCCCCCCCCCCTCCCCCACCACCCTCCCTCCTTGGGTTTTCCCTTGTTTGTATGCTACAGCCTAAAACTAAATAGAAACGACGGAAGTGTAAAAAAAAATACCTAGACTTGTATGTAATTAGCTTCGTTTTGATGTGTTAAACTTTAAACAAAGACAGCAGATATTAACCATGTGGGTGAAAGACAGAAGAGAAGACAGCGTTGACAGACAGCGTTGACAGACAGCACGAAATTCGAATCTAAAAATAAAACATCTTTACATTAAAATGTGGTCATGACACCAACTACCAATCATAAACAAGCATATAACAATATACAGCAACCATACCACAACAGACAGCAACCATACCACAACATACAGCAAGCATCCAGCAACATACAGCAAGCATACAGCAAGCATACCACAACATACAGCAACCATACCACAACATACAGCAAGCATCCAGCAACATACAGCAAGCATACAGCAACCATACCACAACATACAGCAACCATACCACAACATACAGCAAGCATCCAGCAACATACAGCAAGCATACAGCAAGCATACCACAACATACAGCAACCATACCACAACATACAGCAAGCATCCAGCAACATACAGCAAGCATACAGCAACCATACCACAACATACAGCAACCATACCACAACATACAGCAAGCATCCAGCAACATACAGCAAGCATACAGCAAGCATACCACAACATACAGCAACCATACCACAACATACAGCAACCATACCACAACAGACAGCAAGCATACAGAAACATACAGCAAGCATACAGCAACCATACCACAACATACAGCAACCATACCACAACATACAGCAAGCATCCAGCAACATACAGCAAGCATACAGCAAGCATACCACAACATACAGCAACCATACCACAACATACAGCAACCATACCACAACAGACAGCAAGCATACAGAAACATACAGCAAGCATACAGCAACCATACCACAACATACAGCAACCATACCACAACATACAGCAAGCATCCAGCAACATACAGCAAGCATACAGCAAGCATACCACAACATACAGCAACCATACCACAACATACAGCAACCATACCACAACAGACAGCAAGCATACAGAAACATACAGCAAGCATACAGCAGCATACAGCAACATACAGCTACAGACAGCAACATACAGCAAGCATACAGCAAGCGTAAGGCAGCATACAGCAACATACAGCTACAGACAACAGCATGCAGCAAACAAATAGCAACATACAGCAAGCATACAGCAACATACAGCAAGCATACAGCAACATACAGCAAGCATACAGCAACATACAGCAAAAGACAGCAAGATACAACAAGCATACAGCAAGCATACAGCAAGCATACAGCAAAAGACAGCAAGCATGCAGCAAAAGACAGCAAGATACAACAAGCATACAGCAACAGACAGCAGCATACAGCAAGCATACAGCAAGCATACGGCAAACAAATCAGCTAACAGATCGATCACTGGGTCATGTGGAAATGTTCACCTACCTGGTGGGGTGAGGTGTGAATACACTATTCACACGGGACTCTACACTTTCAAATATGTGAATACTCTGGTTGATGTTAACGTCACATGTATCGCGATGTTTGATTGGTCTAAACTCGCCGGCTAATTATCTCAAACTAGAATCTGTTGAAATATTCGACACAATCGCATTGGAAAAGTTGAATATCTCCATGATAATATCTCAAAAGTGTATACAAGTCTTATTTTGTCACCCTCCTACTAGATCTATTTCTAAACTTTTGCCGAACCAACAATCACATTAAATCACATAAAAAACTCAAATCGTGTACATTTTCTTCAAGTAATTAATAAACAAACACGGGCATTTTCAGCTAACCCTCTAAAGAAGATTGCCCTATTTATCGTCTAGCCTATAAATAAAATGTCTCTACCAATAAAAAAAAAAAAAAATCACGTGACAGCAAAAATATGAGTACAGTGAAACCGTTGTAGCATTTCCTGACGCCAGACGACAGACGACAGACGACGTACTAAAGTATCGTCTGGCGTCTGTCAGCCGCCACAGTAGCCCACACAGGAGCAGGACGGCTCTGGAAGCCGTAGTTCAACCGGCGCCCGGCTGTCAGTGACGTATTGAACCCAACGGCTAACCGGTACAAACTATTCAATATAATGTCGGGAGGTGATGGGGGGGGGGGGGGGGAGAGAAAATAGGAGAAGCCTTATTCAAATATCACACAAGTCAACAAAACGGAACTTTAATATTTTTTACAGACATTGATGTAAGCCTCTGACTGTCGTAATTCCTAGTTAGTTAAATTACATTGGTGTAAGCCTCTGACTGTCGTAATTCCTAGTTAGTTAAATTACATTG